CTGGATATTTTTTTTAGGGCGTTACCGGCAAGCTAACACAAACTTGGTGTCAAATAGATCATGGGAGTAACTTTTCTTTGACTTTTCATACAAGTTTACATAAACTTTAACTGTATGACCTGTATATATAAATTAATAAACGATGGGAATAGATTTCTTATCCCTCGAGAGAATGGATCTAACAAGGAGTACAGCAAGGCAAGTTTGTTTGAAATTAATCTCTTTTGTGAGTTTGTGATGATGGTTCTGAGAAGAGCCGGTTTGGACTCAACGTTTCGGACAGCATACTGTGTCCGTGAAATTCCCTTTTTTTATGCCTGCGTTATTTTAATGTTTTCATACAACTACCTACATTGGGTCGCCAAAAATCAGTTTTTGCATAAAAAAGTGGAATTCTCGCTTCAGCTTGAAAATGTAAGGCTTCAAAATTTAAAGACATTTAGGTGAATCAGGAAATCACTGCTGAAGCAGTACAGAATGTGCGCGTCAGCCTATTCGGAAGTTTAACTTGAAAATGCGAAAATATAGCTCATCTTCCCCATTTAAGGGTCATTTATAAAAATCGGTGGTCAAATACACTCTAAAAAAAAATTAGTCAGATTTGACGAGAACCATTTAATTTGACTATAACTATTCAGGGTCAGCTGGGTGCAACTGAAAATTAGTCAATCTGACTAGATTTTTCCAGTCAGTATTTTTGACTTTGGAAAAATAGTTATGCAAATAAATGAAATTGGATTCGAATCCAACAACTTTTTTTTAGTCATAGTATGAAACTTCGTGTTTAACTAAATTCCCTAGTAAATTTTCAATAACAAGGAAAACCAGTCAATATTTTGACTTTGTTGTTCCTGTCCTTTCCGCCTTGAACACCGTCACATTTTGTCAGAAATCTTGTATTTTATACATACCGAAGTGTCTTGCAATGATGCTGAGAGATTAATTTTTAATGTAGTGTCTTGGGTACAAACTGAAGCAATTCATCGTGACATCTGATCGGGAACCAGATCGTCATAGATGTTTGGTAATCGATTAACGTGCATGTAGGCCTACGTTAAGCAAAATGGAAATGGTTTCTGAGGATATGGCATGCACAAGGAACATGTGATGCACATTGAAATTAAAGCCGCCGAATGCTACGAATCCATTATTATTTCTGTTGATCGAGCAGTGTACATTTGACTCTTTCAGGGTAAATTTGTTGTTTTTTTTTTCCACTTATGTTTCCCTTTTCAGAATAAATCTAGCAGAGTCAAGCCCCAGCGTTACGTTGCGCATAGGGCCTAACCCGCCATGACACTAAAACGCTGAGCAAACGCTGAATGCATCACTGAATGGAAAAAAACTTGCAGTGTCACTTTGTCCCATCAGTATATGAAAACACGTATTCAGTTCACCTTGCCCATTATGCGATTCTATTCATGGTTTTCATTGTATGCGTGTACTGTTAATCATATTCAATAATTTTTGCCACCCCCTGGTTAGTCAACTTTGTAAACAGAGTGTCCTTGGCATATTATTGTAACTGCTTTTCAATATTTTCACACAGGCTTAGTTTGGAAATCGTGTATTTGGTATTCAGTCTCAGCTCACTGATTTCTTTTAAAAAGGGAAAAATTTAAGGTCAAAAAGTGGCCTGGTATTATATTAGTTCAACTCTTGCTGCAGCGTCAGTACTATTTTGTAATTACAGGTCAAATTTATTTTGTGGGTCCAAACTTCATATTTTCCTGGTCCCTAATTCAAAAACAGCCAAATAAAGTGGTGAGAGCCCCTTTAACCCAAATTGAAGTATTAACAGCAAATGATTAGGCTAAGTGAAGTTTTACGCTTATTTCATTTGTATAATGCGCCTATCTATTGTTTCCCCCCTCCCCCCCCCTCGGGCTGCCCCACCCAAGACGTGGGGATTGTCACTTTTAAGTGACAAAATCCCCACCCTCAGGCAAAATTAAAGTGACAATCCCCGACCATGCCCCGACATAAATACGTGGGGCGCACTAGTGGTTGCCTTTCCATGTAGTTCGCCAATGTTAACAATGTAATTTGAGTGGCCAAAATCCCCACCCAGGGGCATGAAAAACGTGACCAAATCCCGACATCGGACCTGGGGCAGCGGGGGGGGGGGGAACATTTGATAGGCGCATAATGTGCACTACGATACAAGACAATTTTTTGTTGGTACATGAAGTCGCTTGACCTTTACTTCCGGGTATCCCGGAAGTCAAAGTTTAATGAATTTAAAATACAGACAAAAGCTTCAAAATCAAAACGAGCCTACTTTCTTCCACACGATTCACGGAATGATGATAAAACCTGGTAGAACTTGAACCCTGGTCCGAAAATGTGACAGAAATGGTTACGTCATCATTACGTCATCAGGTGTCAAATAACAAGAGATTGGAGGTCAAAATTTGAATAATTACTTTGAACCATAACTTGTTGAGTGAATGGAGTATCCCTACCGTGCTCTTTGATTGTGATCAGTTAGCAGAGTTGTAACCAAGTCATTTTTTCCAAGTCAAGTCAAGCCTCAAGTCAAAGTTCAGCAAGTCAAGACAAGTCTCGAGTCATTTTTTTTCACAAGTTAAGTCAAGTCCCAAGACAATTGTTTTTCAAGTCAAGTCCAGTCTCGAGTCTTTTTGAAATATTAGATGCACATACTATGTACAGGAACCAGTTTATGTGTACGACGACGGAGCCGGAGTAGAGATGGGAATGGGGTTTATCAAAACGTGCATCATGTAAGCAGATTTAAAAAAGAAAAAAATCACACTTTTCAAACATCCTTTCTCAAACACCTTATTCGTATCTAAAGAGTCTAGAAACACATTTTGATATAATATTTTCAAACTCAGGCCTATTCCATCATGTTAAATGTTTGAAGTATGTCTGACAAAATGCCCTTCCGAACATTTTCGTTTAATGCATGATGTGAATTATTTTTGCTTCATCGCGGATTGGGGTAGCAGCCGTTTTCCAGTCGTTTAAACCCTAGTTGCATTTAGCACGCTTATGGTAAACCACTATTTGTACGTGTAGCCTATAGTCTCTATGGAATGACCGCTCAATAACAACGGATGGTACTCCAGACTACGCACGGCACAAACTTCACCTCGCTTGCGCGAGGCAGGTCGAGTATGATACGTTGTCCCTAACACACGCATAGTGCTAGTCATGTACATGACGTGTGGCAGGATGGGAGGGGGGGGGGGGGGGGTAAAGGGGTATTTACCCCCCAATAATTTGTAAAGAGTGCCTTTTTGTTTTACGAAGTGCCCTTTTTTTCCGAAAAAGTGCCATTTTCCAAAAAGAAGTGGTGCCCTTTTTTTGTGGCAGCTGCCGTTTTGGGTGACTTTTTCAGAATTGCGCACATGTACCGCACTGTAAAGCACGATATATAAAACCTGTCTACATTTCACAACGGATGTGCAAGTGCCCTTTTCAAAAAAATTCCCCCCTCCCCTATAAAAACGACCGTGCTACTCCCCTGGATATAATGAATTATGGCAGTGTTCAGTGAGGAATGCCTTACACATAAATGGCATGATGACGTCATCACCCGAAAGGACGTCCTCTAGCGGCACATCAAATAAAATTGAACTTGCTTAAATCTCAGTAGAATTCACTCGTTAAACTATTTATTGTATCATTTGCTCCTACTTATTCTTTGGACAACCGCAAGTGATTTTGCAACGTTTCAGAATCATGACGTCATCATACCGGAAGCTATTCTCGGGAGAATTTGAAAAGGATCAGTTTTCTATTTGCTTTAAAATTTAAATCCGCCATTTGATCCGTGTCCAATGACTTTGTTCGTACCACAAAATAATGATAAAAACCAGTACAATGTTGACCTTGGGCCTCAAAATGTTTGCACATTTTAACTGCTGACGTCATCAAACTAGAAAAAATGTGGACAGTACGTGTACATAAAATGTACTGAAATTTATCGTACCCTAAAAAAATGATGTTTTTTTAAATTTAATACGAATGGTTTTACGGGAAAGGTTAAATTTTATGATACTTTCTTCTATTCCGACATAACAAAAACATTCACAACTAGGCAGTGTTCAATGAAATTGTTTTCGGCCCGATCACCCAGCGTTTGTAACTCAACAAAGGCTAATCTTCAGTTAATTTTGATTTTATTTGTAATGGATGTTTTTCTACGACAAAAATCCGATATTTATATTTTAAGGACAGCTCCTTATAAATATCAGTGACATTTCAAACAACTCCCCCCTTAACAGTGTTGGGCTATTGTCAGTCGACAAAATCGACGGTGTCCAATAAAGTAGCAGGACACAAGGTGAAGTATCTAAGCCGAAGGTTTATAACAAGCCTATGCAAAAGTCATGATGATTAAACCCTAAACAAAACTTTACTTTGATAACATGGGCTAGAATACCAACGTTATATGCAACAATATTCGAGGATGTCAAACCCACTGCGCAGCACGTCATCGTTATGACGTCACTTATGTTTTCCAGGCTGCGATGCAGACATTCCAGACCGTTCTGCAACCTTTGCAACTGCTTCCGTAAGTCACCGATATATGCCACTACTTACAATAAGCCAATTGAGTTTGTGCAAAGTTGTATTCTACCGATTATCTGCGACTACCTTCCGACATGTCACGCCCGTTGTCTGTTATCATTTACGATCTATATACCAACGTTTTATGCAACGATATTCGAGGATGTCAAACCCACTGCGCAGCACGTCATCGCTATGACGTCACTTAAGTTTTCCAGGTCGCGATGCGGATATTCAAGACTTCAGCAACCTTTGCTACTGCTTCCGTAAGTCGCCGATAATGCCACTGCCTACAGTACACCAATTGAGCTTGTACAAGGTTTGACTCTAGTACCGCTTGTCTGCGACTACATTCCGACATGTCACGCCCGTTGTCTGTAATCATTTACGATCTATCGTAACCGTGCACCAATCAAATACCGGCATCTGGCGGCACTGGGCGCGGCAGAGCACTCGCTTCATTTCCACCGACGCTGGCAGAGCGGACAAGTGGTGCCTTGGATCTTGGACTGGTCAGAATACCGTACAGGTGAGCTATCGTCCAGATTTATATCACTGATTTTAACAAGTTTGTCACACTAAAAAACGAAGGTGGAACCTACGACTTACGGAATACAAATACCGTTCCGGTGCTCTTCCAACTGAGCTATCTTTCTTTAGTGTCCAAGTTCAACGGCGCTAGTCAGAAGCCATACCCCACAAGCCATGTAGCCCTATAGTCACGATGCTGGAAACACTAGCAAACCTGCAAACCTGGGAAATGGCAGACAGTGATCACTAAAAGATGGGATAGGCTTATGGCTTTTTGTTTCAACAAATTCAAATCAGCATGGGCCACAGAGGGAAACTGATTAGGCACCTAACAAACTTGTTACGTTACCGAGATTGAAACGGTGTGTAACATACAATGGCAGGGGTTTGACTCGTCATCCCGACAGCATATTATCAGGATGACGAACTATTTGGTAAGGGTGATGAGTTCAATCCTACCATTTCAAACACTCTTCAACTTTATCAGCCTGCATGATAGCCCTACAAACAGGGTTGGTTCTCATTTATCGGTAGTATTACTGCCCCCATTTCAGCCCTGCTTCTATCGCCACTGTTTACGCTATTGGCCTATACTAAATGGTAAATTCGAAATGACGTTGTTTAAACGTCATTATAACATGTATAATTTTTTACTCTGTTATTCATCTAGGTCATCTGTTATTATTTAGGTCTGGTGCCCTACTCTCTAAATTCCAAAGAGTTAAATTAGGGACTAGACGTTTTAGAGTGAAAATCACTCTCATTTTCGATTGGAATAGTCTGAAAAAGAACCACTTCAGTCGAAGCTCGAGCAGGCGCGGTTCTAGGGGGGGGGGGGCTGGGGGGGGGGGCTTTAGCCCCCCAAACATTTTGTCTAGCCCCCAAAATAAATTCCGTAAAAAAAATTGCATTAGCAAAAAGAAGGATTGTGATGTACATGCGAACGGTCTCCCCCTAAAGAAGAAATAGCCGTGACAAGGGTGCATTAGTTAATAAAGTGTGAATGATTTTAGGATTTTATTGGCGCTCCCCATTGAAAATATGGCAGGGCCTTACAGCCGAAGGCAAGGATTATGATTGATAGATGAAATGAGTTAAACTTGACAAACATGTACAATGCCAGTTCTGTTTCTGTATTTAGTCTCATTGCTGTATGCTATATTTAGATAGCTTCCACGATTTGTGTTTTGACCATAGATATATGACTAGATCGGCAGCGCCACCATTCATTGTGCGATGAATGGGCACCATTTTTATAGTCTCTTGTGGACGCGCGAAAAAATTAACATAAAGTCATAAAGCTTAATGTACCTGACGTGCAGCACGTGGCCTAGCTCAAAGCGCGCGTAGTCTGGTTCCCAGACCTGACATTTATTCCCGACGCTCAAGTCTAACTTGTAGGTCAGGCAGCCTCCGTGGCTAAAAATAAACATGACGACATTGACGGCCCTTTTTAAAAACTCGGCTTCGTTTCCGAATTCGCTTTATCACTTATAGCTTTTAATGTTCCGATCAAATTTTTAAAATAAATCACTTGTTTCGTAATATAATACAGTTTGATATTTCTGTAAGAAAATATTGACTAATGTTGATCTGGAATCTTCGAAGTTAGGCACCCAAATAGCACTGTTAGCAGGCGGAGCCGAATGAAGACCACGCCGAGGTTTGGAAAATGCCCCTCACGGTCTTCAAACTCAAAACAGTACATGACGCAGAAAAAGGTTTGCCCCTCGCATACGATCCGAGTACGAAATCGTCGTTATATTTCAAATTTTTCTAATTGAAAGCAAGGAATATTAATAATCAACTCGTTTTTTAAAAAAATTTATAAGCAATTAGCATTTATTAATACTCGGAAATACTCGGGTGCTATCCGATTGTCGACGAAATAAATTCGGCAAACTACGGAAATATTCGGAAATATTCGGAAAAAGGAGAAATTCCTCCCGTTTTAGTCACGTGACGTTAATTGTAATACAATGTATTACTGGAGGCTACTGGACCTAAGATTCATCAGAAATAGTCAGAATCTTTTGGTCTGGGAACCACACTAAAAGCGCGCGAAGCTCATGGCGAAGCTATAGGAAAGGCGCACTGAGACTGTACGCGCTGCGCACACAATGTTGGCGTGCCGCTTTCCGTTTTGGTTACGATAAATGTCAATTTTGATAGCGTCACCGTTTTGACAAAGTGACGATTATATAACTGACATACAGATCCTAGTCACTTGAATGGTGGAACTCACATCACGTGACATTCGTTATTGCTCCCATTCACGCGGCGGCTCAAAAAGTACTATCCGCCCATGGGGAATGGAAAATACTTTTCAACAGTTAGGATCATGACGCGGTATTTGTGTGCAAATGCATGCTGGTGAGCGCGTTCAGCGTTGCGGGTAGCGCGTATTGTTCCAAAGAGCCAGCGCTACAGCGTTGGGTTCAAACATTTTCGTAAAGGGGTGGTTTGGAAGAGATAAATACATTTTCCTCCAGTTTTGTATTGAAAAAAAAAATTCAAATATAATATCAAATGACAAGGATCTATATGTCAGTTATATAAAACAAATATTGAGTGGCTTTAAATTGTGAAATGGGAGGACTATTATCGCTCGGTAAAATCTTGACTTTTCCAGTTCACTCGGCTTCGCCTCGTGAAATGGAAAAGTCCAGATTTTATCTTGCGATAATATTCCTCCCATTCCACGCTGAGCCACTCAATATTTGTATATGTGCACACAGCTATAGCTGCAAACCAAGTCTCGAGAAAATCACGTTTGAAGTTGGTCGATTTTTCAAATCGCATTTTCGCGTACTTTTCTCCACCAAAATTTAAAAAATATATAACTAATGCGATAGCCCAGTAGTTAAATAGCCAAAACAAAATCTCTGTTTTCATAAAATTATGTTTAGGCTAATTAGGAGACATTAATTACTACAGATATTTGACACTTCGTCAAAACGAAAAATAATCGTTTACTTTGTTTTGTATGAATAGAAAGGAGTAAATGCTTCAGATTTCAAATATGCACTTGTCATTTAAAGGCTGGGTTGGGGCAACCTTGAAATTATAAAGCAAGTAATTCTGCGCAAAAAAACTACTGCATTAATTAGTGTTAATCGCGAAAAAAATTATATTAAAAAAGTTCACACAAAGTATAAATTTTACCATGTTCGTATGAATAAAACATGGCATCTGCTTTTACTTCCAATTTTTAAGCATTTACTCGCATCTGTACGAATAAAAATTAGCAAACGCTTTTGCTGAAAACCATTTGCTAAAATCTAAAAATAATTACTGTTTACCGTTTAGACTTTGCTATACACTATGAGCGTTTAGTTTGTTTCATATGAATAAGAATTAGTAAATGCTTCAGATTTCAAATATTTACTTGTCATATTTCGAACCTTGAAATTATAAAGCAAGTAATTCTGCGCAAAAACACTACATGTATTAATGTTAATCGCGAAAAAGCATTTGCTTTTACTACAAATTCTAAGCATTTACTCGCATCTGTATGAATAAAAAAATTAGGCAAACGCTTTTACTGAAAACCATTTCCTCTTGAGTAATTGGCCTGCACAATGTAAAGGTTTACAGGTTTATAAGTTGGCAAAAATAAATTTTACTCACTCTGTACTGAACATGATAACTGTACGTACGCACCTGCCTTGCAGCATGTATCGCAAACACGTGAGAGTTTACACAAACAAACTTCATTTTCTTTCATAATATGCGAGAATAACATCTAAAGATACTCACTGTGCATTCTTGGGGAATTAGTGTTCTATCCCACAGTAAACATGGCAGTCACGGCGAAGCCATTCTGACGCACAAAATAACTCACAACTATTGACAGGAATATATTGGTGTGCTCAGTCGAAGGACGTCTTCCAAAAAGACCGAGAAAATATACAACTTCCAGGTGCTGCCGAGTCACTCGTCGGAATATATATACGCGAGAACAAATACCTCTATTTAACGTTCATCCAGACAATGAAAATTCAAGTCATAAGCTTGCAATTACACAAGATTTAATATTAATACAATATCAAGATGGACAAGTATAAAATTATATAATAATCCCGCATTAATTGCAATGGATTGACCTAAGAACTAACTTCTCGTGTTGACGAAGACAACTGTTAACCGTCCTCGTGCGGGAAGCACAAAGGTCATCAAAAATGCACTGTTTTACATAGGAATATGTAAATCACCCCGATTTATTGAAAAATGGGTACGTCACTTCTACATAATTATGCATACAGTTAGGAAAGGACAAATGAGGTCGCCCTTGCCCCGGCACGGTTCCTTACACCCAATAAAAAAAGTGATGTTTCCCAAAGTGGAAAAGTGTCCCGCTTGTAAACAGACCCCCCCCCCCCCCCCCCCCACATTCTGGAATTTGTATTCCTGTGGAGACATTTCTTTGTTCTCGTGTAGTAAAGTTTTCGTGTTTGAAATTAAAGTTTCAAAATGCTCTTATTTTAACCAGAATTAATTTCCTGGGCTGAAATTTGGACTACATATCCCTTTTCTAAAACTCTTCCATTTGCGACGGATCAACCTACCTTGGAAATTCCTAGTTTTTGAGTAAAATCCATATATCTTTTTCGTGAAATTCTTGTGGAGACGTATTCATCTATAGAAATGTTCTTGCGGAGACGTATACAATCTTTTGTTTCCTATTGTGTGCATGTCTCCTTAAGGTAGTAAATTCCAACACCCCCCCCCCCCCCACACACACAACATGGCTAAATAGCGCCCTCACTTCAGGAATTGGAAGCCCCAAGTCCGGGCCAGAGCTGAATTGCCATATCTCGTCAATTTCCCAATCATGTATGGCCCTCAGAACTACCTAATACTAAGAAGAGTTTGAGTGTATAACTCATTTATTCATGAGCTGGGCGGACGATTATTTGGTCTATATACTGGTGTGCACCCATTAGTTTCAGAGAAAGTCCCAAATTAGAGTAAACAAGTGAAATCTTTATGCTTATAGTAGTCCCGGCCCCAAATTCCTCATCAATCCAACTAATATCTGTCATCATTGTTTGGTATTTTGAAATAACGCCACCCATCCAAATTTAGACAAAGGATCTAGACCTGTCCTTTCCCCTGAACACCATCTTTTGTACACGGTACAGGTGCTTTTTAATCTAGTCGATCTGGTACCAGTAGCGGGTCGACAGATGGGGGTTGCCACCCTCTCCCCCCCCCCCCCCCCCGCCCCTCATTCAGCCGCTGACTATATTATGACATCGTTGATTTTAAAAGTTTACGGGGCATTCCCCAGGATCCCCTTGTATTAATAAAATTGTATCTAATTACCTGGTTTTGATCATGCAGGGTTCATTGCCGTGTGACAACAGTATAGCTACAATTACACCATGAAGCTGCTACAACTCACTCTTATGCTTGGCTTGATTGGTAGGCTTTCAGCATCTGCTCTTTTTCTCCCCTGTCTTTTTGAAACCGAAACGGGCGTATAAACAATCAAACTGACGTAGTCCTATAGTCCTTTTGATATCTTGGAAAATAGTCAATATCCCCTTCCACAGGAAAACAGATCCCAATCACGGTGGCTTGCCCCCCCCCCCCCCCAGCACTGCCCCCTCCCCCCCCCCCCCCCCTTTTATAGCTTGCACTTATCAACTCAAATCAGGTGAATACAGCCTGTTTCTCCAAAAGTCTGCTGTTTCATTAGAGACACACTCTTGGAAAAATGGTCCGGTTAACATTGTTAACTTATTTCTTATGATGGGACTGCGGTTTGGCCGAAGTCAATTGAGCGTGATCAGCTGACTGATAAGGTTTACGTACAAAACCCCGAGCCAACGAGGTTTTTGTATAGAAAGCTGCCGGACCACATTTTGCGAGAGTGTGTCCGTAATGTCCCTAGCTACCCTCACTGAAAAACTTGTTTTCATAAGGGGGGGGGGGGTAATGAGACAAGAGCACTGTAATAAGGCCACTTTAGGGCTATACAGACAATGGAGGAATAAGAACACAATGAAGCAGCTTAATTTCAATTTATCAATGTTGTTTTAAAGGCTTTAGCAAACATGTAAAGTACCGTTCCTGTCTGTTTTGGGGTACGGCATATACCCCAAAATGGTGTCGTAACGCTTCCGTAGTACGTCACCCCTTACCACATTATTGATTTGTGTTTTATGAGCTTGAGTCAATGAGTCCGTAAAACAATCATAATATAGTTGTCGATTTTGTATTACCATTATTTTTGCATTTGACGTTATGCAGGAAGTATCGTGGGTCTCCAGTGTTACCTCTGTGATGACGGATTAATTGGCACTTCCCCTGGCTGTCTGGATCCGTTCAATACATCCACCACTGATCCAACCGTTACAAAACAGACTTGCCCAGGTGGAGCTTACTCTTGCAGTGTAAGTTTTCAAATACCGTATTTCAGTAGCGTATTGGGGTGGGTGGGTGGAGCAGTAGCGTAATAGGGTTAAACTTCCGAGGCCTGAGGGGGCACTTAAGCCATATAAACAGTACAATCAACTTGTTCAATTCAAGATTTTAAAGGGGGCGGGGGAAGGTAGGGCTTCCCGATGGGTACGAACATCCCCTGGCCGCGGTTTGTGCATGGCCCTTGTGGGCTACTTCCGCACGTACGAAGTAATAGTGAGACATACATGTTTTGTTGTTTTGTTTTGCTTATAAATAGAAAACATACTTAGGTTCAACTGATTTGACCTTCACGGTGAGAGGCTGTCTCCCAACTGCTGGTTGTGCGAGCGCGGGTGGGTGCGCTTCGGCTCAGTATCAAGGCAACGAGGCCACTATCTGTTGCTGCACTGGTGAATTCTGCAACGGAGCTGAGTCGGTGTCGGTCAATCTCCTCACTACTGCGGCTGTAGGCTTGACTGCCCTTGTATTTACTCTGTAAAGTGAGTGAATCCATCAGGATGGCTTTGTGCTTGTTATTAGGGCGCATCCCATAGCATCCGTATATCTAGTCCTGATCTAGTCTTTGATTTTCTTAGCTTTTGTTGCATGCACAGTGCATTCTTCATGTAGAAAGCGCTGGGTGTGTTTTTTTTTTTCAAAATGATTGAGCTTGAGTTGATGTAGTAGAATGGAGCAGTGCGGTATTAACAGTGCAGAAAGAATTAAGAACTAAGATCGCTTATCATTTTGAACGATACATATTTTCTTTCAAACGGTTAGATTTTTTTTAAATCCATCAGTTGAATAGTTCTGTATTCCAAAATGCTCATGTGCACATAACGATTTGGCCTAATTATCAAGTCAAATAAAATAATTGGCCTAAATGGACCCAACTTAAAGATTCGACCTAACAATTTGGTCTCGGGAGTAGTTGTGTAGGCCTACACAAGTCTTATTATGCGGAACTCGATGTTTCTACAATCCACAATGTTTACATGCAATAAAAAAGCACATAGAAATGTTCGCAAATTGTTCGCACATGGATGAAACATTAAACAAAATACCGCAAAACATTGTTAAACCCTTATAGTTCAAAAATTCCAGTGAAATTGATTGGTAATAAGGAGTTTTCTTCAGTTCCTTGAGACGATATGCATGCTTAAGGCGAACATTTTTTTACTATCACGAATAGACATTTTGCATCTGATGCCACATTTGAGGGCTGGACTTTATTTCTCATTGTTTGTCAATGATGTCACTGTGCTGGCCAGATATTTATGTGCGCACGCGCAGTTGGAGTACCAAAAAGGCTTTCATTCAGTTTCAATCTTTTGATAAAGACAACACAAATCATCGCCAGATTATATACTCAGAGATTACGGGGGTTTTGTATTAAATGTTTTTTACGTGATGTATTACTTAGTTCATTAAGTCAAGATGGAGGTTATTCTATGAAGTCTTGAATGCTTGTAAAATAGCGCATACAGAGCGATTTGATATTCACAATGTATTTACAGCAATAATACAACATCCGAGAGCTTTCATGAGTTCTTTTAAAACAGTGGATATTTTTGGAAGAAAATAGTACAATAACCTGATAATAACGATTGATCAAAAGAAAAGACCACAAGACGGTACACTTTGTCCTGCTCGAGATGTAGGTCTGAAATAGTTATTAATTGACATTCACTTTATAGGAAAGCTAAACTCTCATGGTGGCTGCAGGCAGCTGGGGGGGGGGGGGGGCAGACTAAAACATCGAGTTCGTCTCTAAATTGGCCTCAAGATAATATTTTTGATCCCTGACGAACATCCACTCCTACAACTTGAAAAAAAAAACAGTTTAGAATATGTCCATTTGGTTTTGGAATAAAGGCCTCTAAACGATTCGGCATCTAGAGATGTAGCTGAGACTGAAAACAAAGAAGAAAGAAACGTTATATCCGCACGGTTCTGCGCAAACGCAGGGCTGATTCAACCTTATTGTCACGTGACTACTTGGCAGGATCGTCCGGCGTGCGTGTTTATGGTGTAAATCGAGGATACACACGTGCAACATCATCGATGAATTGAGGACACTTTCCTCAGGACAGGAACCAAATCGAGGACGACCTCGATTGGAAAACGTGTGCAAAAACCAATGAGTATAAACAAAGGAAAAGGGAAGAGGAACAGCAGAAAATCTTCGATTTACACCATAAACAAGCCTGGGTGGGTGGGTGTGTGTGTTTTTGTGTGTCATAGTTTCCGCATTGCAAACTTAAAATTGGGAGAGTAAAACTTTTGTTTGTGGGTCAGCATAATTTAGAACGTCGGTGGTATTCATATTACATTCCTATAATAAACACTACCATCTTTTCTGAGGATATCTCACTTAGGGAATATTTCTTCCATGTAAACCACTCACAGTTTCTATGCCTGGATGGGTCAGTAGAAAGTTCCAATGAGTAAATGCTCTCAAGCTGTGTGAGATTCTATACATAATGAATAAAATGATGATCTTTTGAAATAAATAAAAAAAGTTCTCCGTGCTTCTTCCTTTATTGACATGTGATTTGCACTGCTGATGGACACTGGTGCATAAATAAAAGATTATTTGATGTCTCTCACAATTGTGAATTCCAAATGGTGCGCTGGGAAATGTGATTGTCAAGACAAAAAAATGTTCTTGTCTCAGGTTATTAAAAAGCCCAAATTTACTGCATGGACATAACACATCAAACAGTGCAGTTGTAACTTCGTCTTGAGATCGCAAAAATTACTGTTTCATATTGCAAAGGGTCAGGGAATCAGACAATATTATTCACTGGTGGCGGTGGTCTATTGTCTTGTTCCCTGACTTTACGATCCCCTAACGTCTATTTCTATATCAGAGGTCAGGTACCTAGCTATCATGTGATCACAAAATGAGATTTAAAATTGTTGTTGAAACGTTTACTCATGCAGTGTAAAACCTTGCTTTCGTCCGAATGAAACTTGAAGCACAACGCTTTATTACATACACTGAGCATTAGGCCAAAAAAAAAGTCTCCGGTTTCTGGTATGGAGCTTGTCCAGAAAGTGGTGCGGCGACGCGGCTTTTTTTTTTTACCTGACTTTTTTGCTTCAAATGTCGACTGATGACTGCAAATGGTGCCCGACTAAACTTAGTGCAAATATATGGGAGTCCAGAGAGGCCACATAAAGCTTATTCTCGATCATAACCCCATCTAAAAACACGTTAAAATTGTGCAGCAGCAGGATTCCAGTCCAACCAGTGAGTTTGGCGGTTTTGAGACATCATCTTTCATTGAAAAAAAAAAACTTTTTCATTTTGCCGACGCGCATGGCTACGGCGACGCGCGCGCATACCAGAAACCGGAGACTTTTTTTTTTTGGCCTCACGCCTGATACTGGAATTAACCAATGCAAGGTTAATTAGGGTGAACGAACTTTAAATTTCTGGGACTGAGGAACACTACCATTTCATCCAGAAACAGTACCGCGAACATATCCGAGTGTTTATAAAAAATACACCCGGTCTCTGACAAGCGCAATGGGCTCCGTGCGCGAACGAGAGGGCGTTTTTTATAACCACTTTCCACCTCTAATGGGGACCACATTCAGTGGACTACGTCAGATGGGAACTTTGCTGCCGCGCGTGCGCTGAGAAAGCGTCCTCTTTCCCATGCGACATCCACAAAGACATGTCCGGTATACCCAGCACGATATGTGACAGAGCGGTACCCATACCCTAAACCCACATATCTCAAAAGAATTCCTGAGATTCTTTGAGATTTCTGAGGAAATGAAAAAATTAAGAAATTTTAAGGACATCCAAAACCTAAAGGAATTTCAAAGAAATATTATAAGAGAAAAAAAGTGTAGGACATCAGGAAATTCCAAAAAAAAAAACAATTTAAGGAAAGTTTAGAAAATCTCAGTTCTTTTTACAATGAACTTGTAAGGCTCCTAGCAATTCATTTCTAGCGATGTGTCAATCTTGTTGGTGCAGTTTGATGCCCAAATAATTCATTTTATGTTAAAAAGACCGCCCTTTCGCGACGCGTGACGACCTACATCGCACACTAGTCACGTGGCTTAGATCAAATTTTTGACAAGGGCAGGGGGGACACTAGCCCCCTCCCCCCCCCCCAGATTTACCTGAGTGCCCCGCTTGCAGACATTATGATGTGCCCCCCTCGAGCATAAGTGTGCCTCTCGAGGTGAACACAAAAGAAGCCTTAACAAGTTAACACTTCGAGAAATTTTGAAGAACGAGGAATATGACAGAACCAAGCCCCCAAACCCTTACAATGCACCCTGAAAAATTGCCACATAACATAATGCGTATAGTTGCATAATTGCCGGTTTAGAAGAGCGGCCCCTATTTTTGAAGATTCTACCAGCCCTCCCCCCCCCCCCCAACCACCACCACTATTTGATTTTACGGAGGCCAAGTGTCTGGTGAAACACGTGCCGACATTTAAGCCGGATGTGTCCCCCCCCCAAAAAAAAGATAAATTATTAAAATAAAATTAGCAAGTGGCCCTTTTCGGTGATCCCCCCCCCCCCATTTTGAAAACAGTTCCGTCGCCGCTGCAAGATCGTGATCGAAAGCACGAAACTTAACAGATAGATTCTTATAGCGCGCCCTTGAGACGATATTTAGAAGGGGTGACACCAAACATTATTTTGGGAAGGGTGCCTTATTTGCATAAATCGTTTTTACCAACAAAAAAAAAACAACCACGCAAATTCTTTTCAATTGTGTTGTATTTTGCAAAAGTGACCTCGAGCTTCCAACAGAAACTCAGTTTTCTTTTAAATCTGTATTTACGTTTGTGATTTTAGGAATTACGTCCAACTGTGCAAGACCCTTATAGCGCGTCGTTTAACCTACCGAGCATTTTCATTGCGTGACAAAAATGAGGAACGTACCACCAACAATTGTTTTATGGTAGAAAATATGATAGTACTCAAAATTAAAAAACAAAAATCCATCACATTTTGCTCTATACTCACTCATCCGCAATGACTGCATTGGTTCGTCGCGCTGAGCTCCAGTGCCAACGTCGAACTGCTCGGCTCCAAGCATTCTCTACCTGGTGGAAAAGGTAAGAATTGATTTTCAAAAAAGTCCATCTCATTTTGCTAAAACAACATTGTTTCATCTTTCCCTGCCTCCAGTGTTTTGTACATTGAATGTTTAATCGGTCATAAAGTGTTGCATTACGCAGGGATGGGAGAGATGAGCCTTAGGGTAAGCATCTGTTGAAAGAAATTAGGGATGTGCAGTTGATATCCCCTCTTTTTCTGTAATGGAATGGTCTGTTTAACGAGCTGGTCATATTACTGGGATAAAAGGCGTGTCAGAAAATTCTATTTGATCATTTTGGCTGTTTCTTTTCAAGCCCTGTGTCCAATATTGTCACAGTTGTCTCTCACACAACTTTATCGTCAAATTCCAACAAGCATCAAAGCGAGCAAAACAAAACTGTAAGTTATTTATCATTAGTTGTCATTTTTTTATCCTAGGAATATTTTATTATTTGTTTATGCTGTTAATTTTTAAAACAATTAAATTGAATAAAACAAATCGAGATTAACCACGAATAATTCTTATGTATGGAACGGTTTTCATTAAGAAACTGCTACATGCCTAAAAATGTCCATTATTGGTATGTTTCGGGGGGGGGGAACCGATTAAAATGAAGACGTAAAACGTCAAGTATTGCTGTTAATTGAGCAGTTAATTAAAAGCTCCATTCCTGAGCCCATGCAATGATTTTTTTTTTATATTATCCTTGAAATTGCACCTTTGTGTCCCATTCAACCTGATTTTCAAAACGTAAAACGTCAAGTATTGCTGTTAATTGAGCAGTTAATTAAAAGCTCCATTCCTGAGCCCATGCAATGATTTTTTTTTATATATTATCCTTGAAATTGCACCTTTGTGTCCCATTCAACCTGATTTTCAACTTTTGTTTCGCCATTTTAAAGAGTATTTTGGTGCCTTTTCGGTTTTCATGTTCATGTGAATTTCAACATTCATGAGTAAAACTGTGATGTCATTCCGGGCAGAAATCTCATTGATACATCAATTTCAGCACCAAAAAAACCTAAACCGAACAGTGTCTTCCTAAAAATGACATCAATGCAACAGCGCTCTCAGTTGTCCTGAAAAGCATGGAACATTTAAGTGTTTAAAGAAGTGCACTTTTCAATAAAATTAACCAAAAAAGGGGTGTCAAATAGTTTTCAATCCCATTCATTTAAGAGGAGTAGAAAGTTGCACAAAACGTGTTCCTAAGAAAAATTAATCGCATAGACTCGGAACCCGCTAGAAATTGACAATTGAATGAAAATTATATCCAAATTTTCCTGCATTTAAAAGTCTGTTCTCTGACTGTGTATGAAACAGTTTTCATTTAAAAAATGCCACATATAATATTAAATTGTCCATAAGTGGTAAGTTTTAGGGGGGGGGGGAAACAACGGTCAAATGAAGGCGTTAAACGTCAAGTACCGCAGTTGATTGAATAGTTAATTGGAATCTCTGTCGTACCCGCAGAAATCATTGACAATATTGAATAACGATTTCAGCCCATTTTCCCTGCAGTAACAGGATTGTGTGACGGCATTAGTGTCGCTTTGCATTGTATTGTTCCTGTTTGATCCCGCAGTTATTTTCAAAAATGAAGAACCTTCTGTGTTTCCTTGTTGTGTCCGTCCTCGTCAGCGGTTGCGAGAGGGAAGAAGGTATGTATTCGCCAGGCGTCAGCCCATTCGTGAAAAGGTTTTTCGATTAATTTTGATTTTCTTAATCAAGGGATGACTTATCTCTTAATGTTTATAATGCAATGCGTTGCTGTACATGCACATCAAATTGCTCGTTTTTATCTGATCAGGGCTGAGTTTTGGGGAGGTTTATGCTAGCTTTTACATTTAGATTAGTGTTCACGTTTGTTCAAGTTTTTTTTACTGTTCAAGTTTCTTGGAAGTTTGGGTTGATCTTTTTGTATCCAAGCATGAAAATGACGAATTGTTTTGAAGGTTCTGATTTCCAACTTTTTGGAGGTGTTGGACTGAATGGCAATTGGAACTCCACCAAGAATTTCTATCCCAATACCTTCTTAAACTAGAAGGAAACTAGAATTTTAAATACTTTCAAGAGACTATATTGAATTGATAACGAGTCAGTGATAAAATCAATGTCTACAACAGACACAAAACTGGGAGAACTGCTGCGTGAACTGAAGGACTTTCTGGACTCGGAGGTCAAGGAGTTTTACAACGACTTGACAGAAGGTAAGATTACCCCTCAACTTACAACATCTTCTCCATTCCTCCCCATGAACAATGGGCTTCATTCTCTTTAAAAAAAAAAAGGTACAAATATTACAGTTGACTAATTTGTATTATATAACACCCAAGTTAATCCTTGTCATTTGATTGGAGGATTGTAGGTCTCGCGGCATTCATTAATCGAACCATTGCACGGCCTACGTCATGCATAACCGTGCTTGTTTGGTTCCATTCACCGTGCATTTTCGTCTTATCCCTTTTGATCTATAATAGCACGCCGCGCGCACGCTAAGACGCGCATTCCAGTTGGCCCGGCGCTATACGATCTTTGCGCTATTTAGACACTAGCGTTATAGCAGTACAAAACTTGCCTTTGAAGTTGATGCAGTTGCCTTGATGATTTTTGTGCATTGTTTTGAAGAACTTACAATGTTAAGTTTCATTATTGTCAATGATTTGACTTTGAAACCTTTGTTAATACCTTGAACAAGGTGGAAAAAAAGTAGTGGACAATTTGGTGAGTTTTTGTTCTTAAAGTTTTATCCTCCAATCGAAAGACAAAGATCTACTTGGATGTTATATAAAACAAATAATGAATTCGTTGAAAGATTGAATGTTCCATTCTAACATTCAATCTTCAACTCATGAAAATAGTCTCACCATTGCACTCATAGTATAATAGTCAGGTGTCTTAGACCCAGTTGACAAGATCGTGACCGACTGGTCCAGATAGATTCTTATATAGCCCTAGAGAAGATATTTAGAAGGGGTGACACCTGAAATTCTTCTGGGAAGCCGGGTGCCTTATTTGCATAAATCGTTAATACCTAGCGTGTAATATTCATTTGTTTGTGCCCATAATTATTTGGGAATTTGTTTTTTGAAAAGTATATTGTGGTGATTCCTTACTCAGTCATAACATGTACATCATCAGCAACTAAATCGAGGACACATAGTAACGATCCATGTCTACCATTAATGACCTAAAGTTGCGTGCATTTCCCTTAATGTGCCTGTTAGTAACTTTGTGAATTTGAAGCTCATCACTGTACGTGGCACGGCTACTTGAAATCTGAGGGACTAATGCGCGCAACTTTAGGGTATAATGGTACTGGTAGCCGTCAGTTTGGGTCTTTATTATGTCCTTGTATAGTGAACGTTGTTTAAGTAAAGAAAGTATCATCCCCAAAATATACTTTTCAATTTTTATTTTTTTAATTATGTGATATACCCAATGGGAATACATGGCAGGTATTATAACGATTTATGCAAATCAGGCACCCTTCCCCAAAGAATAATAGTATACCAGGTGTCACCCCACAAGAAAATATTTCTGCCAAATTTGGACCGGTCGGTGACGATTCCGACCATATACTAGACTGTTTCCTGCCCCCCCCCCCCCCCCACCCCCCCCCCCCCAAAAAAAATTGAAGCCCAAAGGAGTCCAAAGGACAATGGGGACACGGGGAACCGGACAAACCACATGCCACCTGCAGCTGACTATATACTATCTGTCACCTGACTGTCAGATGTGCGTGTGTCACGTGATCGTACTAACAGCTCACATGATGTAGTTGCTTACGATCACATGTACACAGTACACATGATCACATCATCAGCGCTTCACTGCACTCCGAGGCGGGACTCAATGCGGAACGAATCACTGCAGAAATTCACGTAAAGATGCGTACTTTCGTGGTATGTGTGTCCCTCATTTGTATAGGGATTGCTCTAGGAAGTCGCTCTGTGTCTGGGGCTTCAACTTTTAGAGGTAAGTATCGGGAAAAAGTGGTCAAAGAAAGAACTTGCCAAGTGACTTCCTTATGCTCCATGAATGGGAAAAAAATCCATTCTGGGCCACCACTCAGAGCTACTGCACAAAGTCTATGTGCCATGACAGAACATTTTGAAGTATTATCAGAAAGAATTTGTGCACTCCTTAAACAGTGTTTCTTCATCAGATTTAATACTTTTGGTACTTTTCAGGTCATCATATTAACTAAATTAAGGAATATGAGTGGTGGCCCAGTGTGGAATTTTTTCCCGTGGGGAGTGTCACTTTTGAAGTGACAAAATCCCCAGCCCCCCGGCAATGCCCGGGGAAAATTTAAGTGACAATCCCGACATTCAGATTTAAGTACGCCAATGGTACTAGTAGCAATGTAATTTGAGTGACCAAAATCCCCACCCTGGGTAGCCCCATCAATGTGGCCAATTTACTGGACTGCCTCCGTAAATAAAGGCCACACGTTCATGTACAAAAACATGATGATGTAGAACTTTGTCAAATTTTGATTTTCACGTTAAGGCTTACTTTGTAGTTTATTTTTGCTTTAGAAGCTCACCCTCTTTAAAGGCTATTCAGAAAGTGCTGCCTTTTTTCAGATGTCTATTTTTCGTGAAATTTCCAGATTTGTTTGCACATGTTTGCGTATAAAAATTTCAACATGAAATTTCACGAAAAATAGACATCTGAAGAAGGCAGTACTTTCTGAAAAGCCTTTAAAAGAGGGTGAGTGTATTATGCTTCTAAAGCAAAAATTAACTACAATAAATGTGAAAATAAATATTTGACAAAGTTCTACATATTTTTGGACATGTTGCAAGTGTGGCCTTTATTTACGGAGGTAGTCAAATAAATTGGCCACATTTATGGGTCCCGCCCACCCTGGGGCATGAAAAACATGACCAAATCCCGACATCGGACCTGGGGCAGCGGGGTGGGGGGGGGGGGAGGTTCATTCCAAACCTGCCCTTGTTCTCGGGCTCTTTCCACAAAATTAAGCTAGCCCTGATATTCATCACGTTATCCTAGCGAACTATTTAGATGATTCCAAACACACACATTTTTTTCTTGTAAAGTGACAGTATCATTCATAGTTTTAGCCAACTGTTTATACAAAACATGAAAGTGTCTTTTGCTCTAATCCCACTAACTGGGTCACTAGAACTCCTTTTTTGACATTTGGGATGTTAGCCTGTCATGCCTGTCGTACTAGCGCCAGGCAAACATCTCAAATGTCAAAAAGGAGTTCTAAGGACCTAGTTAGTGGGACTACTTTTGCTCCCAAACTACACGACTACTTTTCACTTGTCTTGTGCATGGTGTGAGGTTTTTACACTTAACACTTTACAGGTTAATCTTCATTCCTCTCTCTGTCCATCCACACCAACAGGCAACAGTTCATGTTTTACCATCGGTCCCAACTTGGCCGGTCCATTTGGGCCGGCCCAAGTCCAACTATAGCTGTCCTTGAATTTGAAATATCATAGCCCAAAACAAATGGCTCAGCTATTGGTCTTCCTCTGTAGTGTCAGCTACAAATGCCCATGCTTGTGTAAAATTTTGAGAAAAGTTGTCTCTTAAAATCATGACTTTTTTTTTTTTGTCCACGTGATATTCACTATGGAAGTTTCGGAAAGATTTCCATATACGAAGTTCACTAATTTTCCTCTGTATTGACTAACAAGCCCCCAGATAGCAATTTCATGTCATCAAAGTCAATTTGAGCAGTGAGAAAATACAAGCATTTTCTTAGAAAACACTTAGAATTTTTCAGTCCAATCTCGTAGGGTTTGTACACAGGGTGTTGAGTGAACTTCGTATAGTATGGAAATCTTTCCGAAGTTTCTTACCTTGTTAAAAATCAGGGAAAATAAACAGACTGCTCTGCAACTTTATTTCTGTTGGGAAGCGTGACATGGTTGGCGTGATCTAGGGATCTGCCCGATCATTCGATCACGTTGTGCTATCAGTCGATCGTGCCGCCATCGGTCAATCACGCCAATGTTGGGCACGCGATCGGCCTGTGCGATTGGTCGATCGGGCTGCGCTATTGGTCGATTGTTCATCTCTGTGCAATCAAGTGATAGCACATCCACTGATTGCACCCAACATACATACCCCGATTGGTTAAATATGAACAAAAGTTGGGCATAGATGTCTAGTCTCTGCCTTATCCGAAAATTTGGGACTGTCAATACTGTGCATGGGCAAGTACAGATCTGGCAGATACGCCACTGCTCAACACATGCCACATTGTATCTCTCACAGGCAACTCTATCAAGGACACGGAGTACTGGAATTATGTCAATGTGCGTGAGAATGCCTACATGTTCTGGTGGCTGTATTTAGCACAGACAAACCCCGCAACTGCCCCGATTGTCATCTGGCTACAGGTACAGTATTGGCTACGTCGAAAACAATTCAGGCAAGATTAATTATTAGAAGTGTAAAGTTTGGAGCACTGTGGTCCAGTGGTTATGGTGTTTGACTCACGTGCCGTGCGTGGGTTCAAACCTTGATGGGAAACATGGTGCTTGTGTTCTTGGGCAAGACACTTTACCACAATTGCCTCTCTCCACCAAAGAGTACAAAAGGGTACCTGTGAAGGTAGAGACCAGAATGTGCTGATCTTGAGCTGCTGCAGAAACTGGTCTCATGGCCTGATGAACAGGGTAATAATTGTGAAGCGCTTTGAGACCTTTGGTATAAAGCCCTATACATGCAAGCACCGAATACATTTCTATGAGTTCCAGTACTTTGCCATGAGTACGAGTACAAGGTACTTTTTGTCAAGAATATGAAAACAAGTATGAGAACACAATTTCAGAAATAAGTACAAGTACTTTCCATGAGTGTGAGTACGCAAACAGCTGAAAAGTTTTATTTTCTGCCTGTACATATACCTCTTTAAGAACTTTTTCATGAGCATGAGTTTTGTACAACTAATTTGCCATGAGTATGAGAACAATTGAATGTTTTTCTTGCAAGCTATTTTTCTTGCGCGTATGAGTACGAGTATAAGTATATTCCATGAGTATAAAGTGCACTTAGGCTAAAAAAAAAAAGTCTCCGGTTTCTGGTATGCGCGCGCGTCGCCGTAGCCATGCGCGTCGGCAAAATGAAAAAGTTTTTTTTTCAATGGAAGATGATGTCTCAAAACCGCCAAACTCACTGGTTTGACTGGAATCATGCTGCTGCACAATTTTAACGTGTTTTTAGATTGGGTTATGGTCGAGAATAAGCTTTATGTAGCCTCTCTGGACTCCCATATTGCACTAAGTTTAATCGGGCACTATTTGCAGTCATCAGCCGACATTGGAAGCAAAAAAAATCAGGTAAAAAAAAAAAAAAGCCGCGTCGCCGCACCACTTTTTGGGCAAGCTCCATACCAGAAACCGGAGACTTTTTTTTTGGCCTTACGACCAAGAGTATGAAAAAATGAACTTGAGTGTGAGTACTACAACACCAGTTAAGTCATGTGTTTGTCACAAAGGTAATAAGATTTCAAGTAGTCGTTCCTCAGTTTTGAAAATGTTGTGTGTTATAACATGCAAAGTAATCTCCCTCCAAAAAGTGTTACAAATGCTGTATTTCAACATGATTTTATTTGTTAACCTTTATTTAGGGTGGTCCAGGTGGGTCCTCAACTGGCTTTGGCAACTTCCTGGAGATTGGTCCACTAGATGTCAACTTAAAGCCAAGGAACGTAACATGGGTAGGTTTAATTCCCCACTGCGGTCACAAACTTTCCTGACAACAGGCAGAGCGTACTGTTTTTTTTATTGAGGTCCCCACAAAACCATGAGTGGGACCCTAGCTGAGCAGGCAGGCCTTACAGGAACAGAGTGTATGTGAGGGTCCGATCTTCCCAGGCAATACATAATATATTCTGTAAATAGACCGGGGCAAAAGCCATGGTCTGTCACATATGAACAGATTTGCTGATTATTTAGGCAAGACAACCACAACTTGACCTCTAGATTTTGCCCAATCAGCAGGCCCTTTCTATGTCAGGTCTTCAGTCCTTCACCTTTGTCGTGTCTAGACATGTATAAAAATAAGCCCGCACTAGACACAGCAACAAAGGCTTCGGTCACGCTATTGTGTTACGAGGTACGTACATGCCCGGCTGTTGTTGTATTACAAAAACTGCATTCAAATTGACCAATCAAACCATTAGTCCTGATATGGGAATGTAAAGACGTCACGATTTAGGACCGATGTAGTAACATCAACTCCGATCGGCTGGCACACGGCTTGCACATATCTGCATGTTTACACATATCAGACGTTATACAGAAGATTTTGCTCCGTGGATAAGAGGTGATAATCAGACTACACATAATAGTAGATATTTGTGAATTTGAAAGCCATAGACAAATAATTCAGCTAGACAGAGCCTCTAATGTATTTTGGATAATCAAGCGGCCCTACCATCATTAACAGTTTTTCTTTTGTTTTTGTTTGAATTGCAGGTACAGACAGCCAACGTTCTGTTCATTGACAATCCTGTTGGGACTGGATATAGCTACACGACATCACCCGATGCATTTGCCACCAATAACTCCCAAATTGCTGACGATTTGGTGACAACTCTGACTGCATTCTACAAAGATCATCCAGAATTTCAGGTAGCTAAAACTCCCAAGCCTTTTAGAATAAGAGTACCAATTTGGTCTTAAGGGATCTAGGTATATAGGCGTGTGGGGTCTAATTCACAATTCATATATACCTAAGACGGTTTGCCCATTCCCATTGGTCGAGAGCCCGTCACGTGGCCGGTTTTAAACGGTTGATAAAGACCAGCGGGCTGGTCTGAAACACTTTTCCAGTGTCACATGAAATTGGGACTCCTTCTGAAATCCAGCGTGTTTTACCGTTTTTATTGGTTGAACTTTCACAATCCTCATGTAGGCATGCGCCACACTACCAGTGAGTCAGTATTTCATAGTCCTAAATTCACACTACACCGGCACAGCTGCATTTATTCTGCACTACATCGTGCAGTACGTGAGTCGCGCGCCAATCTCCATATAAGGAGTTGTTAAAGACTTTTCGCGAGATGGACATTCCATGATATATAACTAGTTCGAAAAAACATGAGGTAAAATTGTTGAATAAAATCGTTGGAAATATACAACTTTTTATTTGTTTCAACTTTTTGACTGAAAAAAGGTATTTATGAATGGGAAAAAAATGTGTGCTTGGCCGATATTAAACACTATGTTTAAGACCAGCTGGAGTCTTGATGCTGATAATTACCCTTGCCTGTAAATGTTCAGATGGTGTAATGGGTACCAACATTATTAGCTGCAGGAAGTAACCTGGCATCCCATCCAGGAGGAGTAGAAATAGTCTCGGTCATTTTATGCCAAAAGAACCAGAGATAAACCCCGATGTGATTGGCCTTGTTGGCTCGTGACAGACTTTTCTTTAATACATGTATATGGAAGGCAGATAAATTGTCTTGAATGTGAAAGCCAGTTGGTTTAATCCAGTCAAATTAGGGCAGCTAATTCTGTAAAGAAAGATTTGCATGGCTGTTAGTCTGTATTTGACTTTGTATGTGTTTCTTTTCAGGGAAATCCTCTCTACATTTTCTCTGAATCCTATGGGGGAAAGATGACAGTAGGCTTTGGCCAGGCTCTGTTGAAGGTGAGAAAAGTATTAGTGCTGTTATTTGGGGGAAAGAAGAAAATATCAAACTATAGTTCTGCTTAGGGCTGTGCCAAATATACCGAATATTTAAATATTCAATCATCCACTGAATATGTAAAAGCATTTTTGCAATTCAAAAGTCTTTTGGTTTTATTGCTTGTCAAATGCAACACTTTTGAAGAAAAACCACATTTCACAAACAATTTTTGAGCTTCCTAAGGAACATTGGTGCAATTTTCTTGTTAAAAATCTGTAAATATCAGCCATTCCACTACACTGAAAAATTTACATATATATGCATGATGTTCGTTATTTATTAATAAGCTCTTTATCAATTTTCGATAAGTGCAGGTGCCACGAAACCCAATCAGCGCCAATTAGGCTGATGCATGTTAAACTTGATCAGTGCATTTTTGAATATTTGTATATTCAATCATTAAGTCCAAGTTAGAAAAATCAATAATTGACAGCACGAGTTCTCGTTTGTTGCATAGCGGGTGATTTGAAATTCCTATGAGCAGTTTTTTATCCTTGTAGATGAAAGTTCAAAGGTAAAAAGCTTCGTTTTATGGTTAAAATTGCTTCAAAAATTTATTGTCACTGTGGAAAACAAAGTTTAATATATACTACTTTCCTGATATGCAACCGTATTCATTGAATTACAACATAAAACAGATGATGACAAAGTTTTTTTTTTTCATTTTTTAGGCGATAAAAGCTGGAAAAATCAACTGCAAGTTCCAAGGTGTGGCACTTGGAGATTCCTGGATTTCTCCTGTAGGTAAGTAACCGATTAAGTTTATCGGTCCTGATTGTCAACTTCTTTTCCTGCCCTCGATGTTATCACAGAGAAAGGCAGAGGAACTCATGATCGAAAGGACGTGTCAAAACAAACATTTTGTTATATTTTCTTTCAGATTCTGTGAATTCCTGGGGACCGTACCTTTATTCGATTGTAAGTACTTCAGCACTAGCTAGACCGATCCTTTAAATCCCGACTGCGGTAGTGGGCGATGACATATGTCCCTCTCTTCAAGTCCAAACTGCATGTTCTAGCTGTGTGCGTTAATAACACACATGACGCATGTCAGACTTATGTGCATGCATGACAGCTATTAACCACTACTCTAAGCAGTGAGCACAATATGAACCGGGCGATATTTTAGTTATTTTAGTTTATTTCTTGAATTCTTTCTGGTAATGAAACCAAGGATTCCTCAAAAGCGCCCAAGGCACTGTAGCTTGAAACCCTGAAGAAACCTGTAGAAAGAAAGCAATGAGAAGAAATTACAGTGTTAGAAGTGGGAGGAAAACCCCAGAAGAAAATTCCAGGGAAGACCCACAGAATCAAGTAGGGACTGAAACCCCAATCCACATGTGGTCCGGACAGGAATCGAACCCTGGCCACAGCGGTGGAAGGCGAGGGAAGTATTAACCGCTGCGCCAACGTGACTCCCCCATGTATAGGATAATATTACAACTGTTGTTGCCATGGACTGATCAATCAGATTTTAGAACATACTGTTACTAGATTTAATTTGATGATAACCACCATCGTAATTATCATCACTTTCTGCAGTCGTTGCTGGACAACAAGGGACTACAAGCCGTGAACACTGCGGCTAAAGCCGTCGAAGACGCAGTCAACCAAGGAAAATTTGCCGAGGCAACAGAAAAGTGGAATACATGCGAAGATGTCGTTGAAGATGTGAGTACAGATTTGTAAGGCCAACAAAAAATATTCGTTCTCTAGTCAGCGTGCACGGCCATTTTGATCATGCGTATCAATTTATTTTTTTTTCCAAATTTTCCTCGGCTTGTTTTTTTCATAACGTTTTGAAGGCAAAGTCATAAAAGTTGCCATGGATGATGGAAAATGTGAAGGAAAGCATTTAGGGTACCTGGGCAAACGAGGAGGGAACCTTCATGTAGGCAAATGCGGGGCACCAGTTACTCCATTATTGGTATAAAACCCCGAAATTATTATTATTATTAAACCAATTCCAGTTTAAGCAACCTTTGGGAAAAACTTATCAAGATATTGGCAGTTACTGTTTTGGACAACCGTTAGAGATTAATCTAGGGTTGAAGCAATATGGAGGACACAGGCAAATGATGGAGGGCACAAGGTATATGAAGACACAAAAAAGCAAAATAGCACCCACCTTGTCTGTACAATCCAAGCTTTAAAAAAAACCACATCGCCGCATCAATTCCAGAACTTTGGTCTGACCAGAAAGTGGCTATTTGCCTTTGGTTTGTTTTTGGCCTAACTGGCTAAAAAAGTACTCCTTGCTGAGGCAGCAAATCAGGCAGCTGGTATTTCAGGTTTGAGTCTGAATATAACTGTTTCCAGTTGCAAATCCAAGCCATCTACTGATGAGCCATTTAGTTGAGACCAACACACAAGAGTTCTGCACTAGCAAGACATCATGGGTCCAAGTCCCAATCGAGAAAGCGTGTGATTTTGTTCTCACGTCCTCTGACAGCATTGCACGGGGTATACAGTGATTATGAAATTAAGTTGATGCATGAGATTTTTCAGACTTTTGTCTGAAATCAGACTTTTTGAATCTGAGAGAAGGACATTATTTTTACTATAGAAAGGTATGCATCTTTCAGACATTTCATCAATTTTCAGACTTTTTTTATAAATTGACCATCTCTTCCCTGTTGACGGAGGCCATAACCAAATATTGAATTAAAATGCAAAATTCCGTCAAACCAAATAGTGATCAACTCACAAGTTGTGTGCCTTTTTAAAATGCTCATTGGTTCATCAACACCACCACCATTGCTTTCTTGGAACTGACTAAAATCGTAGCAGGGAAACATATGGAGAACTTTGCCACCCATATGTGCAGAAAATCAAAGCCCTGCATGCTCTGCGGTCACACACAACGGTGCATTGACCCGGCAACCTGCATAGCTCCACTGCGTAGACCGCACTATACATAAACAGCAGGTCGACCTCAGAACAAAAGCGATGTCTGATTTGACAAGAAAAGTGCCCCTTGTTCTTCTCAACCAATCTAAATAGTTGTTACATGAATGGAAAGCTTATTGTGTTATCTTTCAGAAACCGTGCGAGGTAATTGTATGCGACCGGGTTCACATGTGTGCTGTTCGAAGAAGTAAACCCGCACCCTCAAAAATGGAGGAAATGTGCCGTGACCTCCGTAGGAAACGCGAAATTTTCACTGAGTTGCCCGTTTTTCAATGAAAAAGTGCACATAATTATTCGCCTTTCATCATAAAGAAATTATATTCATGTGAAAGAGGAAAATCTGTATTTTGTGGTGCGATGCGAGGAAGTAAGTTTAACCAACACACTTTCCGCATATAAACGAAAGTTTGCCCAGAGCGCCTAGACATGAGCCAGTCTTCCCACGTAAACAGAGCTCCACTAGTGGCGAGTGAGCAAATGCTCCCTAGTTCTCCATATGGTGGATGGGCATTTTGACTGTAGCAGGAGGGTTGATTAATTACACTATTTGTTTGTTTTTTAACATTTCAGAAAACTGATGGCGTTAACTTTTACAACATTCTGTCAACTTATGGAGAGAGGTTGTATGAACGCCAAGACAACAAGCCACACCTCGCCCCATTAGGTAATACCACACCTCGCCCCATTAGGTAATACCACACCTCGCCCCATTAGGTAATACCACACCTCGCCCCATTAGGTATAATACCACACCTCACCCCATTAGGTAATACCACACCTCATCCCATGAGGTAATACCACACCTCATCCCATTAGGTAATATACCACACCTCTCCCATTAGGTAATACCACACCTCATCCCATTAGGTAATACCGCACCTCGCCCCATTAGGTAATACCACATCTCGCCCCATTAGGTAATACCACACCTCGCCCCATTAGGTATAAGCACAAGAGTTTACTTTGTTTGTTATATGCTGTTTTGCAATAGCCATTTAAAAAAGTAAGGCACAGCTTGTGTGTGGGAACCTGTTGTACCTCAAATGTGTATTCACTGATGATGAACATTTTGTTCAATGACTCGTTGAAGCAGCCCATGTGACAGATTCTCAACCAATAAAACAAAATTGCCAAAGTGTGATATTCACGAACTTTATTTTGATGTTGGATGCCTATGTGTGTTTCAATGCCTCATATAAAGATGTAAACGGAGGTCATGTGGCTATTTTGTTTTTTAGACCTTAACTTGTTTCTCTCCAATTTTTATTTCTTGCAGAAAAGTTGTACAGAAGGCATGTCCTGCCGTTTCAGCAGGGCGACTTGAATGCTTTGATGAATGGGCCGATTAAGAAGAAACTTGGAATTCCTGAGAACGTCACATGGGGCGGTACGACCAATAAATTTACTATTTATACTGCTTAGCAGGATCAGTATTTAGCAACAGAACCAGCGCTAATAATCTTCCCCCTATTAAAAGTGATTTCCCAGTTTTTGGAGCCAACTTTGGTGCCACTTCCGAAACCATTTGGGCCAGATGTGCCGTATGTCCATAACCATAATAACCTTAGATTTATACGGAAGCAATTGGGATTAAGCGTCTTGCTTAAGGACACAGACAGCAAGTAGTGTTTGGCTTGATAACCCTGTTATTATTATTAATCATAATGATACCAAGGATTCCTCAAAAGCGCCCCAGGCACTGTAGCTCGCAAGCCTTAAGAAACCTGTGGAGAGAAGACAGTGAGAAGAAGTTACAGTTTTAAGGTGACCATGAAGTAAAAAAGATGGACAGCATTATAACTGTAACTGTCGTCCATTGTCCATCAGATCACAATTGAACCCCCTATGAGCTCCGTGCGCTACCAAAAGAGGGTGCCCTTTTACCTAACAACGACGTCTCATGGGCGGGACATTTCGCTGGTTGACGCGCACCGTTCCTTGTGTGTGACGCACGTACACCAGGGGATTTGTTCTATTTAAACGCAGTGGCCACGCTTCGCGGCAAATGAATTGCAGTCAGGCAAGATGGCGTCGGTCAGTCACTCCCAACTGTATTTGCCGGTGAGGGGGTACTTGTGAACGGAGTGGATAGGTTGGGCCTTGATTCAGAAGGGATGCAGGACTCTACAGCCTAACAAATTGTGCTTTTTAATACATGAAACATTTGCCTTTGTGTTTTGATCTGCAGAGTTCTGGACATATTTTCAAAAATAACCACAAAAGGAAAAGAGTTCTGAACAAGTTTATATTCTTACCATGTTTCTTTGCACTTACTTCACTGTACTATAGGCATGTAAAAGGGTTACTGAATATCCAGATTAACATTTTCTGAAAGTTTCTTTTTCATTTCGTCTTTTGTTTGTCATGTACAGGCCAATCTGGTGAAGTCTTTCAAAAACTGAGTGTTGATTTTATGAAGCCAGTTTACAGCGTTGGTAAGTTAAGTCTGTATTCTTATGGCAGTCCTAATTTTACACCACAATGGTTCACAATCATAAATTTCATGCTCCATGTACATGTAGGTCCGTTATCTTATGTTCAAATTGTTTCCTTTATTTCAGTTGATAGCCTGCTGGATTCAGATCTTAATGTGACTGTGTACAGTGGTCAGCTTGATCTGATAGTCGACACAGTAGGTAAGACTCGCAAGTTATCAGTCTTTGTGCTTGAACTTTCAAAGCTAGGCATCAAACAGGGGCCGGTGAGATTTGTCAGGATTTTTCCTGATCTCAGGATTTTTTCCCCTGATTTCAGGATTTTTTGTCAGGACTTTTGCTGATTTCAGGATTTTTTGTCAGGACTTTTGCTGATTTCAGGATTTTTTTGTCAGGATTTTCCCTGATTTCAGGATTTTTTTGTCAGGATTTTCCTGATTTTAGGATTTTTTTTCCAGGACTTGTCCTGATTTCAGGATTTTTAACTTGGAATCCCTTTCGAAATCTGGAATTCCTTAGGTTTTACCAATACTTGGATATTTTACCTCTATAAACGTTTACATGGAACATATACCACAGACACTACGTTGCTCTTGGGTCCTCAGTGACCCCCAAACCATCTGCCGATTTTTGTTGTGGATTTTTCATTTCCCCACGATCTCAGCCCTGATCAAATCCCATGTGCATGTATTGGTGGCTGGTGCTGCCTTCCTCAATCAAATAGCCGGGAGCTACTTGATTGAGGTTGTGTTTTGTCCAATGGAACCTGTAAAGCATCGTGAGGTTTTAGACATAAGACAACCTAAACACTTGTACTCTACTTTTTTCCAGGCACGGAAGTGTGGGTGCAGAAACTGAAGTGGAATGGTCTGCCTGCATTCAATGACAAGACCTGGGCGCCCATCCAAGTCTATGCTGACAAGCCAGCAGCCTTTGTCAAGTCCTATCGCAATTTTGCTTTCTACTGGATCATGAAGGCTGGGCACATGGTAGGGATATATTTAATGTTGGGTTTTCCCCTTCCCCGATATAATTTCAGAACTCTGTATCCTTAGTGCTTACCCATAGGGACTCGCACCCATGAGCTCCTGCTTCATAGTGCAGTGGTCCTGGGTTCGAGTTCCTGCTGAGTTTTCTCACATACCCAATGTTCAGTGTTTATGGTAAAGGACAAAACTCAATATTAAAGGGAATGTACAACATTTGCTTTTGCTGCAATTTTCAGAAATAAACAGATTTGGAGGGATAGTATGTTATAGAAAATATTGTTAAACTGACTTGTTTCACGTTTTGGGCTTGTAGATAATGGAAAAACCAAGAAAACCAATCATGCTCTTGTAGTCTGGTTCCCTGACCCCACTTAAGATAAGAGAAGCAATTTATAGACATCAGGGAATTGTAAGGTCAGAGAATCAGTCTAGCTAGCTTGTGCCCCTTCATAGGTGTGAAATCAATTGCAAAGAAAATGCGGAATAACTAAATATGAATAATAAGTAGCAGTTTTTGAAATAAGCCACTTTTCTCCAACGCTGGTCAAGCATTATTTTCAGACTTATTATTCATATTTAGTTACATGTGCACATGTAGTTCATATACTTTTTGGTCTTAATTAGACCATTAATTTTCTATGGCTTTAGGTTTGAATTGAGTTGCATGACCCAATCTATTTGATATTCCCGGGAACTGCAAGTAATGTTTAAGTCATTTTATATCTTGCATCAAAACTGACCAACTCTGACACCTTGACAGCTACTTCTCATTATGAATGTATCTCATGGTTTTTTTTTTTTCATCTCTGTTTGATCCAGGTTCCTTCTGATGCTCCTGGGACAGCATACAAGATGATGCAGATGGTCACCAATTTGATCTAATCATACTACAGTACTCCAAGTAACTGTTGGCTATGGACCCCATTCCATAGAGCTATTAAAGGGAATGTACAACATTTGCTTTTGCTGCAATTTTCTGAAATAAATGGATTTGGAGGATTAGTATGTTATAGAAAATATTGCTTAAATGACTTGTTTCACATTTTGGGCTTGTAGATGCATGAAAAAAACAAGAAAACCAATCATGTTCTTGTAGTCTGGTTCCCTGACCAAAGATGAAACGGAGCAACTTTTAGACTTTGGGGTATTGGAAGGTCAGAGAATCAGTCAGGCTTGTGTCCCTTTACAGGTGTGTAATCAATTGCAAAGAAAACGCGGAATATGACTAATAATGAAAACTTAGGAGCATTTTTTTTTAAAAGCCAGTAATCTCCAATGCTGGTCATATCCGTCCAGCGTAGGAATAATACCATTTTTTTTTTTAAATGACAGCACACCAGGAGCCACGATTTTACAGGATGCTTTAGACTGTCATTCCCTAACAATCTAGTAAGGTATTTCGTGATAATTTGATCATTTCGTTTTGTCATGTTTGTGATGTTTGCAAATGTTGTATCGTCCCTTTAATTAGAAAATCTTTGCAAAGCAAACATAATTATGTGCCAAGCACAAATATCTGAGAATCAAGTGATATCTGAAGCCGGCCTCCAGAGCAGCAGCTATACATGTATATCTATTGTCAGCCTGTGTCCACGTGATTGTATTTTATATAAAAAAAAAAAATCAAGACATTAGCTCCAGACAAGTGATTCAGAAATTGTGTTAAGCTACATTTACTCAAAAGTACTGGTTCATAAATAAGGATCAACTGCAATATAGTAGGTTTTTGGTACTCACTACTAGTGTGTGTCCTTATAAATTTTGCATTATTAAAATGCTGTGTTGGGAATGAAATGTACTTATAATACCGAAGTGATTTGTAAAGTGGGGAAAAGTCGTGTGAGAAGATGATATTTTTTCACAACTTTTGAACATAACTCCATAATTTTTTTGGCTAACAGCCGTGAATTGTAATATAATATGATCAATATGTGTGCTATTATTAAAAGCACAGCGAAGTAAATTACGAAATTAAAAAACAAATCCATGGTGGCTTCAATATTTCGTTTACAGTTTGCAATGTGCAACTTCAACAGTAATGTATGGTATAAACCAATTGTTGATAACATATATGTTATATTTACTCCTTGCTTATACTATTGTTCATAAAGATAAATCATCAAATTAATGGCAGCTTTTGTACTTCGCAATATCAACTATTTTATTAGCTTTACCACCCTTAGTTCAGACTTGTGCCATTGATGCAATTTTCAGAGGTTTCATAAAAGTCAAAATTGATTGAGTTTTGAGTGATTGACTTTTGAGGACAGGTGATGACTACTGCAATTCTGGCAGGTTTTCCACAAGATTCTCCGCTGTTTTAACAATTTGTACAAGTGTATGCATGTTCTCTCAAATATTTTCTCCTAACTTAGCTTGTTCCTTTTTCGAAGGAAAGTAGTTTCTGAATGTACACTAGCGTAGATGGCTGTCCTCAGTCATGAAATCTTGTGAAACAAGAATTTCCGAATTTCTTTGACTTTAAAATTGCAATGTGTGTGGCAGGTCCGGATTGTTCAGTCTAAAGTAAAAGTACCGTAGCAAAAATATGTGATATTGGTGACGGTGCCTTGAGGACTGACCCTTGCATCTTACGTCACATAGGGGAAGGTCATTGTGCCTCTGTGATATACGCATGCGTAGCCACTACATTTAAATAACAAAACCTCTCAGTGAGGCGCACCGTACAAGGGCTTGCCCACCATATAATTCAAAATTGCTGAAAGCTTTACATCGTTGGACAATCACTAAGTTCGTAAATGTTACCAATCAATGCAACTGACTACTGGCTTAAATTAATAATAAATTAAACACTTTATAAATGAATTTAATTCTAGTACCAAATTATTAATTTTTTTTAAAGAGACGTTGATTAAATTATTAAAGAAAAATTGCAAATGTATTTTATATGGATGTGTTTTACAGCATATTAAAATTTCCATTCTGAAGAAATTTTGTGTGACATTCGTTCTCTTAGCTGCTTACCGTAATATTTCCTGTGAATGAATTGCACACGAAACCATGTTTATGTTGCAATATCGATATCTCGTTGAGCGGTATGCAAATTTTGGGCCGGGGGATCCAGGGGGGCGTGGGGCGCACGCCCCCTTTTTTCCTTCAGACAAACAGAAAGAGAGACTCAAAAAGAGGGAGAGACAAAATTAATAGGGCAGGTCACGTCAGACTGCGCCTGCTAGGATTAGTTGCACATAAGACATTTATTATTGGGTGACGAGACAAAAAATGCAGCGGCGAGCGAGAGGAGGGGAGGTCTATGCTATTGCACGCTATAACCAGATTCTAACAACATCAGTGTTACTGTTGGACAACGGAGGCATCGTAGTCATGAAGTCTCACTCTGTTACGAAAATCACTGATTTCTTCGCATTCAAGCGCCAATCGATGGGGGACGAGGGGACACGTCCCCCCCCCCACATTTTTTTTTCGGGGGTTGGAGATGTCATATTGTTTGTCCCCCCCCCCCCCCCCCCACTTTTTTCGTCCCCGAATAAATTGTAGCCTATATTTGATTCCATAGCTCAGAACTGATTCAAGGACTCCAAACACGAAGATGATGTTTAAATGATGATCTTTTGCTAAAAAAAAAACTGGTAAAGTTGTCAGAAATTGCCTTATATCGCACCACAGAGCATCTAGAATCCAACATTTTTCGGGGCCACGAACTCCACGCCGTAATTAGGGCTTCGCGGTGGCATAAGTTCTGATCAAAGTATGTCCCTTCCCCCTCCCCCTACTTTTGAGAAGCGATTGACGCCCTTGTTTACGCCCCCCCCCCTTGGAAAATCCCGGATCCGCCCATATTGGGGAACTTGGGGAATATTTTCAATTTTTGATGTGGAATTTGCGTATGGTTGATGTAAAATTCAAGATTATAATGGATTGTGCCCTACACTGGAGTATACTCGGTGTTGTGTGATTGTGAGAAGTCACTCGGGTCGGACTCGAACCTACGATCGCCCTCCTAGCTGCTTTAGTGAAGAGGTGTTTTTCACTCAGAATGTACAAAGTCATGTAGGCCCCTATGTTTCCTAATGTCTGTGTTGTCAATATTTGGAATTTAAACAATGAATAAACATATCTATTTGAGGCAACAGTGACGTGGGTTCGAGCCCGCCGGCGGACACTTGTGCCCTTAAGCAAGGTACTTTACCATTCTTGCTTCGTCCTTCGGATGGGACGTAAAGCCGTAGGTCCCGTGTGTTGTGTAATTCACGTTAAAGAACCCAGTAACACTTGTCGCTAAGAGAAGGGGTTCGCCCCGGTGTCCTGGCAGTGGCCGCAGCACCTTATAAACCCTTATAAGGTGCTACATAATGGGTCTCATAATTTCTCATGTACTTCATTCATCTAATAATATAGACATTAGTTCAGTCGGAAAAGGGGGGTATCGTGCACCCTCGGAAATCAATTTCTAATCAACGTGTCTAGGTCAGAAAAAATGCGTAGAAAACGATTTGCTATGTTAAAAAATTCAAAAAATGTCCCACGTATTGTTTTTATGCAAATTAGTGCCGCCATTACCGAAAAATCTATTTTTAATTATATCTCAGCCAATATTGCTGATAACTGAACGAACTAGGTGTCTAAACCCATGTTTTCAAGGTCAGAGATCACAATAAAACTATTCTGGAAGTGACCACATGTGTCTGTGGCATAGGAATATGCAAATTAGTGCCGCAAATACCGGAAAGTCATGTTTTTGGCATATCTCGGCCAATATAGCACATAACTACACCAGTAAGGTGTCTAAACCCATGTTTTGAGGGTCAAGTATAATTAGAAGACCATTCACGAAGTAACAATGTGTGTCTTTGGCATGAAAATATGTAAATTATAAAGTGTCGGTTTATCCGATATTTGATTTTTAGCCAATATATCGGCCAATATTTCACATAACTACACAAATAAGGTGTCTAAACCCATGTTTTGAGGGTCAGGTATCATTAGAAGACCATTCACGAAGTAACTATGCGTGTCCTTGGCAGGTAAATATGTAAATTCAAAAGTGTCGATTTATCGTAAATTTGATTTTTAGCCAATATCTCGGCCAATATTGCAGCTAATGTTGACAGAAGGGTTTTTGATAAGCAATAATGATCAAAGTTTATTTTAAGCCATTATATTTAAAATAAACTGTACTATTGGCTGAAATTGAATATAATATTGGCTAAAAATCAATTTTTTGATAAACCGGCAAATTAGAATTTACATATTTTCATGCCAAAGACACACATAGTTACTTCGTAAATGGTCTTCTAATGATACCTGACCCTCAAAACATGGGTTTAGACACCTTATTGGTGTAGTTATGTGCAATATTGGCCGAGATATTGGCTAAAAATCAAATATCTGATAAACCGACACTTAATATTTTACATATTTTCATGCCAAAGACACACATAGTTACTTCGTGAATGGTCTTCTAATGATACTTGACCATCAAAACATGGGTTTAGACACCTTACTGGTGTAGTTATGTTCTATATTGGCCGAGATATGCCAAAAACATGATGTTCCGGTATTAGCGGCACTAATTTGCATATTCCTATGCCACAGACACATGTGGTGACTTCCAAAATAGTTTTATTGTGATCTCTGACCTTGAAAACATGGGTTTAGACACCTAGTTCGTTCAGTTATCTGCAATATTGGCTGAGATATAATTAAAAATAGATTTTTCGGTAATGGCGGCACTAATTTGCATAAAAACAATACGTGGGACATTTTTTGAATTTTTTAACATAGCAAATCGTTTTCTACGCATTTTTTCTGACCTAGACACGTTGATTAGAAATTGATTTCCGAGGGTGCACGATACCCCCCTTTTCCGACTAAACTACATAACTTCCAGTGCTTTGAGTGCCTATACTCCGTTGCGATAATGCCTGAATAGGTTTCTGCAACGTAACCATACAGATACAGATACAGAAGCAGGACACTCATGCGGTCGGTCGGTCAGATTTTGTTGATGAACTTGGACGTGTTTGGCTCAATGGATCGTTTAATTGAATTGATTTCACAATTTAAGGTCCGCTCTTTTTCTTCTTCATTTTTATCCATTTGTTTGTTTCATTAAATATCCACATAAAGGTTTTGGCAGATCTTCTAAAGTTCAATTGACTGTGTGTGCAGGCTTCCATATTTGTGTACGCTCATAGCGTTTTTATAATCCCTTTCTATACACAGAAATATATAATAGGGCCTGAGGTTTATAAGATTTCCATGGACTCGTAGCTATAGCTGCATGAACGGCTTTTCATTGAAGCTTTGAAGGACTGTATGTCCCCGGGGTCCCTAACAGTGTACGCTGTACGGATCAATGGTTATCACTATTTACTTAACACCATGTAACCTATACAGTTTGTACCCTTCAACTGTGTCTGATAAAATGGCGGGTATTTTTCTAGTAAGTGGTTGTCGAAAGACCGCCACATGCATTACATATACACGGTAACTGTCCAACTTGTGAGCTGATGATACCATTCTACCTCCGTGATGATACCGCGTGACTCCATGCGTTGCCGGTCGAACATGTACGCCCAATTATTCTGCGTCCTACAATGTTGCAATGCTACAATGACTTTGCTGTCGGCGGAGTTGACCGGTACCAAGATAGACAGCAGAGAATCGGGCCCGGTGAATGTCCAGTTGTCAGAATGGCTCTGGAGGGGAAGCGAGAGTCGGGCTCTAGCCCAAAAGGCGCTGCATTCCGGGTTCATAAAGGGAATCAAGTCAGGTCTGCTGGATCCCAGACATTTTGGTAATTATGAGCTACACGTATGACTGAATGCATTCGTAAATGTATGGAAAATGTTGACGAGTAACTTTTGAAAACAGAGGGATAATTGAGGAGCTAGTTCTTGTATTGGTGAGGTTGGTTGGTCGGTCGGTCGGCTGGCCGGCCGGCCGAATTGCTAGTTTACTGGCTGCGTGGTTGGCTGCCAGGCTGGTTGGATTCTTTGTTGGCTTGATGAGTGGTCGGCCATAGTTTGCTGATTGGTTGGCTGGTTGACTGACTACTGCTAGGTGGCCTGCATGGCTCGCCAGCAGTAGTTACAGTTTATTAAGCTGGCTGAGTGACTGACTAGTTGCTTTAGTTGGCTGGCTATTGCTCGCTATGGCTAGCTGGTTGGGTTATACTTATAGTGGTCACCTGTTTGGCTGGCTGCAGGGTTGCTGGTTGGCTGTCTGGCGGTTTATTAAGCTGTTTGGGTGGCTGGTTTGCTGGCTGGTTATCCGCCTGGTTTGACGGTTGGCTGCAGACTGGTTCCCAGCTAACACATCACGTTGCCACAACGTTGTGCAAAGTTGTGAAAATGTTGTGATTTGGTAACGTGTCACTATGACATTCAAGCAACGTTGACACAACGTTTGACTGTATAATTGTTGGTTGTAAAAATGTTGTATATTGGTAATTTGTACAACGTTGTACGAAAGTCATCATATGACATTGTATTGACGTTGTATGGTGGTCGTTTCACAATCGTTGTAATAAAGTAATAAATATGACGTTGTGGTTACGTTAAATGTAGGTGTTTTCATGACGTTGTTTTTAAGTTGTCAATGTTACGTTGTCAGAACGTTGTAATTTAGAATGTTTACAACGTTGCTGTGAGGTTATAATCATGACGTTGAGTTAACGTTCCATCTACGTTATTTTATAACGTTTTTTCAGTTGTGAAAATCACATTGTCACGACGTTGTAGTTTAGTATTTCAAAACGTTGCTGTGATGTAAAAATCATGACGTTGTTGTAACATTGTACGTGGGTACGTTCACAACGTTGTTGGTATGTTGTTATTCTCACGTTGTCATGACGTTGTAGATAACAATGTACACCACGTTGCTGTGTTCATGACGTTATGATGATGTTGCATAAAAGTCTCATCATTTTTGTTAAGTTGTAAATATCATGTTGTCGTGACATTGCAGTTTGGTATTTTCACAGCGTGGCTGTTATGTTGAGAGCTCACGTTGCTGTAACGTTTTATAAAGGTGTTTTGACACTGAATTTAAGTTGCAATTATGCTGTGCGTTACGATCCATGCTGTTGTGGTATTGACAAAAACATGGTGATTACGATTTACTGAATGTGAAGTGAATATAATATGTTTTAATCAATGATGTTTTATTTGATAATAATTAACATTTGGGTGCCGCCTTGCATTAATAATGTAACTCATGAAATTTCGAACATCATCATGTTTGTTTTGTCGTAGTAGGAATATAATGTTTCCAGATATTTTTCTAATGGTCTAAGATGGATGAGATCGTGGTCAAAGCGCGACTGTTTCCTGCTCATATTCATTGTTGAATACTCAATGTATACTTGTACTTTATTGCACACACCAACGTAACTAGAAATATGATTCCCGTTCTCAAAGAAAATATTACCATGGCGCATGCGCATCAGCAGAAATTCCACGTCCAGACCGCGTGATAGCTCATTTGAATTGCTCTGCTCAGTCGAGTCAGCAATCGAGCAGCAGCAGCTCACTATAACGGTCGCCGACTCGCCGTCCAGTTGATGTGAAGTAGCCATGGTCGCCAAGCAAGTTATTTTTACTACAGCATTTCTTAGAAGGTAGGAATGAAATTGTCTGTATCTTGACTTCATTCTTGTGTCGAACACAATTGGCGGGTTGACTACCTGACTTGCAGACATGCCTGCTTAAATGGCTGGTTGGCTGGATTGGTGGTTGGCTGCTTGGCTGGCTGACAGGCTGGTCGGCGCTTGGCTATCGTGAGCTGACTGGCTGGCGGCTGGCTGGCTGGCTAGCTGACTGCCCGACTGACTCCCTCCCCGACATGCAGGCTTTTAGTAGGCTGGTTGGATGGATGGCTGGCTGGCTGGCTTGCTGGCTGGCTGGCCGGCTGATTGCTGGCTCGGACTGATCTTTGCAATGGCAAGGCTATAGCTAGCTGTCTGACTAGATGCATGTATTTGGCGGGCTGGCTGACTACTTGGTACTTGGTTGGTGGTCCTCCAAAATATTCCATCTAGGGAATTTAAACTTGAGGTGTGGTGTGGCGAGAGTGGTCGAGATTAAATTTTGTCACAAAGAGCATTCCTAAAGGAGTCTGGATTTGTGAGAGCAACTGTTGGCGTTTTTTTCTTTTTGTCTATTATTAAAAGCTTGCGTCTTTCTCCTATATTTACATTTTCATTTCATCGACTTGATTTTGCAGGTAGCTTTTTCGTTCAGGATGCTGTTTTCTGTTTCCACGTTGTACAGCATCTCAAGATTGCACTGCAGAAATATCCCAGTGATTCTACACTTACTGCCGTCTTGCAAGAACAAATAAGAACTAACGAAAAGTAAGTTACCGATTTCCTTTTACAACAAGTCAAGGCGTGTTAATCATTGCGCATTGCGAAATTACGCCTTCATAAAATGACTCAATAGAAATGTGCATCTGATTTGTTGAGCGCTCAACTTTTGTTACAAACTTTTGACGAGACGAGGTGTTAATCTTCGCTTGACTCTGCAATCATTTTAGGTATACTCGTGATCTGTTCCAGCAATGGCACATTGCCAATCCGAACGGGATTTTGTTGGGGAAAGCTGCGGAAGAGTACGTCAAGTTTGAACGGGAAGTTGCCGAGGATATGAGCCCCCTGTATCTGCTGATTGCCATGCTGCCTTGTGAAAAACTGTGGAGCTGGTTAGCTATGGAACTTCAATATGAAATTGTAAGTTTTATTCACCAACAAAGGAACAATGTCATGAATCTGATTTCGATATCAGCGAAGAGTCGTCGCTGTACTATAACGAGTCGAATTGAATTCGTTCAAAGCGTTTGATTAAGTCAGCGTTCCAGATTTCATTCAAATTTAACTCGCAAACGGCTTATTCCTCCCACACGGTTTTCTTCACGTCTCTTGCAGAGCGCCACCAACGTCTACCGCTTCTGGGTCGATGATCACGTCAGCATCGACCCCGTGCTCGCCACTTTCATCGACGAAAACGCTGGGCGGTACAACGTAGACCTGGACACGGCCATGTTCATCTACCAGAAAGCTTTGTATTGGGAGGGGGAATTCTTCGAGTCGGCAAGTGCAGGCTCGAATTAGATTTTTCATCCTCTTTTAATATAGGTTTTCCCGGCTATTTTAAACAATTTTTCATTCAAATTAACCAACTCTATATCATTCAATTTCATCCACGAAAAATTTCACACAACAAAACCAATTAGTAATTTACCATTCAATTTTAAAGTTTGGTCACCCTCTTTAGTCACCGAGTCGAGAATTTTCGTCACTACCGATCAAATTCGTCTAAGCTGTTGCCGAAGGGAAGCATTCGGAGATCGAATTCGTCTCAGTAGACGAATTTGATTTCCGAATAACAATGTTTGGCGTAGACGAGACGAAATCGAATACTCCGAAATTTGCTTGAACTCGGAATTTGAAATTGTCCGACAAAAGACGAAATTGAACATTGAAAGTGAACTAAATCAATGTTGATGGACGAATTTGAATATTAGAACCGGGAATTCGAATGATGAACGTTTTAAAATAGCCGAGAAAATCTATACTTAGTAGTGCAAAAAGGTCAAGGAACTGGATTGTATATACATGGAATGTCTAGAAGTAGTACTTTTAAAACTGCTTAGAGCCTTTCGTGCGAATGTGATAGACATTCTTAGTTCAAGACGGTTTTGTCCCTTCTACACACACTAGACCTTACAGGGGATAATATAGGTTTCCCCAGCTATTTTAAAACATGTTGCATTCAATTCACCAACTCTGACATTCAATTTCATCCGAGAAAAAAATTCACACGCTTTTACCAAAGCCAATTTAGTCATTGACCATTCAACTTCAAAGTTTGGTCACCCTCTTTAGTCATCGTGTCGAGAATATTCGTCATTACAGATCAAATTCGTCCAGGCTGTTGTGGGATGGCAGCATTCAGAGTTCAAATTCGTCTTTTAGTCAATCAAAATTAGTCAGGTGTGTTCTAGAGAATTTTCCTTGTTTCCCCAAGGACGATTTGGCATATTCGCTGGCAGGATTTTTCGGACCAAAGCAGAGTACTGATCTCAAGGAAGAGTTACCAAAAAAAGTAAAGATTACCAAGATAAACAATACAACATTATTTAAAATAAACAAAAGAAAAGAAAAGTCTGACAATGAAAAAAAGGAAACTACAAAAGCCACGAATCGATAACCCATAAATCCCCGTGTAATATGCCTAAAATATATTTTAAGAAGATAAAGAAGTAAAGACTTATTCTTATTAGAGGCATGCATGCATTTGAAGATATCGCTATGAAGTCTGACGAAATGGAAAAAAAATCATTTCTAAATTGTGTGGCATTAGACGAATTTGATTTCTCAATAACACGATTCGGCATAGACGAGACGAAATCGAATACTCCTGGTCGAAAACTTGTGCTCATTGTTTGGAATTTGTTCGGACTAAATTTGAAATTGTTTGACAAAAGACGAAATTTAACATTGGATGTGCACTTAAACGATGTTGCCGGACGAATTTGAATATAAGAATCGGTGAATTCGAACGAAAATGTTTTAAAATAGCTGGAATAACCTATAAACAAATATCCCGAATTGAGCCAAGACTGTAGGTCCTCGTAAAATTCTTCTATCTCATAATTAATTAATAAAAGTTGTTTCGTTAAGCAATGTCTGTCTTGTTGGAAATAACAATATTTCTTCACACCATTTCTGTTTTCTTCTAATCTCTTTATCTTATCGCATACTATTTCAAACGAAATTAATTCCACAGTATTCTCCGTCATTTTATCTTCAATTATTCTTTGTCATTTTTTCTACTTAAACATATGTCTAATATTAAATGCACATGGCCCATTTTAATAAAATTTCTCATGCCCAAATATTGTTGGGGTCAAAGTATTTTAATTACTGCTGAAATGGTCGCTTCGGAATTTTTTATTATGACCTCCGTGTTTTCGCTTTTTAATTTTTTTTTCTTCCAAGTAAGCTAGCATTTATTTTTAAAAAAGCACTAAAGCAAAATTGTTTTAAATTTATGCAACAAGGACTTCGTCAATTATTCAGTCCCTTTTGCATAAGTTGAACGCAGTTATACATGAGTGCCTTTTTAAGCCACAAGCTTCGTAGTAAAACAATAATCCAGTAACTTTTTAATGAATAACATTAATTTTGTAAAGACCTAGAAAATATAATTATTCGCGTCTTTGTGTGGTCAAGGTCTAAATGCTGGTCGGGTTGCACGTTTTTCACCGACAAAATGGGCATAATGGGGCTTTGATATACACGCAATGCACTCTAAAAACAACTTTAGTCAAAATATTGACTGCATTTTTCCTAGTTATCGAGAATGTACGAGGGATTTAATTAAACATGCAAAGTTTCATATTATGACTACACAAAGTAGTTGGATTTGACTCCCGAATTTTAGTTATTTGCGTTACTATTTTTCCTATATATTCACTACTGACTGGAAAAATCTAGTCCAAGCAGCTGCAGGTGGCTGACAAAATAAAGGATCTTTATCACACACACGTCAACTATACCAGTTAATTGGGTCGAATCACAAGTTAGGTGACTTGCGATGAACAATACAAACAAATACCTTAATTATTTTATTAACTTGGTACTAATTTGACTTGATAACCACACAGTGATATAGTACATAACAAAAACAGGTATGTACGGTTTTTTTCTGACCATCTCAGCATACCTTTTGGTCTAATCTAAATACTCTAATTAATTTCTAATCTAAATACTCTAATTAATTAATAACTTGAGACACCTTCGAATTCTTTTGCATCAAATTTAGAAGTAGATGTGCTTAAGTTGGTATTTCGTTGGTGGAGAACTTGAAACTCGAGTTTGGGGTGCATGTCCTGCAAAGAACCTGTTTTGCCTGCAATCCGAATGCAGTCCGTTTCTTCCTCTACCTGTCCTGTTTCTTGCAAAGCACACAATACTTGCGAAGGCCTCCCTGAACTGCAAATTGGTGAACGCGTAAATGAAAGGGTTGACAGCACTATTGATGAAACCAAGCCAGTTGATGTAGCTTCTGAGTTCCTTACAAGCTTCCCCGCACCATGGGTTGATGACTATGATGATAAAGACCGGCAACCAGCAAACCATGAAAGCCCCGACCACGAGCCCAACTGTCTTCGCTGCTCGGTACTCCCGGTGTAGTTCGGTTTGGGCTTGTTGTGCACGACCGCCTCGGTGTATTCTCATGGCTTCCTGGTGAGGCTCCCCATCGCCATTTCCCACCTGAAGCCTGCCTTTCTGGACCCTCCTACTGTGTTGCCAAGCTACGCAGAACATCTTCGCGTAGAGCACGATTATTATCGTTGCCGGGACGAAAAACGAAATGCCGGATGACGCAACATTGTAAAGCACTGGGGAGGGCAGCAGGCAGTGGTTGCCGAGTTCGGGCGACACTGGAATGATGGTGTTCCAGTACAGCATCCAGGGGAAGGACACACAGAGTGACAAACCCCAGGCCACGAGCATGAGCACACAGGCGAGCCTCCTGGTCATTTTCACCGGGTATGTCATGGGATGGACTATGGCCACGTAGCGGTCGGCCGAAACGACGCACAGGTGTAAAATGGAAGCGGTGCAGGCCATGACGTCGAACGCGAAGAAAAAGAAGCACGCCCACTGTCCTAGATACCAATTCCCCCGATTGACAAATTCCAGGGAGATGTAGAACGGAATGACCACAATTCCGACCAGCAGGTCAGCACATGCCAAGGAAACCAGAAAACTGTTGGCGATGCTTCGCAGTTTCTTGTTTTTCACGTAAGCGGTGATTACCAAAAGGTTACCGACGACAGTGACAAGAGCGAGCCCCGATGCGCACACCGAGGCGACGACTATCACAGTCGCCGGTAGGTCGTCATCATCGCTCGTCGTGTCCAAGACGGCCAATGAATTATTATTACCGGTAATTGCCATAGCGATGACTGACAATGTCCAGGTGACAGTATGATATCCGCTTGTAAAGTGTGGGAGTGTCACGGTACAAATGATGCAGGAAAATATGTTTAGGCGCCAACAAATCCGAAGCTTCAGGCACATTACACGAATTTGGATCCCACGCCAAGCACGATCGGCAAATAGGATGTTCTAATATTTGCAACCTATTATACCGCCGTGTATATGCCCGCCCTCTCTCCACAAGTCTCCAGTCGACAGTTATTATAATGTTGGCGACCGTTTCATGTCATCTCAAAACAACATCGCGATATCATAACGTTCAATGAAAGACTTTATCAGCTTTGCCTGCATTTCTTCGCAGTCATGGGTGGATGAGCACCATTGATTTTAAACTACAGGTTTCAAACACCTTGCCAAGGCGTTTGGCTGATTTTAATGGTCTGGTGCACCATGGGTGGGGTACAGGTTTAGTCTGGTCTGGTTCCCAAACCAAAATATTCTGATCGAGAGACCAGCTAACTAGTGGGAGCCGTCTCGCCGCCATGCATGTGCATCATATCATCACTGTATCCATTTTGTCTCCAGTAATTCAGACGTCCTTGAAGATTGTAGGCCAGTGAGCATGTAAACATTTAGATGTTTGGAGGAAATCGGACCGGAGAATCGGTTTACATTTTGCAGCGGGTTACAGTTTTTCCAAAATAGAGATGGGGTTTAAAAACACTTTTAGGGAAGACCTAAAAGTCATCACATCCAAAAACAAATAACAGAAAGAGAAGCAAGCCCAACACAAGTCCATCACAAGTTATTTTTGCTTGTTAATGGCAGGCGCGGTTCTGGAGCCTATATTTTTGGGGGGGGGGGGGGGCTATCAGGGGTGGATCCAGAATTGTTTGCAGGGAGGCGTGTAGACTTGGTGCCAAGTCGGTTATTGTTAAAGTACGTACGGTACTGCAGGGCGGTGGGTACGAGCGAAGTACGGTACCGGTTACTGGCTTCTCGGGACAGTTGGCCTCCGAAACTGAATAGGGGTGTGTGTGTGTGATGGGGTGGGGGGGGGGTCGTACCACATTTTCAATGGGGAGCGCTGAAATATTACGGCCATCGTGGACACTATTACCTATAAAAAGAGTACATATGCCCCTATCTAATATTTTTTTGTGGGGGGGGGGGGGGAGACAATTCGCATGTGACGTCAACTTTGAAAATTGGCTAAAGCCCCCCCCCCCCCTAGAACCGCGCCTTGTTAATGGACTTGTGAATTTACTTGAGATTTGCTGATGGATTTACTTATTGCAAGTCGTGTGTTTTAACATGCCGAACAGTTTATCTGTGGAAGTGTATGATATCAATCGGACGCTTGACTTTATGCAAATTTTCCAACCCATACCGTTTTGATATTTCCCCCGCTACCCGCCGACGCCCGACCTCGGGACCTGAAAAATCCGTAATCCAAGTTATTAAAAAACGGCCTAAGCACATCTTCATGATAATGTGTCCACAATATGCAAAAAGTTCCACTTTGGAATTTGACGAACCCTCTCAGTCTGAGGTCAGGGAACGGGCCAGCTATAGGTCTGGACTGGCACAATCACTATAGCAACGTGGTTTCAGCCTTGATGCCTCAATTCAATTCAATTCAATTCAATTCAATTCAATTCAATTCAATTCAAACTATTTTATTTTTCATTAAAAGGGCAATTATAGGTTGGACAGCTCACTACAAAAAACTATAAGTAATTACAAGTGGAATAAAATGTAAAACATTTTAAACAATTACAAACTGTAAACAGTGCAAACAGCCGTCTGCTTTCAAGTTACAGAAAGGTTTTCAACTGGAATATACGTCTCATCGTCAAGGGTCGACACGCCATTCCATTCATCCTAGCGTAAATTGACATGCAATTAGCAGCCCTTGGGAAATATCACCGGTAAAGGCCCATCATTTCCTCCCAGCCTGAAGTAACGTCAAAACCTTCCATTTAAGTATCGGACTAATGGATAAAGTGCGGTGAATGAATTAATTCAATTATGTTGGGTCGCTTCCCTGATGCGGAGATCACGAACGAACGCAGTTTTGTGCCAGCACCCTGAGCGGCGCACGGTGACATTCTTCAAAAGCTCTGGTTTCACATTCGTGCAATGGAAAGGATAATTGCAAATTATTCTTACCATTGCACTCACAAACATTCGTTATTTGTATACTACAATGAACTTTTCGTCGGCATAAAATCAAAAGGCACCAAGAACGCCCTTAAAATGACAATATGAAGATTACAAATAAAGTTAAATGGACCACAAAGATATATTTCAAGGATTGGATCTACGACAAAAAATACATGACACCTTAAACTTAATTGAAACTTAGACAAAAATTACTTTAAGCTAAAAAAACCCACGTTTTGTCACTACCGCATTAGTTTTGTTACAAGTTCTGTATGGAATCGCATAACTTGCTTTTCGTGTTAATAAATCACTCATTTTAACATACTGATATTGGTGAAAGGTTAAGCTGTTCCAATATATATTTTGTTAGACTCTGTGGATTAAAGTTCCCATTTATTAGTCAGGAATAGCTCTGGCGACTTGTTACTTGTCTCGTTATAGCTGAATAACTTTAGGTTATAGCCTGCAGAGAGTAAATTAATGTATACACACACGTTGCCACAAACAATCGTCTTCTGGTTATGCACGCGCCTCACACACGGTCTCTTAGCAACGGAACGAAGCGTGCCCCAAGAGAGATGTACTCCAGATCGTAACTTAATGAATCTCACTTATTTTAATCATCGTCAATGGAAATACGATCTCGTGAGTGCGAGGCTTGACGCATTCGCCTGTAATACAAACAGGGAAAGTTGCGTAAATGATAATGAAGTCTTGATGATCCCCTCAAAAGCAACGATAATTTTTTTCGTGGACCAAAAGGGGGGAAACTGAGAAGAAAATAATGAAACAGAAATACCTATAAATAAATAACCAAGACTGTCGGAGCGGACACTGCGCATATTTGGGGGAAGATATCTGATCTCAGCGAGCCCTAGGCCTATACCTTTGTGAAAATTTCCTATTCCCATTCCAATTTCCAGCTGTGTTGTACAATAATATTGATTTCAAGCTAACATGAAATGTTTATGAAATGTGGGCACAATTTTTCCCAAGGTGGGCATAGTTAATATTATAACACCTCACCCACAGATTTTTTTGTCTTGATTGGCCGAATATTATAACCAAGCAGAATCTGTGGGTGAAGTGTTATAAAACAAAGATTTAATGCTTTATTTCGTGGTGAAGTAAAACTAGCCTCCCTCGGTGATCGATGGGAGCATTCTATTTCCCTCGGCTTCGCCTCGGGAAAATAGAATGTCCATGGATCACCTCGGGAGGCTAGTTTTACTACACCACTCGAAGAATTCAATATTTGTATATACCCCCCCCCCCCCCCCTATTTGCGGTAAGGTAAATACGCATTTTTGCACCGTCGTGTACTACATTGTATTACATTGTGTTTACTCATTGAAGAATCGATTCAATTCAACAATGGTTTATTAAAAGCATGTCTCGCAGTACAAGGGCGGATGGGAGGGGGGCAATGCCATGGCTCCCACAAAAAAAAAACGAACTTAATATTTTTTTCTTTTGGTTTAAGTGACGTACGTCGGAATAAAGGCAGGCACTGCATACACCACCATCTTTTCCTCAAAAAAAAATTGTTAAAAGTGGTCAGAAGTTGCCTCAGATCGCACCACAGATTATATAGAATCCCAAAAATGTTCGCGGCCCTTCAGCGGGCCCTGAACCCCATGAACACGCCGTAATTTTTTGGGGCCCTCTTTTTGGGGGACCAAAATTGTTTTTTGGCCCCCCCCCCCCCAAAAAAAAAAAATGTGTTCTGGATCCGCCCTTGCGCAGTTAAAAAACTAAATTGTACATGTGAACGTGCGATCTTTAAAAAATGTATACTATTTAAAACTCAATATGATTAAGTATAAAACCCTAAACATTTACATGTACATAAAAAGACATACTTAAAGTCCAGGGTTCGACCTTAACTTTTTTTCACTAGCCAGCCCGGCTACTGAAACAGACTCTTAACTAGCCCGCGGGCATTTTCACTAGCCTGCATGTTTTTTTTTCTTTGAAGACTGAAACATGACAATGTTGTGGACAAAGTATTAAAAGTCAGTTTAAAATGTGGACAAGTTGTGGGAGTGCACAGTTAGCGAACCTTTCTGTGCGACACTTCTACTGATCGTACTTCTATGTATATCTTAAAGTTAAAAGAGTTGTTTTCTTTAAGGTGGTAACCAATATTTGCACACATTGTGGGATTGACAGGACAAAATTGAATCCCACTAAAACTGTGCAAAGATTCAATTCAAAGAAAAACTAAAACCATACAGTGCTCGGTCGGTTTCGGGCCCGATACAGTGATTACCCCCCCCCCCCCCCAGTAGGCAATTAGAGCCTCAGTCGGCAAATGAACGGCATATAGGCGTGGCTAAAGAAGGAGTGTAGGGACTCCCAATAATTAAGGCCCCCCCCCCAAAAAAAAAGTCTCCGGTTTCTGGTATGGAGCTTGCCTCAAAAGTGGTGCGGCAACGCGGCTTTTTTTTTCTTACTTTTTCTTCTTCAAATTTCGCCTGATGACTGCAAATGGTGCCCGACTAAATCGAGTGCAAAATGTATGGGAGCCCAGAGAGGCTACATAAAGCTTATACTCGATCGTAACCCCATCTAAAAACACGTTAAAATTGTGCAGCAGCAGGATTCCAGTCAAACCAGTGAGTTTGGCAGTTTTGAGACATCATCTTACATTGAAAAAAAACTTTTAATTTTGCCGACGCGCATGGCTACGGCGACGCACCAGAAACCGGAGATTTTTTTTTGGCCTAATGGATGTTATACTACCCAAACCTAAATTCACACTACACCTGCAAAATACCATGTCTATGAAAATACCGTGAAAAGTTAGCAACGGGCCGCTTGAGCTGAGGGTTACTCGGGCCGTTTGTTTTTGATGTTGACAGTTATAGATATTTTGTCCAATTATTTTAATTTTGTGAAAAGCGAAAAATGCAAAATAGACGTGTTGGAATTTCAGGAGGCCCCCTATATTCCCGGTTGATTTAGCACTCGACTCGAGTAATATCCATGGACAAATTCAAATTTCATAATTATAATCCAGTTTCAAATCCGCACTGTTGGTGTGGATGATCAGTAGCGTAATTCTTGCCGGGGACTGGGGGAGGGGTGACGGGGGGGGGGGGGATGGGATGACTTACATCAAAACATTACCCGGCCGACTCACGGGCGTCACCAGGATTTTTCCGGGGGGGGGGGGGGCAAAGCAAATTTTCCCAAACAAATCCCTAACTTTTTCATTATATTCTCAATTTATCAGGGTTTTTTTTCGAGCCGTGAGCAGGGAGCATTTGCCCTACCCCCCCCCCCCCCCCCATCCAATTAACAGCAATATGGCTTCGCATCTCTTTCTCTTTTTCCCCCTTTTTTTTCGTTTTCCGGGGGGGGGGGCCTCTCTCGACGCCCATGCGGCGGCCGTGGAAACTTGAAAAGCGGGGGACGGGGGTGGTGGGGGGTGTTCGCTGGAAACTACGTGACACTAGGGGGTGCTGGTCATGATACATAATATATGTCACGGCCCCAAAACGGGCGCATTAAAGTTTTTGTACTTTTTTCTCCCTTTTTCAGCAAATACATCTTGGTTGTTTGAAAGTTTGAAAAATAGCTAAGAATCCGCCTTTTTTCTCACCACGAAAAAGTGGGGGGGGGGGAATCCAACAGACCATCTCCCCGGTCACAAAGTGGGGGATGTACCCCCCCCCCCCCATTTACGCCTCTGAACATTATTATTATTTTTTTTTAAATCATGCGTTCTGTCATTCTATTTTGTCAGTGGCCAGCACTGAAGAAACGTTTGGTTTTATTCTAATTATAGAAATATTTACAACATACGTATTTCTTACTTGCTTTACATTATTAAGCAATTTGTGAGGTTCTTTTTTATGTAAAAAAAAAAGAAGAAGGAAATCTACGATTTTGGAAGGCTCTGTTTATTGTGCTTTTTAAATGAATATGAAAATCATATAGGAAATTAACATTAAACGTTATTATTTGCGAATGGTTTCGCTTTAATTTCATGCTCAGTTGAATAAAATGCATTTGAATTTAAATGACCAACGCGCATTTGAATTTAAATGACCAATGCGCTGTTCAATAAATGAGACGAATTTTCCGCCATTGGGCTACGCCCATAGAAAAAAGAGTTGTTTTCTTTAAGGTGGTAACCAATATTTGCACACATTGTGGGATTGACAGGACAAAATTGAATCCCACTAAAACTGTGCAAAGATCCAATTCAAAGAAAAACTAAAACCATACAGTGCTCGGTCGGTTTCGCGCCCGATACAGTGATTACCCCCCCCCCCCCCCCCCCAGTAGGCAATTAGAGCCTCAGTCGGCAAATGAACGGCATATAGGCGTGGCTAAAGAAGGAGTGGAGGGACTCCCAATAATTAAGGCCCCCCCCCCCAAAAAAAAGTCTCCGGTTTCTGGTATGGAGCTTGCCTCAAAAGTGGTGCGGCAACGCGGCTTTTTTTTTTTCTTACTTTTTCTTCTTCAAATTTCGCCTGATGACTGCAAATGGTGCCCGACTAAATCGAGTGCAAAATGTATGGGAGCCCAGAGAGGCTACATAAAGCTTATACTCGATCGTAACCCCATCTAAAAACACGTTAAAATTGTGCAGCAGCAGGATTCCAGTCAAACCAGTGAGTTTGGCAGTTTTGAGACATCATCTTACATTGAAAAAAAACTTTTAATTTTGCCGACGCGCATGGCTACGGCGACGCACCAGAAACCGGAGATTTTTTTTTGGCCTAATGGATGTTATACTACCCAAACCTAAATTCACACTACACCTGCAAAATACCATGTCTATGAAAATACCGTGAAAAGTTAGCAACGGGCCGCTTGAGCTGAGGGTTACTCGGGCCGTTTGTTTTTGATGTTGACAGTTATAGATATTTTGTCCAATTATTTTAATTTTGTGAAAAGCGAAAAATGCAAAATAGACGTGTTGGAATTTCAGGAGGCCCCCTATATTCCCGGTTGATTTAGCACTCGACTCGAGTAATATCCATGGACAAATTCAAATTTCATAATTATAATCCAGTTTCAAATCCGCACTGTTGGTGTGGATGATCAGTAGCGTAATTCTTGCCGGGGACTGGGGGAGGGTGACGGGGGGGGGGGGGGGGGGGATGGGATGACTTACATCAAAACGTTACCCGGCCGACTCACGGGCGTCACCAGGATTTTTCCGGGGGGGGGGGCAAAGCAAATTTTCCCAAACAAATCCCTAACTTTTTCATTATATTCTCAATTTATCAGGTTTTTTTTTTCGAGCCGTGAGCAGGGAGCATTTGCCCTACCCCCCCCCCCCATCCAATTAACAGCAATATGGCTTCGCATCTCTTTCTCTTTTTCCCCCTTTTTTTTCGTTTTCCGGGGGGGGGGGCCTCTCGACGCCCATGCGGCGGCCGTGGAAACTTGAAAAGCGGGGGACGGGGGTGGTGGGGGGTGTTCGCTGGAAACTACGTGACACTTGGGGGTGCTGGTCATGATACATAATATATGTCACGGCCCCAAAACGGGCGCATTAAAGTTTTTGTACTTTTTTCTCCCTTTTTCAGCAAATACATCTTGGTTGTTTGAAAGTTTGAAAAATAGCTAAGAATCCGCCTTTTTTCTCACCACGAAAAAGTGGGGGGGGGGGGGGGGGGGGGGAATCCAACAGACCATCTCCCCGGTCACAAAGTGGGGGATGTACCCCCCCCCCCCCATTTACGCCTCTGAACATTATTATTTTTTTTTTTTAAATCATGCGTTCTGTCATTCTATTTTGTCAGTGGCCAGCACTGAAGAAACGTTTGGTTTTATTCTAATTATAGAAATATTTACAACATACGTATTTCTTACTTGCTTTACATTATTAAACAATTTGTGAGGTTCTTTTTTATGTAAAAAAAAAAGAAGGAAATCTACGATTTTGGAAGGCTCTGTTTATTGTGCTTTTTAAATGAATATGAAAATCATATAGGAAATTAACATTAAACGTTATTATTTGCGAATGGTTTCGCTTTAATTTCATGCTCAGTTGAATAAAATGCATTTGAATTTAAATGACCAACGCGCATTTGAATTTAAATGACCAATGCGCTGTTCAATAAATGAGACGAATTTTCCGCCATTGGGCTACGCCCATAGAAAATCGCCGCATGGCTTCGTGAACATAGAGGGCGGTATTATCAATGGCTACAAAATATTTCGATACGAGGCAAGAGCACGACGAACTTCACCCAAATACAAAGTTTTAGCCCCTTTGCCGTCATAAAATCCTCGAATGATGAGAGAGGAAGATGTCAGGTACTCCGTCCTCAATACTGTCTTACCAGACTCTGGTACATGCCGTGGCTGGAGCAGCTGTGAGTACATTTTGCTAGTCCAAGTTGTTTTGAAAGTTTCGATACATCACGTACATGACGTAGTAAACACGGTCATGTCGGTAGAAAAGTCCTCATCACAATGTACACGTGTGTAGGCTACGCGTGTTCACTACGCAACTGGTGACTCACTGATTCACTTGCACTCTACCTAACCATGACCTAACCGCCCTCACCACATGTATTTTCATGAATTAGCCAAAACTCGTATTGAAACTAATGAGGGTGGGCCATCATTGTATAGGGCCTACTGGTTTCACATGCCAAGTAACTTGGATCCAACTTATCGCCTTTTTAACATTCGGACATGGTCTGGCGATAGTAGGGCCAAGCTAATCCTAAGTTATATGCCGAGCAACACATTGACCCAAAACCCAACATTGCCCAACAAAAACATCAGATTTCACCCTCAAAACAGCCTCCAAATTACTAGATACCCTACCTGAGGTACAACTTAGACATAAATTAAGATGGTTGTACTGAAGTTTACTTACGATCCGGATGAAAAGTGAAATTTCCCATTCAATTCTGAGAGCTCCCCTCGCGATCGTGAACACGTTAAATTTCTGACTTATGCAAATCGATCTTGTCGCTCAGGCCAGACATGCAAGTTGCAATGGGACGGCTGTTTCTTGTTTCGCCCATAATGTATGGCTGCGTGCTATTTGAGTCCACCGCGCAAGTTTAAACTTGCGTGCACGCAAGTTTAAACTTGCGCGCGCATTAATTTCCTTGCTACAAATTGCGCGCGCAAGTTAACTTGCGCACTGCATAGATTTTCCCGGCCACGCATAGAAAGCCGCTAAACTATATTTTTTCCCGGGTATACTCATGCAGTTAATATGTAACATTATTTTTAAAGCAGATTTTTTTTTCTCCGATTTAATAGTATCGCTGAGCTTCGGGAGACAATGCCTTTTTGAAACATTTCATTAAAGGGAATATACATCATTTGCTTTTGCTGTAATTTTCAGAAATGGATGGAATTGGTGGGTTGGAAATATAAAGCAAATATAGTTACACTGACTTTTTGGAGGTTTTGGGTTCGTAAATGCTTAAAAAACCAAGAAAAACGATCATTTTCCTGTAGTCTGGTTCCCTGACTCCATATAAGAAGAAACAGAGCAGTTTACATATATTGGGGAATTGTAAGGTCAGGAAACCAGTCTAGCTGGCTCGTACCCGTTCATAGGTTTGTAATCGATTGCAAACAAGTGCAATGGTCAATTGGGGCCAGTATTTGAAAAAAAGCCAGTTGTTTCCAACGCTGATCGGCCGATCAGCGTTGGAAATTGATACAAAAATACAACTTTTCTTGAAAATGACAGTATACCAGGTGCCATAATTTTACAGGATGCTTTAGACTGTCATTTACCAACATCCTATTAAGGTATTTCGCAAAAACTTGGTAGTTTTATTTTTCGATGTTTGCAAATGTTGTATATTCCCTTTAAGGAGAGATAAGGAGTGGTAATGCGAACAATTTAAATGCACTTTGCATGTGTATTATTGTTTATGGCTCATTAGGATTTTTGTTTAATAAACAACATATTTATTCATTAAGTCGAATTAATTAATTAAATAAATTCATTAATTAAATCATTTGCAAATTCATTACGTTTTTAAATAATTAGTGTTTTATATGCATAGCGTTTTTAAGTTGTAAACATTAATATGAATTATTGAGCCTGCAATAACATAATTGTTAAAGTAATAAATTTAATTAATTTAATTAGTAATGCGTTCACTAATTTTGTTTTTAAATTATGCATTTTTGAAGTGTACACAGCGCTCGAAATGTTATGCAAGTATTTCTAAAAACAATATAAATTATTGCACCGCCCAATTTATTAATATTGTTAAATTACTTAGTATTTTTTTAAGAGTAAGTACTTTTTTAATTGTAAAATACATTTGATGTAATTTAAAGCATTTTAAAAAATAATGTAAATGATTACTATAACGTCAAAACTTGAACAATTGAAGGGATCATAATCATTCTTTTTATGTTAACAGTGGGTTACACCTAGGAAATTATGATTTATTTACATTCAAGAATATAAATACGGTAAAATGCTAATTAGGTTTACAAAGCAAAAACTTGAAGCTGGTCTCCATTGTTGAACAACTTCAGTACACTTTCCAAGCAATCGCCGCTAGTGTGCTTAAGTTAATTGCTTGCCCGGTCCCCTCCCCAGCCCCGCCCCCGGGTACCCTTAAACAACTTCTCTGATATTGATAAGGCCAAAAAATAGTCTCCGGTTTCTGGTATGCGGGCGCGTCGCCGTAGCCATGCACGTCGGCAAAATGAAAAAAAAAAATTTTTTAATGAAAAACATGTTTTTAGATGGGGTAATGATCGAGAATAAGCTTTAGGCCTATGCGGCCTCTCTGGACTCCCATTATATTTGCACGAAGTTTAGTCGGGCACCATTTGCAGTCATCAGCCGACATTTGAAGCAAAAAAAAAAAAAAAAAAAAAGCTGCGTCCCGCACCACTGTTTGGGCAAGCTCCATACCAGAAACCGGAGACTTATTTTTTTTTGGCCTAAGCACTGCACTGCTAAATCTCAATGTTTCTTTTCATACATGTAGACGCTAATTGAATTTTCCTTTTTATCTATTTCTTTGTTCATTCATTTATTCCATTGTTTCTCCATGTAGGCCTACTCGTGTTTTGAAAAAAAATTCTTCATCAATGAAAATCCCGCCCGCAAAAGAAGGTTGCGATCGCCTTTGCCCAAGTTTAAACTTGCGCACGCAAATTAAAATGGCGCGGTGTAATTTGCGTGCTTCGGAAGTCCCTCGCGCAGGTTTAAACTTGCGCGCGCAAGTTTAAACTTGCGTGGGGGACTCAAATTGCGCTCGACACTAATACTATCGGTTGAGAGATTGTATAGGTCACCCTCTCATTATGATCATAAAAATAGCATATTATCGCACTTACGCATGCGCAATATTACCAATGAGTCCATTTTTAATGGAGTTGGATATTCACGCTACACTGGCATTCCTCACTAAACACTTTCATAATTTTTTGTCTGTAGTAAAAAGCTTCCACTTTTGAGTTATATCCAGGTTTTTTTACACTTCCGGTAACAGCGGTTTTGTGTCCGGGGACGAGAAATGTTTCTCACGGCATAGTCTACAACCTCACGAAAAAAATGAACACGATACTCTATTTAGTTCAAAAGATATAGCGCAAACTATTTGTCAAATTTTGCACTTAAATCACTTGTAATTTGATGCCTGATGACGTCATGATGATGTAACAAAATGTATAACATCTCCGTAACATGGTACAACTATAAGTTCACACTAGGTTTTATGATCATACCGTAAACCGTTCGGAAGAAATTTTACTTTGTTTTCATTTCAGGCTAAATGTATTTTCATTTTGAAATCACCTAACTTTGACCTTCCGGTTGACCCGGAAGTAAAGGTCAAGCGAGTTCACTTACACTACAAAAAATGTTCATCAAGTTTATATGGTCTATCTGATTCCAGAATACAAACATCATTGTTATAGGTAAAAGTAATTGGTCACTTTTTCAGCTAAAATCGCTTGTAATTTGATGCCCGATGATGTCATCATGTCGTCAGAGTAACATGCACCACTTGGGATGAGGGTCGATATATATTGAAAGTTACAAGTTCATATCTTCAACCGTTTAGGAGAAAACCCACGGAGAAGTATTGTCGGGAAAAAAAAAAAGAACCAAACAAAGAAGATTTATGAGAACAATTCTAGACAGTAATCTGTAACGCTGACTTAATCCAATGCTTTGCACATTTTAACTTTGGATTCTCCTGACCAAAGAGACTGTGATTCGGGGCAAGCCTTATGCTAGCAACCCCCAGCTCCGGCATGGTCTGGTGTCTTAGTGCCATTCTCACCCATTGTGAACAATGTATTGGTACTGAGCATCACTTACGTAACTATGCAAGAGCTTGCCCTGAATCATGTGATTAGCAACAGTGTCTTTGGTCTGGAGAATTCAAAGTTAAAATGTGCCAAGCATTCTGAGCAAGTCAGTGTACCAGATGTTTTTCAAATTAAAAACCCAAAGGGTACAGATCACTCGCAAATTATGGCTAATCATTGCGACACTTCCATCTGTTTTCAATTCCAGGGAAGTATAGCAGCAATGTCGCTCTTCTATCCTCTGGAAACGGCAAGAACGAGGCTACAGAGTGAGTAATTCTTTCATCTTGAACTGGGCCCTTGTGAATGTGTACATGTTGGTCAACAGTGCACGCTAGTATTTCACAAATAATATTTGTATCCAAATTTGATTCACTTTAGTTTTGAGTTTATGTAGCAGTTACCCTTTGATCATGTTGATAAGAGCAGGGGGCTTCCGGAGAGGGAATTTGACGTTTCAAAAGTTTCAAATAATGGTTGATAACAAGACAATGACCTCCATAGTTTTCATTCTCCACAAAGTCATGTGTCATGTTTTACATTATGTACATATAGGTTCAAAGAATCAAAGCATGCAGGACTTTGTGACAGTGAATACAGACTTTTTATTGTTTCACTTCCAGGCAAGAACATCAAAGTCCAACCGTTGTGCCAGATTTTTTGAGAGATCATTTATATGTCTTTGTTTTGGATGATTAATCGTAACAGACTGGTCATTTTTTTTGGCGTTACGTAGTGCTTGAAATATTGCATGGCCTGTATGTTGCATTTTCACACATAACAATTTGGGTACATAACATTATATAATGAAATCTGATAGCACTTGGAATGCCTAATATCAGGTGTTTAGTCTTTGATAAAGATTTTGAAAGGACAATGCACATGCAATGTTCTTTGACAGCTGAAATGTATTAGCCTAAGCTTAACTACAGGATTCTAATTGTGCAGGAGGAAAATAATATAGCCTTATAAAATCAACTATACATGTATCTCTGGTTTGCATTGATGGATTTTCTTGATATTTTCACCAATTATAAACAAGACCATAGGCATAAAATAATATAACATTTGATTAGAAAGTATGACCACCTTTTGAGCAAATCAGCGACTTCTTCATGCACACTGTTTATTGGGATATGCTGTATGTGCACCACAAACACCCCAGTTAAGGTAAATTGGGGTGCTGAAATAATTTGCCACTCACACTTAAATTTGTCACTACAAAACGATGCTGAGGTCACCAACATATTCACCCATCCATTTTTATGACACCGTCTTCCAAAATTCTCCAATATTTTGCCATAAAAATTGAAAGATTAACAGTTATTGCTCAAACACGATGTCTCTATTTTCCTATTCTTTGTAGTCGATGATAAGCGAGAGGCTAGATACACTCCACATGTTATTGCAGAAATTGTCAGGGAAGAAGGAGTGTAAGTATAAATCAGGAGGAAAGAGATTTCTGTTTTCTATGTCTGCATAATAATTTGTGAAAATACAGAGATGGATCTGTAGATGTGTATCTGAAGTATGATGATACTTAAGCGGGTCCAGGGGGAGGGGCAAATGGAGACCACCCCCCCCCCCCCAAAAAAAACCAACAACAACCACCACACACACAATAACATTGTTAACTCTGACAGTCATGTCACTGTTGTCCCACAAACTTGGGTGTACTGTTGTCCCACAAACTTGGGTGGGACTCGAACCCACAACCTCCTACAACCAACTAGGGCACAACCTACTAGAGCAGATGTTTTACCACCAAACCAGTACAACACGGTCAAACTGCAACATGGAAATCTAGAATTTTGTGTCGAGCACAATTACTCATTGGTAACCAGACCAGCTATTTTTGTTTCTTGTAGGGTTTCCCTTTACCGAGGCTGGTTCCCCGTCATCAGCAGCCTGTGCTGCTCCAACTTTGTCTACTTCTACGCCTTCAACGGTCTCAAGGCAGCCTGCTCAGATCACATGAAGGGCACGGTGGCCATCAAGGAACTGTTGATTGGTATCGTAGCTGGTGAGTGGGAACTGTGAGGTTTTAATATTAGTGTGGTGCTTGTATAGTGCTTTATTTCGTGTACGTATATGTTTCAAAGCAGTTACTGCCCCTGTTCATTAGGCCATGAGACCAGCTCAAGATCAGGGCAGTATATGGTCTGTACCCTCACAGGTACCCATTTATACTCCTGGGTGGACAGAGGTCATTGTAGTCAAGTGTCTTGCCCAAGAACACAAACACCATGATCCTATCAGGGTTTGAACCCATGGACCATTGCGCGTGAGTTGGACATTGTAACCGTTGGACCGCTGTATAAACAATTTAGCCAGTTGGGGTGTCCAGCTGTCTTTATTACACCCTGTAGGCACATTTTGTACACCCATTTTATTATGCAGTTTTATATAAATGGATAAAACTTCAATAACTTTTACAACATCCTTTTTTCCCCCCCGATTTAAGACCATTGGACACCCAATTTGCAAATGCGGACCAAAGAACTGTTAAATCCCCTGGATTAAGGCAAGTCTCACATCACTGCTAATCCTGATATGACTAAGATTGAGACCCATAGTCTCTTTTCTGAGAAAACCAACACGTTTAATTGGGACTTCCTGGCATTTGATGTCTCTGTTTTATCATTGGGTCTCGTAGCTGTGTGTACTCATGGAGGGAGCTTGTGCCATTTGTTGGAGAAAGGATTTTTGTCCGATGCAATTCACTCTCTTCTGAAGTACTTTGTACCCCTGAATGTATTCATAACATACCTAAGGATATGAAAATGTCACTATAGATGCCTCTCAAATGACGTCAGTGCCTGCAGATTGTCACGTGCATAGATCTGCATTTTGGGAGTCAGCTGTGCTGTATTTCGAAGAAATTTTGTTAAGAACATTTTTTAAGCACATTGCGCGCACACGTACCTGATGGCGTTGAAAACGCAGTTGTAATTTTCCTACGAAGATGGCTGTCTATGAGAGGGGTCTATACAAGTTTGAGGCCAACATCATGCTTTAATAATAATAATTGTGCTTATATAGCGCTTTCCATCGTATTATCGATCTCAAAGCGCTTTACAATTTTTACCCCGTTCATCAGGCCATGGGACCACGCAGCAGCCGATATCAGCACTCAATCGGTCTTCGACCCTCACGGGTACCGTTTTATACTCCTGGGTGGAGAGAGGCAATTGTAGTTAAGTGTCTTGCCCAAGGGCACAAACACCATGTTCCTGGTCGGGTTCGAACCCACGCACCTTTGTACACGAATCAAACACCGTAACCACTGGACCATGGCATTCAATCATAACCAGGCAAACACATTGATGCCATGATCTCAGCTTTTAGGTTAAGTTTGCGTAACTTCACCTTAAACACCTTGCTGAAATATGTTGTCATTTTTGTTGTGAGTGAATGATGAAATCAACAAGTATAAAAGATCGTCTTGAGCTGAACTCTCTTTTCCATTCATAATACTGATCTTGCGACTGTCCTGTTACCTCATCCAGGCGTCTTCAACGTTCTAGTGACCACACCCATGTGGGTTGTGAACATGAGAATGAAACTTCAAGGTGCTAACTTCCAGACGGAGCAGAAACAGAAGAGCAAACATCCGCACTACAGTGGCATCTTCCGTAAGTCCTTAAAGCCTTACATTTGTTTGCATGATTTAGGCTTGTTCAAATGAGGAGGCATTAGAAGTTTGAATAAACACTCGTATCTCATTCAGATTTAGTCAGCATTTCTTTGTCCTTTTTTGACCTACTTTATAAGAGGAGAATGCAAAATTAACGGGCCTTAAGCTGAGGTTTCCTGCTATGATTTTCAAGGTTTTACAGGGTTTTATTTAGCCTTGGTCAAGGCATTCGATGCGTATCCGTCATTCGATGATCAGCCGCTAAAAAAACAGTAGCCTTGCGCTAGCACTATGCACTCACATATACTGTACGAAGTGCGAACAGCGACCTCGCGCGGCTAGGCTACAATATGCAACCTAGTTGGTGCTGAACAAACGCCTTGGAACAGCCGTGTCCCTTGGCTAATGTTTTTCTTTATTTTTGTCACTGGATTTCTAGCGACGACCCCGTATGCGAATAAAGATGAGATTATTATTCAGTACTTGGTCGTGGGGGCTCATATTTTGAGAGTTAGATAGTGTGGCTACATTCTTCAACAAGTTTGGAGTCCTCAGACCAAATATAACTCATTAAAATCCAGCGACAAAATGACGAAAATTGCATTACCGATCAGGTGTAGCTCAGAATTAGTATAATAATTATGTATCCAGAGGATCAAGTAAAACTTTACTATAAATCACCACTCAGTTTGGGTCGTGAATATGTAAAAGATGTGTAATTTGGGGTTTTTTTTCCGTAGATGCCTTCAGGACTATCATCTCAGAGGAAGGCTTGGGTGCATTGTGGAGCGGTACCTCGTCTTCTCTTCTCCTTGTCCTCAATCCTGCCATTCATTTCATGTTCTATGAGGCTTTCAAGAGGTACCTGACTAAATACACTGGAGACAAGGTCAGTGTTGGATGAGTTTTGGATCTTTTGATAATGAGCTCATAGTCCAGCTAAGCACACAATTTTCTGCTTATGAAATCAGTTTATGAAGGGCAAAAGTAAATGTTAAATTTACATTTCCCTGCTGGAAAAATGATCCTCGTTACTGATGTGGGTACGAACTTCAAATATTCAAGAAAGGATTCAGAAAATTCAAGGGGAACAGACCTCGAATACATGTATGACATGTTGTCCACTAACCCAAATACCTCCCCCAAATCTACCCTTTCTTCCCCATAAAATCCACTACTATACCCCCTCTATCTCCTTCCCCACAATCATCCATCTACCCCCCTCCCCTCCCCCAGAACATCAGTTAAAAACCTGGAGAAAAGTGTATCTCTGTGGAAAACTGTTCCCGGCCGTTCTGCACACGTACATGTGGCCTGACAAATTTTGCATAATTGTAACTCTCGTTGCTCAGCAATCAACAAATTTAATACAGCAATTAGTCATATGTCTCACAACACGTTTCACTTTATTTTATCGTTTTCTCCTCAGGAGCATTCATCTGTGCTGTACTTTATGATGGGAGCTGTTGCCAAGATTATAGCCACACTACTCACCTACCCACTTCAGTTAGTCCAGACAAAGCAAAGGGTATGTATGATAATAAGATAAGATGTGGTAGTGGTGTCAGTAACCGCAGTACTAATAGTATACAGGTATTGATAAACAAGACGTACAAAATCGGTTACTCACGTTACATTTTCGTAATGTGAGTAACCGATTTTTTGCGTCTTGTTTATCATACATAACACATTTTTCTGGATGTCATCTTTGGTGCTTAGGTCTAGGTCTACTCTATCTACCATGGGGATAACAGTTATTAAACCTTTTCAGTAAGGTAATTACAGCCAAAGGAAACTCAAAAGTACATCAAAAATGTAACGTGAGTAACCGTTGAATTGCCCATATATCAGCAGCACTAGCAGAAGTGACGGTGAACATTACTTTTTTGTTTAAAAAACTACAGAGAGTTTGAAAATCTGATTGTAAACTTTTATTTTGATATTTTGATATTTTTCAGTATGGAAAAGAGGAATCCGAATCTCACAAGAAGCTAAAGTCCATGTGGTCGGTGCTTTGTTTTATTGTTAGGTAGGTTAAGCCCATTAGCACTTGTAGTCAATTGCTCTAGCTGTGTTGTGCAAAGCAAAGGGGATAAAATTATTCAAAAGTCTTTGCAGGCATGAGATTTTTTTTGGATTTTAGTCTGAATTCAGACTTCTTGAATCTGAGAGAAAGACATTATCAGTGTAGTAAGAAATGCATCTTTCAGACCTTTCATCCAGTTTTCAGACTTTTTTTTTTTAAATCGACAATCTCATCCCTGTCTTTGAGAACAATCGATGTGATGTACCCCGGAAACATGAATGATGTACTCCTCGGAGTCTGTCACATGACCAGTTCTCTACCAATAGGTCTCGTTCAAATGACGTCATTTCCTACAGACCATCCACGTGCATGGGCATTTTGAGCGTGAACTTGCATAACGCGCATCGGCTGCATCGTATTTCGAACATATTTCGAGCAACAAGCGCGCGTGTTTGGAACATTTTCAACACTGCGCAATGCGTGCGTAAAATACAAAGTTGCAGTGCTCCTATAGAGATGGCCGTCATTGAATGAGCCCTATAAAATTTCACAATCTTTTACCATGATACATGTAATTGATGAAAGAATGTAGCATATACATGTACATTGTATTTGGCATAGAGGGGTTTTATTTAATATTACCAAACGCGTCAGTATGGTTTGATATTGTATGTTTACATGGGATTTGGGCAATACAATATTACAAAATGAAGTATCATTATTTCATTGTTTGCAGGAACCAAGGGCTTCAGGGTCTCTTCAAAGGCTTGGAGGCCAAGCTACTCCAAACCGTCCTGACTGCTGCTATGATGTTCACCATTTACGAGAAGATTGCATCCGTCATCTTCCAATTAATGAAAGCAGAGAAACAACACATTAAGGGCAGATAGTTGTCACTGATACGTCAACTTATTGCATTGAGTGATGAAGCTTAGTATTACCATTGTAAAGCATTCCATATACGCTTTGAAATCCATTTTGTGCCATAGTTGAGAAAAAGCTTAAATGTATTATTGACACAAAGCGGATTGAAAAAGTACATTTGGAAAGGCAGGTTACGTCTTTCATCCCATCCTTTTATTTTTGTTATAATTTTGGCAATAACATGTCAACAATAATTGGAGCATTTTTAATTTGTACAAATCAGTATTTCTTATGTTTTGTTTCTCCAATCATGTCACAGATTCAGAGTCAACTGTTTTCAAATTTTGGATAATCTTGCCTTTGACCACTTGCCCCCCCCCCCCCCCCCCCCCGACAGAATAAAAATGCACTGGTATATGTGACCTGTCACCAGAAATGAGCATAGGGTCAGATTTTTTATGAATTGAAACATTTTTATATCTGGATTCTGTAGAACAAGAGCTTCTAATAGTTTAACATTTGGGGGTACCGTGTTCAGTAGCGGAAACCCAAACCACCAACTAAATTAAAAGTTGTAAGGCCAAAAAAAAAAAATTAGTCGGTCTCTGGTCAGACCGAAGTTCTGGAATTGATGCAGCGACACTGTTTTTTTTTATTTTGGTGGCTTTTTTTTTTCAAGCTTGAATTGTACAGACAAGGTGGGTACTACTTTGCTCTTTAGTGTCCTCATTATACATTGGTGTCCTCCATAATTTGCCTTGGTGCCCTTTATCATTTGCCTTGGTGCCCTTTATCATTTGCCTTGGTGCCCTTTATCATTTGCCTTGGTGCAATTTCCCCATTCCTTGGTGCTCCTTGGTACAAAAATTTGAGGAGATGTTGCAATAGAGGGCGCTGTTGTAGCTTCCGTGTTAATTTGAAGAGAAAAAAAGTTGACGCGCATGATTAAAATCGACGCGCGCGCTGACCAGAGATCGAGTATTTTTTTCTTTTGGCCTAAAAGTAATTTTTTGATAAAATGGTATTGAAATATCCTACTGGAGTCAACTATTAACATGGGGTGAAATTAACTTTTTTTTTACTTTAGATGTTTGAGGGAAAACAAAATTAGTAAAAGTAGAACAGAACTTACGGATGGAGGTTCACCTGAAAGGCGACAAATCAACCACTCTTTCAATTTTGGCTTTGCCCTACTGTACTGCAAAATTGTAAATTCCAGCTTATAATGCTCATTTTGTGGGACAGGTCACATATTCACAGTCTCGGAAGAAACTTAGAAAAATCTATGGATAGAGGATGCCCATTGATTAAAACAATTTCTTGTCCAGTGACTTAATTTCATCCAAAGAGTGCAAGTGATTCAGTTTTAATATTGTGTTATGAGTTTTTTGTAATGTGGAATTGTTCAGGTATCCATGAATTGTAAACTCACTTGTTATAGAGGATTTTTATTTATTCAGAGGTGATGTAATTGTTTTAAAAAAATATGCGGAGAAAATCCTTTGTTGAAATAATCAATTTTATATTTTTTTTGTAGAGGTTTATAGAATAAACGTACATGTATAATGGAATTAAATTGGAATAAAAATTATGAGCAAGGAATTGATCACATGAACAGTTTATTGAATTCACAACTCAATTGCTAAAGAACACACCTGACAGAAAGAAACATTAAATTAGAAAGATTCCTTTGTATAAACTTGTACCCATTTGAGAACATCAGGATTTTATTTCAACCACATAATATGCTAAATCAAAGGTAAACATATTTTTAACAATAATCAGCATTGATAGAACTTTGAATATAAATAATCTGTATCTACAAATATAGTACATGGCAGTCACATGCTGCCTGTTCTAAACTTTTTAACACCAAATTTTTTTCCCAAATTTCTACTAGGCAAGTTTAAAATAAAGTGTGGTATATTTATATGCAATTGATCTCAAATATACCTAAAAACTACAAATATTTATAAAAATAATTAATCTTTAATCAATTCATGCAAATATCCTCTAGCACGAAAATAAATTTCATTTTAATAAACATTGGAATTTTGAAAAGTACGCATGCGCTCAAAGTTTATGAGACCGAATGAAAGTACTTATAAAACCGTCAATTTCTACCCAGAGAAAGGAGTAATCTCTTCGCTTTTCAAGAATTTAAGCAGTCGGGAAAACAAAATATAACCAACAAGGATGTCACAGCAAACATAAAAATTAAATATCATTGTTGACACAAAATTTCTCATCCATTGTTGACACTTTTTCACTTACAGCTTCTGTCAAGTAGATTAGTACTTTTGTAACCTAGTTCACCTTTCCATTCAGTCTGTATCAAATGTTTAAAACTCCATCACAATTTGGAAGAATAAGCCTTTTCGGAGTTCCAACTGCGCGCATTCGTAACCTGTGAAAACGCACATTGTTTGTCTTAAATGCCCTTTGACAGTACCCACAATGCACAAACAGCCTTTTTGTAAAGTCAGTGGCGCGATGTTGTCAAAGGTCATTTGAGACAAACACTGCGCGTTGTCACAGGTTACGAATGCGCAGTTGGAACTCCGAAAAGGCTTATTGAATAAGTGTGTGGCCAAAGGCTGCTATTTTGAAGACAATACATGATATTTCTGACACGAATGTCTGCAAAACGGTGCCAAACTTCAAACACAAATTAGTCTTTTCCTTGGACATAACCTCTTTGCACATAGGAATTTTTTAACACATACAGAATCATTTTGGTGTTGGGCAATTCGTCCCCTATGCAATTATAATGGTAACACAAACCTGATTGAATGTTAATTCACAAGGATTTGCTCTTCCCACTACAGTACTGATACCACCATATCCCAGCTCTATCTATGAGTTAGTCTGGGGGCTAGACGTTGTTATGGTTTGATTCGAGAATGACCCGGCGCCGCAAGAGGGCATAATCACGACCAACCAATATCTTCCACAAACCATCAGGAACATTTAGGGAAATATGTAAAATCTCTTGCCGAACAAGGTGGAAAATAGTGTGCATGTGCTACTTTTGCAGGCAATTACGGTCCATATTCAGTCCCAGGCACAGTACACACCACGAAAGAGCTGACCGGTGAAGTTGCACAAAAGTCTTGCTGCATCTTTTTTTTACAATTTTTTTAGCAATTTAAGAGTTTGGTTCAGAACTACAATGATATGTTTTGAATGTGCGCTGCATGTATTAGGCCAAACAGGTGCGTACGCAGTACACAACCGATACGAATTTCCCCAGACGTTGTTCCAGACGGTTCATGGGTGATATTGGTTGGTCGTGATAACACCCTCTCGCTGTGGCAAGTTATCGGGGCGGCAGGTTATCGCTGCAGCAGGTCATCGCGGCGGCGGGTTATTGCGTATCAAACCATAAAAATCTAGCCCCTAGACTATCTACGAGTCTGTGAGAGCAACTTGGCCAGCTCACTCAGACAGGACTTGAACCCTTCACATCCTGCTTCTTAGAAGGTTGAACCAGCTGATTCACTGAGCTTGCTTTGGTCCACTATCTGATCCGGAGTCAAAAAAACTCCAGTAGCACTTCTTTTCACTGGTCAAGCCGTAACATCGTCCCTGATGTTGTGTCGAGCCTAAAAACAAGTGACAAACGATCATTCTCTTTATAGGAAGATGTTTTGCAGATACACCACGTGAAGTGACTTTGTCTCAGCATTTGTTGACAGCACAAGTTTTTCCTGAGTGCCCTTTCTTACTTACTATCGCAATTCCTGGTACATGTATGCAATTAACCAGAACAATTCCAGAAAATAGGACAAATTTCCTCATTTTGTCTGGGATTCCATGGATTTGATAGCCAGATACACCACAGTGACCTGAATAGTCAGGCACCAACAAGCATTAGATACTGCCACTAGATTTTTCTGTAAAGTGGCAAAAAGAATAATCATAATAACTTGCTTAGGCCACAAAAAAAAAGTCTCTGGTTTCTGGTATGGAGCTTGCCCAAAAAGTGGTGCGGCGACGTGGCTTTCTTTTTTTTTTTACCTGATTTTTTTGCTTCAAATGTCGGCTGATGACTGCAAATGGTGCCCGACTAAACTTAGTGCAAATATATGGGAGTCCAGAGAGGCCACATAAAGCTTATTCTCGACCATAACCCAATCTAAAAACACGTTAAAATTGTGCAGCAGCAGGATTCCAGTCAAACCACTGAGTTTGGCGGTTTTGAGACATCATCTTTCATTGAAAAAAAACCTTTTTCATTTTGCCGACGCGCATGGCTACGGCGACGCGCGCGCATACCAGAAACCGGAGACTTTTTTTGGGGGGCCTTACGTTCCAGTTTATTGCATTAGCCTTGCATACCTTGTGACTAGTTCTGCACCTATGATGTCATGGATATGATACTGGATTCCTAACTTCTGCACCGCCCTCAGCTTCCGGTCTTCCAGCTCCTGAAAAAAAAAAAAATTCCAGTTACACATCACTGATGAGACCATTAGAATACCACTTATGAGGAACATCTACATCAATACATGGGCTACTAGCCAATTAACTCTTTCAGTGCCAAACTCGTACATGTACGAGGTATATTTGTTAGTACAAAAGCGCCAACCTCGTACATGTACGAGGTAATGTTCGTAAATGTTCGTACTTAAAATTGCCAAACCTCGTACATGTACGAGGTAGAGTAAATATGTTATCAAAAGGGGGCGCTCTCGCTCTTTCTAATGGTACCATTTTTAATGCATGTACGACCTGTATTTATTTTTTCATTCGAGTTCTTGCGAGAGGGCGCAGCACTAAATCTCGTATTTTCTGCAAAAAGTGCAGAATTCCCCTGTGTTCAGGCCAGTGTTTCAGGGTGTATCACTGTGTTTGTGACTACTTTTGACTTTCCAATATATCAAGGATATACCAGAGAGCAACAACAACAAATTTAGTGAGTAAAACTTATTTACTTTTTTTTTTACAGAATTTCGAACAATTAACAAGAACGCTCGAAGTTGGGCGCTTTAGGGTTAAACTTTTCAAATTTCGCGGGCACTGAAAGAGTTAACCATCTTCAATCCTAAAACACTTCATCATCATTATTATTCATTCATTCAGTTTTTGTGATGAAATCAAGGATTCCTCAAAAAGTGCCACAGGCACTGTAGCTCACAAGCCTGACACCTGTCAAGAGAAGACAGCGAAGAAATTAAAGTTTTGGACATGGGAGGAAAACCCCAGAAGAATATTATGGGTAAACCCACAGAATCGGCTGGGGACTGCAAACCCAATCCACATGTGGACCAGGGCAGGAATCGAACCTGGGCCGTAGAGGTGGAAGGCGAGGAAAGACACCACTACGCCAACCTGACTCCCCGATGCCAACCTGACTCCCCGAACAACAATGGTGTGATGCTTTTGATTGTATGATGAAAATCTATGAATGACTACTGTACAATCATTTAATACAGGGTGAGTGTAAAAAAAACAAAATATTTGTTTTATTCAAGTCCTGCATGTAACACTTAAAAAATCTACGACATGAAAGCCCAATTCATAAGCTTTCTGTTAGTACATGAATCATTCAAATCACTCATGTACTTTTCAAGTTACGGAATTCTAAACACAACCACCGTTTTTAAAAATATTTGTTTTATTCAAGTCCTGCATGTAACACTTAAAAAATCTACGACATGAAAGCCCAATTCATAAGCTTTCTGTTAGTACATGAATCATTCAAATCACTCATGTACTTTTCAAGTTACGGAATTCTAAACACAACCACCGTTTTTAACCGGAATTCTAAACACAACCACCGTTTTTAAAGCTCTGTCCACGGATCACAAAATAGGTGTGCATTCTTTCATCAAAACGAAAACAATTCACACACATCCCTATGTGATTTGTTTTCGTTTTGCTGAAAGAACACTGAACTTTTTTGTGATCCGTGGACAGAACCTTACAACGGTGGTTGTGTTTTAAAATTCTGTAACTTGAAAAGTACATGAGTGATTTGAATTATTCTTGTACTACAAGAAAGCCTATGAATTGGGCTTTCATATCTTAGATTTTGAAAGTGCTACATGTAGAACTTCACTAAAACAATGGTCCCGACATTTGGGTTTCGTTTCTTTTTTACTCACACTGTAGATTGTTTGCACCGCTGCCATGTTTGAGGTGTGGGGTTTTATTCAACAGGGATACGAATGAACAGACCTTTTGTGCAATTAATGAATTAACATAACAAAGCACACCTCAAAGATGGCAGCTGAATGCAACCAGTCTATACTCATACTTCATAAGTCACCATGCACAACGAGAAGGAAGTGAGTGAGTGCTCGCAGATATGCCTGAATACTTGTACTCACCTGTTGCAGAATCTTCTGATATTTACTTTTCCTTATCGAGCGTAAAATGGAATCTCTTCCTGCAAGGAGTAAAAGAAACAAACAAAATTTAACAAATTTCCCAAGCCCTTGTACAGAAATACTTTTCTTCGTACTAGCCCCTTCGCTGTGCTAGTCATCTGGACATCTCGCAAGTCCTCATGATGCTTTTCTATCACCTAGAATAATTGTTTACTGTACAGGGAGGTGCAAAAAGAAGGAAACCCACTTTTGACAGGAATTTTAACCTACTTAATTTATTTGAACTGTTTTTTTTTTTTTATAATGTTAGTAGTGAAGCATAGCTCTTCAACCATACATGGTGAAAAAATCTTTAAAAAAAATCCCAAGAATAGTGTTATTATGCAAATTTGAATACAAGTCACTGTCAAAAGTGGGTTTCCTTCTTTTCACACCACCCTGTTTGTTCCATGATGAGCATTGCAGGTTGCTACTTGTGTTTTTATGTTGGAATGGTCCCACATTGTTCAGTTCCGCAGTTCCACTGAGAACACAAAACCCTTCAAGTGAAACGGCCAAAGCCCAACAATACAATGGTTCAGCTGGAATACAAACACGACAAAGCAAACTATTCAACTGGGCAGTCCCCCACTGTTGACCCTGGTACACTAACCACAGATACCTTTGCTCACGAAAAGAAAATGTCAGCCTTTGCATTCAACAGGTACAGGAACGGTGCAACAGACCCCAAATGTTACTGACTTATAAGATGCAGGTTTACCTTTGTTGAAACACTTCATGAAAATGCCGGCGCCAGGGATAGCGATCCACCAGCTGCCCACATCCCTGACGTTAAGCACACCGCCATGGAGTAACTGCCTGTTAATGACAAGGAATCAATGGAGAATAGATCAGGGCCCAATTTCACGGTGCTGCTTAACAGCTAGCAGAAAAGTTGTGCTTTAGCATAGCAGAAAAGTTTGTTGAACCTTAAGGACTATTTCACGGCTTGGATGTGCTAATGGTCGCGCGTGCATGGAGACTTCTATTGTTATGTCACAAAGTTAAGCAAATTTTTCCACTGAAGTAAGCGTGCCTTTGGCTGTACTTATGCTTACGGTCTCCATGAAATAGACGGAGGCTCTGTTAGCAGAAAATCGTGTGCTTAGCAGCGCTGTGAAATTGGGCCCAGGTCAACTGGAGCGAATATTAATATAGTGCATCACCAAAATGCTTGCTTCGAGAATCAACTTTTACAACTTAATGGGTGACTTCTTGTGTTAAAATATCCTTAGTGTTTTAAACAACCATCTTTTATTGTTTACTCAGTACACGCACATAAGTGCATTTGAAAGTCTCTTAAAAAGGATCATGGCCTAGCGGGGAGTGTCATGGCGTAGCGGTTAAAAGCATTACACCGGACCCATGCTCTGGTGTTTCAGAGGCAGCAGAAAGTTGGTTCGAGCCCGAGTCTGGACATTTGTGCCCTTAAGCAAGGCACTTAACCATTATTGCTTCATCCTTCAGATAGGGCGTAAAGCCATAGGTCCCGTGTGTTGTGTAATACAATGCACGTAAAAGAACCCAGTAACACTTATCGCTAAGACTTTCACCAAGGTAATTTCATTTAAGTTTTTCTCTTACGTGATCTCCTCATCCTTAAACCCCAGGTCCGTCATGGTCTTCTTGTCCAAGCTGACGTCAGACGTCTTCTCCAGGACCGTGTCCAGGAATCTCTCCTTGGCAGGGCCGTCTGCCATGGTCCGTCTGACGTGCTCCCGGTAGTCATCGGTGAAGACGATGGCGAACGTGTCAGACTCCTTGCCCAGACGAAACAGCTTGATTTCTTTCTTTTCTCTTAAGTCATTCTGCCAACAACAAAAAAGCATTTCGACACTTGTTATTGAATAAGAGATTAACAGTGTATAAGACAAATAATGTACTTTCTCCTACATGTATTTTTATTTGGTAACAAATTCCCTTTCTCCATCCTCCCCAATAAAAGTAGCTCCTATAAAGAGACAAGACACACGGAAGTCCAGCCAATGTCTTCCAAAATTAATACTCAGCATGGCAATTAATACTCTCAAGTGAGAAAAGTGCTATTCTGAAACACACAAATACGGAAAAGCCAATACAAGCAAAACAACCATTACTACCCCTCTCGGGTCCTTGAATTGCAAGATGCCATTTACCGACCAGTTGTCTTGCCTATTAACCCTAACTCCGTAGGCCTGTTTGCTAGGATGTAGCCTAAATCCTGTAAAATCCTCCAGTTGGCCTCATGGAAAAATATTTAGCCTCAATCCTGCAAATTCTTCCATTATTTTTTTAATATGGTCCGTGGAGGGATGACCACTGCCTGAATCCTGCAAAATCCTGCGGCAGTGACTGTCAATATGTTGAGGCTTGGCCAGTGACATCCTGGAGCAGTTCGGAGGATTTCAAGCATAATTTAGGCCTATATGTATGCATGGCTGAGCAAAAGTAACATAGGGTCCAGCCCAAGACCTTAACAAGCATCCTACGAAATCAGTAACGCACTTTTGCCGTGAAACCTCAAATTTCCCAATTCCTCCACTTTGGCAAAAAGGATTTTAAGGATTCAGGGCGGTTAGGGTTAGGGTTAAAAGACAAACAGCACCCACCACCACTTCAACCCAAATGACTTGACCAAAGCCAGCAATCTGTAAAATTGCAATCAAATCACCATGAGGTGTAGTATCTAACGCTGACAGCTGAATTCAACTTTTAACTCTGAAATGTCACCACCTACATTGTACATGTGCAGCTATTTTTAACTGGTGAACATGGTGAAGCTGACACATGTTTACGCAAGTAGATTGACCATCCATTAACTTTTTTGCTGTCTCTGTTACATTTTATGCACTGGCCAAACGTTCTTGATGCACTCCTCAATTAAAGGGAAAATACAACATTTGCAAACATCGAAAAATAAAATGACCAAGTTTTTACGAAATACCTTACAGGATGTTGGTAAATGACAGTCTAAAGCATCCTGTAAAATTATGGCACCTGGTGTGAAGTCATTATCAAGAAAATTTTATTTTTGTTTACATTTCCAACGGTGGTCGGCCGACCATTGTAGAAAAAACCTAACTATTTTTTACTACTGCTCCAAATTTACCATTTTTTCAGTCCAATTTTGTTTGCTAATTGGTTTTATGTTCATGAATGGGTGCAGGTCAGCTAGACTGGTTCCCTTAGCGTACAATTTCCGGGATCTGTAAATTGATCCATTTCATCTTCAGGGGAGTCAGGGAACCAGACTACTTGAAAATTTTTGTTTTTCTTGGTTTTTCCAGCATTTTCGAAAACAAAACTTCAAATATGTTAGTGTAACAATAATTTGATCTATTATACTAACCCCTCAAATAGTTCATTTCTGAAAATTAAGGCATAAGCCAATGATGTACATTCCCTTTAATGTATTCTTCCTTCAAGAGTTATTCTGCTTAATCATTGTTAGTAAGCGTACAACCTACCTAACAATGAAAAAAAATTAGTGTGAAATCATTTTTTGGAACTTCAATGACAAACTACGAAGTTCATAGGTAATACGGACAGGAAAAATGTCACACTTTGGAACCTCAATTCACAGAATGACCCATATCCATTTTCTTGAAGCTTTTTTTGTGCGACTTGTGTTATTATTATTTTTAATTCTAGTATCTTACAATTTGCTTGTCTGCAGCAGTTTTGCACTTGACAATGCTGTAGACCTGCTGCTTGAAGACGATTGGTGGAATCCGGTCCTCAAAGACCTGGACGTTGACCAGGGAACGCAGGTACAGCAGAGCTGCCTTGGTCTCACTGGCAACCTCTGAGGCTGAAGAACACAAATTTACAGAGACTTATGTAGTTTTTATTGTTTGTTTTGTGGAATATTATTCAAGAAAATGCAAATTTTATAGACAAATTTGTCTGCCATCATCAGGGTATGAACAGCAGATGATCTTCAAGCACAATTAAAAGAATAAAACGTTTGGTAACTTGTGGTGCATCCTTTTCATTTGATAATCGATGGGGGAGTGTGGCCAAGTGGTTAGGGTTCACGACTTAAGATCCGAGAGTCAGGGGTTCGAATCCAGCTGCTGCCATATTTTGTGCCCTTAGGAAAGCCACTTTATTCCCCTCCCCCTTAACACTTGCCTCTCTCCACCCAGGAGTATAAACAGGTACTGGCCTTGCTGGGGCATAACCTGTGATGGACTGGCATCCAATCCAGGGAAGATGGAAATATTCTAAATTGTTAAATATCTAGCAAACCAAACACTGGCCTGATGTGCCATATTGACTATACTTTAAATACTTTACTTTCATGATCTGAAACCAAACACTCCCCCACCCACATTCCTCAAAATTTAGAAGTTTTTTTTTCTCAAGATTTTAAAGATTAACCATAACTCCCTAGCATGATTTACTAGGAACCATACCCATCCTGGCAAATTCCAACACCATATGGGAAACTGCACACACATATTTCTGACTTTGATTCTGGAGGTGTGCCCAACCCAATGTAAAAGACAGTGTCAGTTAAGGGGTACTGTACCCATCCTGACAGATTCCAACAAAACATGCCGTTGGGGTTTGATGGGTTGAATTCTGTTAGGGTTAAAGGAAGAAACAGCTCATCTACTCTTCCTTTACATGGAGCTTTACACACCTTGGAAGTAGGTCTACATGTCCAAGAAATGTGCAGTTTTGGAGGAGTCTGTGCGTTTCCCATAACACAATGGTTGGGCTCAGGTGAATAAGAAATGTTTTTGGAGGGTTTGGCAGAGCAGGGGCTAAAATGGCAGGCACACTTTCTCGATCGTGGCCATACTTACGAGAGATGCTTGACTCTTCCCAGTTGTGTGCAGTACCTGTGACTCGGACCTTTTTCCTGTTGCTAAACACGTCAGGCACCCGAGATCTCTTCATTGCTTTCACCTGGGGGAAAAAAAGATAATCAGAGACCATTAATATTTTTTTTTAATTCATAGGACAAAAGACAAATGCCTAACATCACCTGTTCTTTTAAAACCAGAATTATTTTCATCTGAAAAAAAGATTTTCACATTTCTCAAAAGTTGAACTGCCAAGCAATGTCAAGCATGGCGAGTGCACATAAAACTTAACAAAATAGAAGATAAACCATTTAAAGGCCTAAAAAATCTAACTTTCGAATACTTATACCGTGTCTGTGTGTGTTTGTAAACGACAATTTGCAACTTGTTCATGTTGATCACGATCGGTGGATATATCAAGTACTAGGCCTACTTCCAAAACTGTAAGGTTTTTGTTTACAAACCTTACACTAAGTCACTATTGGCTTCGTGTGCCAACAAAAGATGGCTCGTTTTTACCTCCTTTGAGAGCTCCGGGACGCGAATTTTTTTCTGTTGGTGGGTTGCTCAAATATCACGCGTAATTCAGTTTTCCTTCGAATCATTGCAAAACAATTATCAGACCAAATAAAAGACATGTTTAGCGTCCCCACCCGCTTCGTTTTTGGAGGCCGCCTCCTTTTTTTTTTTTAAACCGAAAACATGACAAATTTTAAACAGTGAGATCATGTTGGCCTCTTTGTCTGTTGCATCTAGCCAATATAAAGCTGGTATGTCATTTCCTGAGTCCAAGTGGAGGCCATTTATAAAAAAAAAAAGCTGGCAGCCATCTTGAAAAATAGCCCAGTCGGGCGACCATGTTGGAGGCCTCCTCCCTTTTTTTTCAAAAAGGCAGGACGCTAAACACGTTTTTTTATTTGGCCATAAAATAAAATTACATGTATCTCAACGACAAATTCAGAGAAGAAAAGTTAGTCTATGAAAATGAGCAGCGACGACGTGGAATGGAACCAGGGATCCTTGTATCCATAGCTCATCATGCTTTTCCACTAGTCTACTTTGGTAGCTCGACGACGTCCGTACTTTAAAATACTTTAAAGATAACTGGTTGACTAAATAACAACAATCATCTTGATATCATTGTTCTTTCATGAATAAACATGTTATTGGCCCAATTGAAACTATTGAATTATTCATGACTTTGGAGCATCCCGCCTACGGAAAAGAAATACGCAGACAGGACACACAGCATGCGCGTATTGTACTGTACTACTACTGGTTTACGCATGAAATATTCACGACTTCCTGAAATGTCATGAATGTGCAACAGTTACAGCCACCGTGTCTTCGCGTGAGCATCAGGCATCATCGGCGCGTGCGCGCAAATACGTTCGAAATTAACTTGTGATGGTCTAATCCCTGCCTCCAATATAACTTTGGATACAATCGAAATACGCAGTGGATGGATTGGGAACCAGTCTAGGTCACTTGTGCACGTAGCCCATACCATACCATGCACTGCACTGAAAGACCATTGCTGCATCATAATGCTGTGCATGTGCCTGTGCCTGTGCCTGTGGCAGAAAATTGTCATTTTTTTTTCAAACTTCCAAACTCTCCTGTCACAAAATGTTTGGCACCAGTATTTCGCAGCCATTATTTTGACATGGTTAGGTACCACCAGGGTGGGTTCATATCTCTGAAAAGTCAAACAAAAACGTGACATTTACCAGAATTTCGCTCGCCAAGGTCGGTAAAGATTCACAACCACAGCAGTTTACTCCGCGGTCTGTCGTTGTAGCGCCCTCAGTTGACAGCATGCGCAGTTTATTTCTTCCACGTTTCAGTAGCATAAAATGGTACGACAGTAGAGCGCGTAATGAATATGCATGACTATGACGTCACTAGAAGCTCATGAGTAATATATCACGCACGGTACTGATAGATATACATGTAGATGCACACTGTATGTGCTGCATCCCACTTACCGATGATATTACATTTAACAAGTCCTCTTTCTACTGTCGCGCCGCCACCCTCTAGTGTCGTCCCGCTTACCGATGATATCACATTTAACAAGTCCTCTTTCTACTGTCGCGCTGCCACCCTCTAGTGTCGTCCCACTTACCGATGATATCACATTTAACAAGTCCTCTTTCTACTGTCGCGCCGCCACCCTCTCGTGTCGCCCCACTTGATGATAATCGGTAAGTGGGGCAACAGTAGAGGGTTGCGGCGCGACAGTAGAAAGAGGACTTGTTAAATGTGATATCATCGGTATTAATGGATGCAGTGTGCATCTACATGTACATCAGTACCGTGCGTGATATATTACTCATGAGCTTCTAGTGACGTCATAGTCATGCATATTCATTACGCGCTCTACTGTCGTACCATTTTATGCTACCCATCATGTGTTGCGCTAGCTGAGACCACAACGCGGTGTCGTCTGCACACGAAAGTTCGTTAAATTTCTTCGAATTTAGGGACTGTTTTAGGTACATTTTGCCAGAATGAAGAGATCTGCTGAATCACAGGAAGGCCACGGTGATGAGAGGCATTTCAAGCGCGTCAGTCGCCAGCTGGACTCCAAAATATTACCACCACACAGTCGAAGGGACGGCGGATCGTACACAGGTCCTGTGCCGAGAACGTTTGCAGTGAGGCCCACGACAAACTTTACCGGCCAGTTTCCCTTCTTCAGCCGGCCTCGCGAACTCGGTCACTTCTCCCTCGAAATTGATAGGAGTTTTGTCAATGACGACAGGCATCTTAAGCACTATTACCCGCCAAGTAAAGAATCGGATCTTGATCTAGATTTGAGACAAGGATTTGAAACTTTTGTGAAGAGAGACGACAATGTGAAAGAGAGATTGAATAACGTCATGAAGTGGATCATCCACAATAAGCAACATTTCCTGAAACCAGAGAGAACTGTTGGCGTGCACTACGATACTGAGACAGATGACATGATAGAAAGGTTTAAAAAGTGTTCACAAAGTTACAAATAGTCCCACTGACTGGGGCGCTAGAACTCCTTTTTGACATTTGGGATGTTGGTCTGTAATTGCTAGTACGACGGACCTAATCTCAAATGTCAGAAAAGGAGTTCTACTAACTTCTAGCACCCCAGTTAGTGGGTCTAGTTTTTAAACCCTTTTACTTAGTTTTAGGCATTAGTGTTATTGTTTTCATCCCACTCCCAGCATTATGTTTTTCATATTTACCTTCTTGCATATAGAATAAAAATTTCCATTCTGCGAAGTATTATGACCTATAATTAACTATATTTTGTTAATAATGCTTCGGAGCTTTATAAAACTAAAGTAGCTATGAAGCATAATGTACTGTAGACCTAGCTTAAGTAACTTCAGCTCTGCTCATCAGGAATTTGACATTCCAGCAGAAAATAGATCTCATATGTCGAATTCCCGATGAGCATATTACTTATTAGCGCAGGAGTTCCTCAGGCTACTAGACCAAAGATACTAGCAAGCCTTAGGGGTGATGCTCTAGCGTCATAGCTGTGGACCCAGTAATCTGAGTAACTGGGGTGCTAAAACTCACTTTTTGAAATACTGGTTTGGATGGTTGTACCCGCCAATCCAAACCAGAATTCGTAGTTCTAGCGCCCCAGTAAGTTACTGGGTCTTATTGCACTTAATTTTGTTTTCACACCAACTGAAGGGCTAAAACGGATTTTCATTCTCACAGCTTAGGCATCGACTTCATAGCATGGCGTGGCCACTTCACCAAGTTCCTGTGCACACCCAACGAGAATCGTGAGGGCTGGGAGATGGCTGTGACGCTCTTCAGAGGGACCATCTACATCAGCGAGGTAGAGACGGAACAGGATAGACAGCACAGGCTGGAAATGAACCACTGGGAGAAGCAGTGCATGTACGGAGGCTACAAGTTTGAGCAATATGTTACCAGTGGTGAGATATCAACAAAAAGAGTGGGAAAAAATGTTGCAACCTGACGCCACTTCAGCAGTTGTGTACAAAGTCTGTGGAGAGTCAAGAATTTTTTTTAAAGTATTTCCTAACAAAATTGGAAATGTTTCTCGGTCCCATATTCATGTCATATCATCATTTTTGCAATGACTGACCTTCATTGAGATTAGCTTGAGTAACTCCAGCTTAATAAGCTCATCAGGAATTACATGTGAATTGCTTGTTAAGCTGGAGTTACTCAAGCTACATTGAGATAACATATTTAGAAAAAAGTGGCGTTTAATTTTGGTTGCAACATTTTTGCCAAAGACTGCCTTGTAGAGCTTTATTAGCTGGAACTCAGGTTCTTTGTCAGGAACCTTCTTGGAACCTTCAACATCCTCTTCTGTGCAGGAAAATAATGGCACTTAGACCTCTTGTTTTTGCTTTTTGCCCTAACTTTACTACATCTATGCAACAGTGCAACTGGTGTAAAAGTCTGTGGGACCTTGCTGCATTGAGCGAAAGCCAATGCAGAAACTACCATTTTTGGGATAAATGAAATCATTGAACAATACCACAGTTCTATCCTGGTAAGTCCGAGTAACTTGGATCCTACGTATTGCCTTTTTTAACATTTGGACATGAAGACCATCTCCAAATGTTATAAAAGCCTAAAAGTAGGGTCCAAGTTACTCGAACTATATCCTGTTACAGTTGGTGACACGAACTCTGAGGCACTTTGGTCTTGAGATTTTTGCCTGCATCTTGTTACGCTGGGCTGGTATCTCATTTTGACAAGTGTTGCGTGGTGTGTTTATCAGGGTCTCTAGCCAAAATAACCTTATGGCAAGGGTTTGCCTTCTCTCAATCCTATTAAACCAATTGGTGTATTTTGAGGGATCTTGGAGGGTTTTTGGAACTTTGAAAATCCACAGTTACAAGAGTTTGCTAATTTTCTGGCATCCTGCTATGTATAATTTATAATATCTGGTTTCTTCTCTTGCCCCTGGGCAAGGCACTTTGTCACTCATTGCTTCTCCCCACCCAGGAGTAGATAGGTACCTGTGAGGGCAGAGATGGTTATTGTGATTGAATTAGCTTCCTTGCGCCCAACAGGCTGCATCGAGCTGTATACTCCCCAGGGAGCTGAGATGGTATTTGGAATGTTTGATGGGCGCAATGAGCGGGGGTATTAATGATGTAGTGCCTTGAGCACAAGTCCTGGCGGATATGTTCGCTTATTTATACCCACTATCGTTACTATTCTCTGGTTTCTTAAGATGGCAAGAAAGCACCGGACCCGAGTCAACCAGTCAACAACATTGAGGCCTTCTGCACTGTGGTGCGTTCAGACCTCGGTCCCTTCAAGCTGCTGTACAGCGGAGAGGTAGACTGTCTCCAGCCAGGGTCCACACTGAAACCGCCGGAGAACTACCTGGAGCTGAAGACTAGTCGCAAGTGGTACACGCATAAGAATGAGAGCAGCTTCTACAGGTACTTAACTCAGGTGGATCATAGTTATCATGAGCATTGTTTTCCTCCCAGATTCTTTTAAAAAAAATGCCAGGAGATTTTGAAGCATTTTGAGGGTTGAGGATAATACAGCCCTGCCACTGCATGTGGCTTTTAACGCCCTAGCACAGTTTTAAGAACAAAGAATATGCGAGTCGATTTCTGCACAGCATTAAAAACACTGGAGTTTAGTACAGCATTTCTGCTAAATTATGCCAAGATTTTTAATGATTAAGCTGTGCCATAGGAAATACATTCTAGAAGATGAAGTCTTGGTCCAAAACTAGATTTGGCTTTCGTTCCCTTAATGAGCTAGCCTCTGAAGAGATGAATCAAGTTTTGGATCTGAGACCCAAGAAATACAATGTACCTCTCCCATTCTGTGCCAAGTAGTCCTTTCAGTCAAAATCAATTGAGTGACTGTTTTCAACAGTTCAGAATTCCCAGCCTGCGTAAAGCAGGATTGACTGGCTGGGACTGTTGATACAGCTTTGCTTTGACCATGGGTAATTGATAAGCCAGCTGTACCTACAACTTCCCTGCTTTGTCTGTTCGTGGTCTGTTGACTGAGTTGGACTGGCCACAGTGCTTGCTTGATATATGATCTGACTGCTGGTGACTAGCCTGTGTTAAAAGTATAGCAGGGGAAGTGGACGGAGATGTTGACTGTCTGCGACTGTTTAAATAGCAGGAGGGTCAACTGGAATATAGTGCATGTGAGGTATGCGTGGAATTTCTCGGGTCTGGTTGCCAAAGTTCCAACACTGGATATGAATCACCTTGTTGATAGCGCCCTCTACAATTGAGGCAGCTTGACCCTTGACCCGTAGGAGAGAATCTCAGTGAAGAATGGGGGGATAGTAAAAGAACAAGTAAGTAAAGTCTGTCACGAGCCAATGTGGCCCATCAGGCGGGCGCTTATCTCTGGTTTCAGAAGCATGAAACGACCGAGAATATTTCTATTCCCCTGGACGGGATGCTAGTCCATCACAGGCTACTCCCCTGCTAATGCTGGTGCCCATTCATACTCCTGGGTGGAGAGAGGCAAGTGCGGGTGAAGTGGCTTGCTCAAGAATACAACATATGGCCAGCAGATGGATTCGAACCTCCGACTCTCTAATTATGAGTCACAAACCCTAACCACCGAGCCACGATCCCCCAATTTGGGTTATTGTCAACTTATCACCAATCTACATTTTCTAAATTGAGCTTGAATTTCTCTCACATCCTTTTTTTCTCCCCAGATACAAGTTGTTGAAGTGGTGGGCCCAGTCATTCCTAGTCGGCATTCCAGAGGTCATCTGTGGTTTCCGGGATGATGACGGAGTCGTTCAAGAGATCAAACATTTCAAGACAATGGAGATGCCCAAACATTCCATGGTTAGGCCCCCAAAAAAGTCTCCGGTTTCTGGTATGGAGCTTGCCCAAAAAGTGGTGCAGCGACGCGGCTTTTTTTTTTTTTTTACCTTTTTTTTTTCTTCGAATGTCAGCTGATGACTGCAAATGGTGCCCGACTAAACTTAGTGCAAATATATGGGAGTCCAGAGAGGCCACATAAGCTTATTCTCGATCGTAACCCCATCTAAAAACACGTTAAAATTGTGCAGCAGCAAGATTCCAGTCAAACCAGTAAGTTTGGCAGTTTTGAGACTTCTTCTTTCATTGAAAAACAAACTTTTTCATTTTGCCGACGCACATGGCTACGGCGACGCGCGCGAATACCAGAAACCGGAGACTTTTTGGGGGGGCTTAAAGTAATGGTTTGTCTATCAGGTAAAACTTAGGACTGGATGACTTGTGATGACTTGTGATGACTTGTGATGACTTGCAAATGACTTGTGATGACTTGTGATGACTTGTGATGACTAGCAAATGACTTGTGATGACTTGCAAATGACTTGTGATGACTTGTGATGACTTGTGATGACTAGCAAATGACTTGTGATGACTTGTGATGACTAGCAAACTTGTGATGACTTGTGATAACTTGTGATGACTTGTGATGACTTGTGATAACTTGTGATGACTTGTGATGACTTGCAATGACTTGTGATGACTTGCAGTGACTTACAATGACTTGCAGTGACTTGTGATGAATTGCGACAACTTGTGATGACTTGCGATGACTTGTGATGACTTGCAATGACTTGTGATCCATCAAGGCACCTCCATCACAACACAGCTGATGTGAAAAGGCCTGTCAGAAAACCTTTCACAAACACATCCCTAATAATAGGAAACAGTTCCTGTCATTCTCTGTACAATTGGAGTCATTCCAGTTTTGACAATCTTCCTCTGTGCAGCTTTTAACCGATTATTTCTACAATTGTTTTCAATAACAGGGAAGCTGGGATGGCTCGGTCTGCTTTAACTTCTTGCTGAAGCTCCTTGCTTTTATCAAGTCAGTAGCTGTCATTGATGATCCAAGGTAAGTCATTTGACCACTTCAACAGAACCAGGTACATGAACTCCATTAAATGATCCTGAAGCTAGTTTATTTCCAAGGGTTCCATTTGAGGTGTACAGCTCTGTCTGCACACACAGGCCAAAAAAGTAGCACTTATATGCAGCTGTTCAAATAGTCAATTCCTCGAAAGTCATGACTATATGTGACAAGTTCAAATGAATTGTGACAAAGGCATTTCTAGGAATTAAGGCAAATCCAATAAAGGTAGGGTAGATCATTTGTGCATTTTTTTTTCGTTTAAAGCGACAAAATCTAGAGATTGGTGCTCAGCAACTAACCTGTTGAAGTTTTAGCTCTGTAAATGCTGTATATTCCCGAGAAAACAATATTCTAGGATTTTTTTGTTCTTTTACCATGGACGGCATAACTTTGCACAGAGTAGGACATTTGTGACCTGCTCCACAAAAAAAGGTGTTTCCTAAAAAAAATGGGGAAATTGAGTGATATACATGGTTGGAAAGCCCACAACATAAATTTTCCTTTGAATATAATAGAGCTCCATATCCCTTCCCATTCTGAAGGTATGATGTATCTGCATATTATATGTAATTACTTCCTTGGAGTTCAAATTACACAACTGATAAAACAGGATTTGAAATAACTGGCTCTGTTGTAGCTTTGGACACGATGCACTCACGATCGTAGTTTTTCCCCCACTTTTTTCAATGAAACCAACATTTCTGTGAATGAAATCAACATTTCTGTGAATAAACCCTGAAATTTTAGATTCATGACGAAAAAATGGAAGTCATATTGTGACAAAATTTTCACCCTCTCAATGTTAAGCATGCCATTGCACAATACTGCACAGCATGACTTAATACCCTTTTTGTGTGGAGCTGGTCACACTTACATGACAGACATCTCGTAGGTTCAGTGCTTTTTTGCTACAGTTTCTTTATGATGTGTTCTTTCCATTCTCTCTTTGTTGTAGCATGGTGTACCTCTTTGAGCGGAAACCAGGCGAGAGCGTCATCTCCTACACAGAGCACAGGGCAGACGGGCAGCAGTTTATACCAGAATGGTACATCAGTGCCTTCAAGAATGACAGCAGTGCATCATCTGCGGAAGCCAAGGCTATATAGCCCAAATTCTAGCATCAGTGGAGTTTTTATGTTAACTGAAATGCCTTACCAAATCCATGCGCCCATTAAGACTAATGGCATATGAAGTAACCTGTCACCACGAAATGAGCTTAAAGTTGGAAATGGCCTTTTTGCAGTACAGTTGGACGAAGCTTAAATATGAAGGGTCGGTCGCTTTTTTTTGTTTTCAGGTGAACCTGGATCTTAAGTCCTGTGACTACCTTTCTCCAATAGACCACTATCGTGTTGCGGCCATCTTGACTTTTTTCCCATTCAAATCAACGTAACTAAGCGAGGCTGTAAGGAAAAAATAGTCTGGTTCATTATCAGTCAGTAATGTTATTGGATACAGGGAACATGACTGAAATGGTGGTAGCATGATAAAGGTCTACATGTATATATTTTTGTTCTGTCATCTTTAAAGCCTATTTCATCCTGTTTTTTAATAAAAAAAAGGTTGACTGTGCCTTCACACTGTAACACAACTGCAAGATATTTGCATGTCATTTTCTCAAGAATCAGTTTTAACACTTCAAGTTAGTTGGTGGTCCATGTTTCCCTTACTGAACTCAGTACCCCAAAACGTTGTATACCATTCCAAAGCTCTTGTTCTGCAGAATCCAGATGTTCTTAAAGTCTGACTTTAAGCTCGTTTTGTGATGAGGTCACATATTTTGAATGAGACAAACTTTTACATAAACAGATTTAAAAAAAACTTTTTAAATGTGAATTTTAACGCAGCTAAGGTGCTTGTGTTTTTGAGCAGTATTCACTATGCAAAGCCCCTTGTTACCCAGCATGTATCAAAGACCTGCCATCACAAATTGGGTCAATGTTGAATCGCAAAATGGGTAAGAATGCCCACTTTTTGAATTATGGTTTGTAAAATGTGAAATTATTGTAGATGGAAGGGAACATTCAAGACTGACAATCTATCAGGTTTGGAATGGGAAATACTTGCTATTCAGTGTTCATGCTCAGAAGTATTGTAAATAGGATTTTTTACATACATGTTATTTGAGGAAATATTGTACATCTTATTATTTTTAACCAAAAAAGGTGGTAGAGGTACTTTAGTACACAATTTTTCTGGAATTTTGATTTCTCGTTTATAAATTTAAAAAAGAATTCATACTTCGAATTGCATTTTATTCTGTCTTTTGATTTAATGCTTGTCGTTTGGAGAGATTTTGGAGGTCACACGACTAGCATGAGAGAAGAAAGCGTTCAAAATTCTTCAAAACCAAAAGTCTGTTGGTGCATTGTAAAGCCATGCCGTTTTGGAGACTCGGTCAAGTGTATGTATAGCTGACAATACAATACATGTACAAGTGAAATGTGTAAAATTGTAATGCATTTTTATTTCTACTTTTTAAATAACCAGCTTCCATCTCTTTCAAGTTTTTATATATTTAGATTTTGCTTGTTCTTGATCCTGGTTGGCTGAAACGTGGTCACGTGTGATTCACTTATATAGGCTTATGTGTATGAAATTTGCGTCGGCGTGAACTAGACACGCGGCGAGACATTGTGCGCGCGTAATTTCCAGAGTATAGTGCCTGATCAGGCACTATACTCAAAATATTTTGATTGGTAACAGCACTCTCTGAAACAACTCAAACCCAAAAATTTAATTTAGGGAAACTAAAAGCATTCCTTTAATTGTTGAATTGCCGACAGCTGAATTGCTTATGAGTTAATTGTTGAATTAAAACAGTTTCATAATAAAACCCTGAAAGGTTTCTTTTCTCATTTTAGAATAATTTAGATTTTGGACAGAGGTTAGTTATAAAACACACATGGACTGGCATAATTCGGTCACTAGTGCACGTCCATGCCCCCCTTGGGCCTGTGAGTGACCAGAAGAGGGTCCTATTTTCTGACTCTTTCCTGGTCACTCACGGTCCCTCGGGGCCATAGACGTGCACTAGTGACCTCATTGCCAGTCTATATGTGTATTATGCACTTTGACATTAGCATGGGAAGAGACATAATTTTAAAATATTTCCCAAAGAAACTGATAGAATCGGTTCACCATTTTCCCACATTCTACACCATTTCCTTACTCTTTAAGCCGTTTTAGCAACAACCAAAAAAAGGATCCTTAAATCTTGATGACTCCACAGACAATTTGTTCTAGAATCCTGCTTGACGCTCAGTGGGGTTTTTTTTACTGATAATTCCAACCCAATGCCTAGGGGCACTTGATATACATGTACATAAAAATAGTCACTTAGAAAATAATACCTAAAGTACGAAGGTGTCAAACATCAACCAGGCAACCAAGCAAACAAGCATTGTATTAAAATGAGGAATTAAGGGGAATTGCCCAGTACACAAATCCAAGAAATGTCCAGTCATACTTTTCAACAAGGTCACATTGTCAGTGTCCTAAATATGTGTAGTCTCTTTCAAAAAAATTGGTGTGCTTTTGCTCTGCTCTTACTTAGAGGAAAATTTGTTGGGTGTTGTTTAATGTTTAAGATGGTAACCCTATCAAAAATGAGTTAATGACAATTTTACATGTACATGTATAACAGCCATAATGCAAGAAATCATTGGGTGCATTGGTTTAGCTCACCCGGGTCGACATGGGGTATGGCAGACGGGTTGGCCACGACAGCTGGGCTAATCAAACGTTCAACCGCGGGCCATCGCGATTTTCACGTGATTCCCTTAGCCGTGGTCTAGCCATTGACGTAATGCCCGTTTTGGATTGGGTCTTAGTTTGAGATAAACTGTTTTTTAGTCAATTGCAAAACTCATTATAGCCTCAAAATTCGCAATAAACTCAATAAATGATTACCTTTAGACTTCAAATAAATTTAACTTTTAAGTCCACTTGAGATTTCAGCTGTCCCGCTGCCATATTTGTCCGTTTCTAGGGAATGAACAAAGCATGCGTGACATACTTCCACCTGCGATTCTGCTCCATGAGCAGGGTCTGTGGCGGCTGACCCGGGTGAGCCCCAAGAATGACGTCAGAGCTAATCGAACGGCACGGGACTGACCCGTGTCGACCCGGGTGAGCTTAACGAACGCACCCATAAAGAAAACAAATATTCTTTCCAAATCACAACATATTAAAGGACTGTCTGAAGTCTCTCTCCCAGTTTCGTTCATTCTTCTTCAACTTTTGTCTAGCCTTTTTATCCAGGGTGGTAGTCCTCATTTTCTTCTCCTTGGGTTGAGCAGGTCTCTTCACAGCCTTGACGTCATATGGTTTGAAGTGCGTGATCCTTGCTTTGGCTGCCTCGTCTTTCTTATCAGCTGCCCCCAATCCCTTGCGATCTCGCTTCAGAACGGTCTTGACGGGGAACTTGAGTCCAGCCCCGTCCGGACCCAGTCCTTGCTCCTTGTCCCATCCATCTTGCATCATCATCTGGAATCCCACGTTGCTCTCGGGGATGTAGTACAGGGTAGACGGCGGCTTGTGCTGGCAGTTAAACAGATGCACGGTGCAGGACCGGTGCTCACGTCTGCTGGATTCCCGAAACTCAACTTTGCAAACCTCACACCAGAAGCTTTTTTCCTGCTTCTTTCTTGACGCCCGCTCCTCTTGCTGATGCTCAGGGGTCAGATGATGACCCTGTAGCATCCTGACGATGTCAACATGACCGGCCATCTTGGCAAGGTCTAATGCAGTTCGGCCGCTCTTGTCCCGATGGCGTTCCCATGATGCCCATTTCCTAAGGAGGAACTGTACAGCATCTGAATGGCCGTTGTAGCTGGCACACATTAAGGCTGTCCAGTTGAAACCATCCACCACATCCATGCCGACAAGGCCTTCCTCAAGAAGTGATGACAAACCTTTCACGTCACCCTCCTGTGCATAGCGCAGGAAATTATTGACATTTCTCATGTGAACCCGTTCAGATTGTCTATGACTACCTGCGGGCCTTGAAGATTTACTCGCACTTGTTTTCCTCCTTTCCCGAAACGATTGAAGGTCACTTTTTTCGGAATTGGACTGTCCAGAAGACGAAGGGCATGATGTATCAGCTGAGCATTTCATAGATATGACACTCTCGTAAAAATCCCTAGCCTCTCTTCCAGCGACAACAGTGCTCCCCTCTCCTGCAAACTCTTGAGGGCTTTGTTCTTCGAAAGACCTGCCATCTTTTAACGTGGATTTCAAGAATCGTATCCCCTGGAATGGAAGTCTCAACCTTTGGTGATTAACAGTCATACTTGGTGTTGAAGAATCCATGATTGGAAGAGATTACATGAACCTGTTTGAAGAAATGGAGTAAATTACATCATTCAATTTGTAATTTTCTACAACTTCAAAAAATTAACAGCAAGTTAGGAATTTCATAATTTTTTTATAACTTTACAGGACATAAAAAGAAGGTGCATATCTAGCATGTCCAGTGTCAAGACAGCACAAACCTGCCTTGTCACTAGAGGACCTATTTCAAATCAATGTAAACATTGCAAACTACAATATCATGACAAGATTTTTACCCAAAATCTCTCCAATTATGAAAATATCAAGACATATACACAGTGGTCAAATGAAGGATTATATTAATCTGAGAATCAATCAAGGTAATATATTATTTTTTTTTGGTTATATGTTTGTGAAGTGAAATCAGGGGTCTATGTATATTCCTTCCACTTCGCAGTGGTCCTGCCATTCAACATGTTCAATGCGTGCACTGCCATCACTGCGTCTGCAGACACTTAAATATAAAAACACTGCCCACTGCAGACACTTAAATATAAAAACACTGCCCACTACAGTGGCTAGCGGTAGTATAATGCTTAGGAATAGGAGTAACACATTTTTATATTTATATTTGTTTTTGATGTGGCTTTTGTAGAGAAAGTCATAAGAAAGTTGGATTTCATCGGATTCTGCAAAGCAAAGAAAAATCGATTAGCGGGGATTTTTTGTCCCTGAAATGTGTACATGTACAATGTACATACATTGTAATAGTAATAGAGTAAAGTGTTCACGAGTATTTTGCATACAATTACAAATCCAAAATCAGAGTGCAGATTATGACTGATTACTTCTGAAATCAGAAGGCTTCTCTAAGTTCTCTTCTCTCTCATCAGGAGAGAAGCCTTCTGATTTCAGAAGTAATGACTGATATGCTTAAAACTCACATTTTCTCAAAGTCTGTCTGATTTCAAGATAGGCCTAGACGACAGATATTTAGAACAGTATGTTTATGAATGAGCCAAAAAATCAAACATTTAATCACAAGACCCCTCTCATAAATCATAGACAGTCATTTTCGAAGGAAAATTACAACTGTTTATTCAATGCTATCAAGTGAATGTGTGCAAAATGTACTACTAGTACTGCCCCTAGTAAAAGTGCATGATGCTTGAAATTTCCTCGAAATACAACACAGCCAATGCACATCACGAAATTGTGACTCCCAAAATGCGGCTGAACATGATCTGTAGGAAGTGCCATCATTTGAGAGATTTACATGTCATGCATGTAGGCCTACATGTAATGCAATAAGAAAATATCATAAAATGAACAGCGCCCTCAGACATAATTTAATGTCCATCATATTCATTCCGCGTCTTTTTTTGTTAAAACGTTTGTGTTGAGTGTTTAAAACAGCTACAAAAGTACCTTTGAATTATCCCACAATATACTTTCGGCATAAGGTGAAATCACCCAAGCGACACAAGCAATTTACCTCATTCGTGGATGAAAAAAAACGATTTAAACACTACTTTTGAAAATTCAGTTCGCTGTCATCGGCGGTTCCGGCAACCTCGTCCCCAGGGTGTCGAGCAGTACGCGCCCACCACTACCTGCTCTCTCACCCTGGTATTGGATCATTTGCATGTGCAAGATTTTTGCACACGTATGCAAATGAGGAACAGTCTGGTGCCTGGATATGCTTTACACATTAGAGTTTGTTTTTGTATGCGGTGTCTGGGGTAAAAACAGAGTCAATTCGTAGCAGCGCGAGCACGGCGTGAGTTACGAAAATACGATTTTTGAAATCAAACTGTTACGATCTTATCCAGACAACATGCAGTATCATATTTCATATTAATATGAGCAAATTAGAAAGGAAATTAGTATTTTCGAGAAGGCGTGGACGAATGATCGCGAAAACACGTACTGCACGTTGTGAATAATAGCACCAAGTACACGATAAAAATCCATTACTAGCCAATTGCGGTATCCAATCAGGATACAGGAAGAAAGTTTCCTATCCAGGGTTTACTATTGGAAACCGTGTTGGAAATAAAGTCAGCACTGGGGACGAGGTTGCGGTTCCGGCTGCTATGGGCGCCGCCATCTTGAATTTAAAATCTCGTCTACCTTTTGTTTTTGTTTTTGTATCAATCATAAAATATTCATTTACGTATTCCGATTGTTGCATTATTTTAAAGGCCTTGCAAAAAAAATAGTCATTATAAATGACAATACTTTCAATGAAATAAAAATGTAATAAAAGTGAAGTTGAAAGTTTGCGAGATAAAGTGCTAACGAGTTTTTGAAGTCTAGCCGCTGCCTATTTCAATGCACTATTTTGTGCATTCTGTGTCACGGACGCTATGGACCCGCCTCCAGACTAAGCTTCATGTTGCTACGAGTGACAAAATGGCGGAGACGAAAGCCGACTCAATGTACGAAAGTAACAGATTAACTCTGCTAGAAGTCATAGAAGAACGAAACAGGGCGCTAAACAGGGTGAGGGAAAGCAATATTATATCATACACTTACATAATAATCACATAATGTCCATTTATGATTTAGGCCGCTGATAAAACGATTTCTTTTTAAAATATGCATCGACCACAAAATCGTGACGCTGCCCTCACTTCCTCAGCACAGCAGTCGAGTCTGGCGGGGGGGGGGGGGGGGGGGGGATAAGAAATTTAAGAGGGCGCTGTTCATTTTTCTTGAAGTTGAACTTAAGTTTGTCATTATAAAAATGTCATTTATTTCACCCACCTAATTTAACTTTGCGCAATTGCGCTGCAACATTGTCTTTCTGAAAAGGGCAGATAATCATAAAGTTTTTTTCATTTCATTTTTTGTGAAGAATATTGCCTGTACTAGTGTAGGCCTATATCGTGAGACCCTCTAGGCTCTAAAAGGACTAGGGCTAGGTTTTGACACACTCGCAATAATCGCATTCAATTTGCTTTGGACAACCCGCGCGGGTTGCAAGCATTATCTGCGTCAATTATGGTGACTCGAGGATATATATTGTGACTTACGGACCCCTCTTCCCTTTTTTGGGGGGAGGGGGTCTTGAAGGTTGTTTTTGTCATACTAATTTTAATTGCTTCAATCAGAAACGGTATTTTTTATTTTTATGACCCTATTTTTGGCAATTTTGAACAGTGCGCCCTATAGTATGAATGATCTGTGTTGCCATGTGTTGGTACTTGGTAGAGAAATGCAATTTTTATTTGCATTTTTCAGTTGAAGCCACGCGAATCGACTCGATTTAGCGTTGCGATGATGGCCATGTATCACTTAAGTTCTAGAATTAGAAGGCTTCTCTCCGTCTGACGGAGAGAATTAAGCCTTCTAAAAAGTAGCCATGTATATATTCACGTTGGTTTTCTTTCCTAAAATTATTCGAAACCCTGCCCTCCATCCACGATATTCCTACTTGAGTGAGTCCAATAACCTAAAAGTGGATTTTATACTAAGAACAGGGCCTGTAACTACACAATCACCACATTCAAACATTATTGTCAGACCACAAATAAATTTCTAATTTCTAAACTGAAGTATAGGCTAATTTCTCCATAACTAAATTTTGGTGGATTGTTTACTATAGGCCTAATTATGTCAGTATGTCTCATTTAAAAGATATTAATTTTCTTATTACTAGAAAAATACCTAAGTCCTAGCAATTAAAAATAAATTCTATATTCACGAGTGACATCCAAAACAGGCACTGGGACTTGGGGATACTTTAAAGGTTTTAAATTAAAGGCTTTTTCAGCGTTTTACTTTTGAGGCATATTTCTCTGATGGGCATGGGTGAAAGGTTTGCACTGCCACTAGTTTTGGAAATAGATGGCACTGCCACCATTATATAAAAAAAAAATAGCAAAATGTCTTTTTCTTGCACAGTTTTGAATTTCCAGTATACTCACCAGTTAAGTTCTCCAGAGCTTTCTGTGAGGTTCAACTCTGGCATAGGCCTACATGTACTATTATACTAGGTTTTATTGACTATTTTGCCGTTATTCTCATAGGGGGTCCGCTCGTAAGTCTGACACTTCATAGGTCCAAGGCCTCATAAGTCCGAAATTTCGGACTTATGAGGCGTCAGACTTCTGAGGCGTCAGATTTATGAGGCATCACATTTATTTATTCCGCCTCACACATGTAGGTCCGACACCTCACAAGTCTGAAGCCTCATCGATCCGATGCCTCAAAAGTCCGAAGCAGTGTTTGTCCATTGTCGGACTTATGAGGCATTGGACCTATGAGGCGGATTTATGCCTCAGAAGTCCAACACCTCATAAGTCCGAAATTTCGGACTTATGAGGCGTCGGACCTATGAGGCGTTGGACTTATGATACGGCCCCTATCATAGCCTTTTATCCTAAGGCATACATATTCCATATCCAGTGTGTTTAACTGACTGCAAAATTTGTTGCATATTTTGTAATATTCAGCTATGATAATCTAGATTTACAACTGTGTTTGTTGGGGTGTTTGTTTGTTTGTTTGCTTTTCAAAGGGTTTGATACACGTCAGAAGTGAAGAAGTCTGTTTTATACTACAACTAATGACAGATTAGGCTGCTTGGCTAAAAAAACTCTGGTTTCCGGTTTCCCTACCTACATGTATCCTTTCCTGACAGCCCCTACCCTTATTTTGTTATTGGAAGAATGTGGGAAAAACACCCAAAACCATAGGCTTTTACTATTTACTACACTCAGATGCCTCCATATGATCATAAAACACAATCGCCAAAAAAGAAAATTCCCTGTAACCTACCCTATTTTCAAATGCCATGTATAAATCAGAAGATTTTTTGGCCTTAGCAAGCCATAAAACGGTGTGAATGAAAAAATGCATGAAAAACTACATGAATGGCACTGCCTGAAAAAGTGCTAACTTTATAGAAAAAGAACCAAAAAAAGACCTTGAAAAGTGAATTTCAGAATCCTCAATGTTCCATTCTTGTTTCAAAGGTAATTTTGAGTTTATACTTTGTGTCTGACAACTGACAAACAACTTATTTTTACCCAGACAAAATGTCAAAACCTTGTTGCCTACCTCGCTTGACAATTGAGCTTCTCATCAATCCAATGACTGTCAGTGTCAGACACTTGACTTCTCTTGGGCACCCTCTCAAATCAGATATGTTTGTAAAAAGAAGAAAATTGAGAAGTTTTAGAAGCCTTAGGCCTATCGGGTTAAACACCAAATCACAGAGAGCTGCCACTGTACATGTTTTTGAAGTAAGGTTTCCTACTTTCCTTGAAGATATTATCTACATGTACAATGTAGGTGTAAAGGCAACGAAACAAAAGCTGCAAAATATTGTCAGAATCTTCTTGCCCAGTCTCAGAGGTAATTTGGAATTCATTCTATGTGTGATAAAGGCTTATTATTTCCCCCGGGTAGATATTTGTAGAAACAGTACGCCTACATGTCATGTAAATGTACTTCACTTGATCAATGCTTCACAATCTCATTTTCCTTCAGTCTATTTTTTTGTATCGGGCAGGATTATAACTTGGACCTATCGGTACATCTTAATAAAAGAGTTATTTTGAATTCACAGTTTCTGGCATTGTGGGAATACAGTGTGCTTAAAGGGAATATACATCATTTGCTTTTGCTGTAATTTTCAGAAATGGATGGAATTGGGGGGTTGGAAATATATAGCAAATATAGTTACACTGACTTTTTTGAGGTTTTGGGTTCGAAAATGCTATAAAAACCAAGAAAAACAATCATTTTCCTGTAGTCTGGTTCCCTGACTCCATTTAAGAAGAAACAGAGCAGTTTACATAGGGAATTGAAAGGTCAGGGAACCAGTCTAGCTGGCTTGTACCCGTTCATAGGTGTGTAATCGATTGCAAACAAGCGCGATGGTCAACTGGGGCCAGTATTTGAAAAAAAAGCCAGTTTTTTCAAACGCTGATCGGCCGATCAGCGTTGGAAATTGATACAAAAATAAAAACCACTTTTCTTGAAAATGACAGTATACCAGGTGCCATGATTTTACAGGATGATTTAGACTGTCATTCACTAACAGTCCAGCAAGGTATTTCAAAATGATTTGGTAGTTTTGTTTTTTGATGTTTGCAAATGTTGTATTTTCCCTTTAAACAAGCAGGGGCCAGGGGGAAAATGTGACCAAATAGATCTAGCAGTTCTAAATCCTCTGATTTTAAAATATAAAAGTTCACATTCAAGGGTTAATCTACTGAATATAAAGCATTTGATTATGTTCTATTGCTTGGTAATAAAAATGGGTTTTATAAAGGCAGATCGTTTATCTTCAGCACATTGTAAATCCTTATAAAGGTGCTACATAATGAGTCTCATAGTTCTCATTAACTTGAGGGACTCCATGGAAAGCAGTGCCTTGCACTGATCAGAGTTTACTGTCATTAAAGATGCATAAAAAAATAAAATAAATAAATACATTCTATGCACAAACTGCAAACAAACCTTCAAGAAAAAAATGTGAAGAACATAAGAGGGGTATACATTTTAAATGTGTAACCCTTTTATCAAATTGTGAAGATGTTCCTTTAAATTAATCCATCTGATGACAGTGATACAATTATTTAATACAGATTAAGTTAGTTTTGAGATCATTTTTTTTTTCCGTCAAGATGTCTTTTTGCTTGGTTTTTGTTCCTGGAAATGTTGAAATTTTGAGGGTTTTTTTTCTTCTTGCTTACAAGCTTAAAGAAAACCAACTCACCGATGTTGTTTCTGATTTGGTCCACTTGAAACCTGAGTTCCTCAGAACTTGTTTTGCAAAGTTACATATCTTCAGTTAGCGCTCTTGATGTAGGCTAGCCATCAAATTCAAGCAATTTCAACAGTTCTACCAAAGTCAGCTCAGTCTCATTTTTCTTTCACCTCGCGAAAGATTTTGCCAGGGGGCTGAAATTCCACAAAGAAGAATTGAAGTGCTTACCTTCATAATTGAACTTCGTACCTGCGTTCATCTGACATGTCTGAAATGAAAAATTGGGGGCTGGGCAAATAGTCTGGAGCAGAAATCAAATCCCAACATAGGCCTGTAGATTGGTTTAGCACTCCCTAAAGCAACCAATATACAGAGGCCCGCTTGTTCTTGTAAGCCCTCTCATTAGCCAGATCAAATTTACCTGAGCAGAACGCTGTTTGGGGTTGTATTTGTTAATGTGACACTTGTGTTTATGTACAGGGCCGTGACTCCCATGTTGTCTTTCTTGTATTTGGTTTGGCCTCCGCAGCTGGTCAACTTACTGTTTGTCAGATCCATGGCAGCAGTTGCCATGGAAAGAAAACTTGGATCATTAACATGCTTCATTTTTTATTCTTTTTGAAACATGGATTGATCATGTAATTTAAAAACTAATAAGTTCAAGATTACTTCTTTGAATTATTTTTTTTATGGGGGGGGGGATTTTTTGTTATTTTTTGCTACCTTGCATTTCGACAAAAAAAAGGGATCAATGTCAGCGTTAAGTCCAGTGTACACACACTGTATGTGCATTTGCAATTGAAATCCCTGAGTGTTTTATGCTAATGATGCTCTGCTTGGTATTGAGCCCGCTCCATGTAATTGATGAGCTCTCCATTCCTGTGAAGTGCACCACCTGTCTGGAACAGGTGAAGAGGAAATTCTCCCGCTTCAGCAGAGCAGAACTCTCACACATATTTTGTCGGTTGTTGGTTGTCTACCATATATATACTGCCAGGACTAAAATCGTATGGAGATTATATTCCTCCATGTTTTTACTGTAAGATGAGCTTTGTTTACAAGCAGATTGCATCTCCACTAAGCGAGCGTGTCTTTAGTTTCGGGTTTTCCCCAGACCTGCCTGTGAATGCATCAGTTGTATCAGATGCTTTCATCTTGTTATTTGATTGTGTGAAACAGATCTGTATCTACCATCCAATGTTGTATGCGGCCTGGGATGCAATCCATTGCTGATTATCTGCCAGTCAGAGAAGACGACCTCACAATTTTTTTTGCTTTCTGGAATTTGATGTCAATGTTCTGCCTTAGTTTTAAGTGCTGATTTGACTTCTGGCCACATCGTTATCTCTCAGAGTATCACCCGCCAGATTTTTTATGAGACTCGGATCATTCATGTATTACTACACTGTCTTCCCTGCATCTTGTGATGATGATTGCAACAATGATGTTGCACCCACTCTAACCATTTGGCTTGAATTCATGGATACGCAATTTCAATCGTTCACAAAACAAAACTTGTTTTGTAGATATTAGCGCTGAAAATCATGAAAACGAAGTTAGGCACAGATGCACAATAGATCATCACCACAGTAACTCTATCAACAGAGAGTTAACGGTTCCACACAAGCGCATACAGCCCTGAGTCCCGCAGATAACAACAAACACTTTGGAGTGGCCTCCGAAGCTGAGAAACTTGGACCATTAAACTTTACCAACGACAGTAGCCCTCCGAGTTGAAGAGCTCCTGTTGCTCGCCAGCGATTGTCATTCAAATGATCAGAGGAGAGAGACTGTTTCATTCATTCTGTTGAAAGGACACACCTGACTTCTGTTTGGTTTGATGGGATTTGATAATAGGACTTGAACAATACAGCCTACTGATCCACACAAATAGCCATTCAATTTTTTGTTTAACCTGTGCCGCCAGGTTCAGTAATCACTCCCATTTACAATTCCCGGATCAAACTTTGATCAGTTGTTGATCCAGAAACTGCATCAAGGGAAGCACATCTGGATTTTTCTGGAAAGGAAAATTTGAAATGTCGTCTCCAAAAGGAAGAAAATCCAGAGTGATGACTGGAACAATGGTAAAGAAACGAGGCGGCGCCAAACATTGGAGCAATGATGATGATGATGATGGTGATAGTCTCTTTGCTGAGCACCGGATGACCATGCTGGATGCTGTTATAAACAGGGCACAGAGATTTGATGCTAACAGGGTACAATGCTGAATAATAATTGTTCACTTCGCCCACTCCTTGTTGCATGGGCGATATTTTTCTTTTCAAATCATTTGTTGGTGTGGATGTTCAAGATTTTACGCTTGATTTCTTTCATATTTTGAATATTGCCCGTTTCTTGGGTTGTTTGTAAGTTTTTATCAATTCATGACTGTTTGTGTTTAGGGATCGTCAGATTTTTTTTTTAGGGATTTCTCTTATAAAAGCTTAGCACTGTGCTCTTCCATGAATAACATAAATATTCTTTTGCAGTGTCATTGAGTTTATAGTTTGTTTTGTGTAATGTTTTTTTGTTCTCTATTACTTTTCTCAATCATGTGGTTAATTCAATCACAACTTGATTAAGCGTGCAACGTGACCTCTATACATGTATAAAATTGCTGTGAAGCTTTAACTTTGCAGTTTTATTCCGTAATTAAAGTACAGAAGGTTGCTTAGTTATTGTAAGTTCACATTATTTAATTAAAATTAATTTAAAATTCATATTCAGTAATGCATAGAAGTATCGATCCATTTTTTTGAGTAAAAATGTGCTTTTGGGGAATTTGTAATGACATTGAAATAACCAATTAATTCATTTAAAACTAGATGTCACAAACGCAAAGCTGAACAAATGTTTACTCTATAAACGATTTTGACACAACTTTACCCATTTTCTGTAATAAGCTTGTACTTCTTGATTTCTCTTTTGAAAAATCAATTCTCAAATTTTAACTCATCATCTTTGTTTTTATATTTTCTCCAGAAAGCTCTTCTGCACAGACTTGTCTACATCGCTAGGCTGAGCGACCAACTCGATGACAAGAGAGATCTTGGAGGTAAAGCTTCTAGCATTATTGTGAAGCACCTGTTACAAAATCAATCAATAAAGTTTTCAAAATCAATTTAAGGAGGGCAGTCTGATGCAAAACAAAAATGTGTGGGACCAATTAGGTAGGCCTATATGGCCAATCACAAGTCTCGATCAATTCTATGAGAGTGGCTGGGAAATAAGTTGTAATCGAGCCAAACCAAATTAAACTCACAAGTCAGGGATGAATAATGACAAAGGAATGCCAATTGTCACAGTTTGTTTTGTAGAGCTTGTCAGCTGACTTGATTTTTGATAATTTGTGATGGGGTTGTGATTGACTTGTGATGGGGTTGTGATTGACTTGTGATGGGGTTGTGATTGACCTGTGATGGGCATGTGATGGGGTTGTGATTGACTTGTGATGGGCTTGTTGTGATTGACTTGTGATGGTGATGGGCTTGTGATTGACTTGTGATGGGCTTGTGATAGGCTTGTGATGGGGTTGTGATTGACTTGTGATGGGCTTGTGATTGACTTGGGATGGGGTTGCAGTGTGATGGGCTTGTGATAGGCTAAGTGATGGGCTTGTGAGTGACTTGTGATTGGCTTGTGATTGGTTTGGGATGGGGTTGCAGTGTGATGGGCTTGTGGTAGGCTTGTGATGGGGTTGTGATTGGCTTGTGATTGGCTTGCAATGACTTGATTACCTCTCTAAGGAATCATCCACTACAAGCAAACTTGGCAAAAGGTTCAAAGTTGGACAGAAGGACTAGACTACAGCAGTACTTTGAATCAGGAATTGAAGATTTCTCTGCTTTTTCTTCTTCTTTTCTAGCTCATTATGAGAAGAAGTTCAAGCAATGGCAGTCCCATTTCCAGGGGGAGGGAGCTACAGGAATGCTGCTGGTCTACCCTAACCATTATGTGCACCTTGTTGAGGTAGGCGTTCTTTCGAGAAACATCATCCATCAATGTTTAAGAAATGCAGCAGATGTCTTACCACTCAACCACTGAGCTTGCTGAATCAGCTGGACGCGATTTGATTGTAATGTAGCAGTTGGTACGGCAATCGAAATAGTATAAACTCAGTATGAAATTTGTTTTCCCCCAATTAACAGTCCTCAAGTGAGATGCTGATGGCGTTGATCCGTGACCTTGGCACCATGGAGGTCACCGGAGACCAGGCTTTAATCTCGCAGAGTAAGGTCCTCGTCATCTCCAGCAACGTCCCCACCAGGCTCTTCAGCCAGTGGAGCTTCCGGGTCCTGAACCTGCCGGCCTCACGACTGGAGGAGTATGAAACCTCGGAACCCATACAGAGTCTGGTAAGCAGGGCAAAGACCAGGGCCCAATTTCACGGCACTGCTAAGCACATGATTTTCTGCCAACAGAGCCTCCATCTATTTCATGGAGACCGTAAGCATAAGCACAGCAAAATGCACAATTACTTCAGAGGAAAAATTTGCCTGACTCTGTGACTTAACAATAAAAATCTCCATGCACGCGTGACCATTAGAACATCCTCGGCATGAAATAGAGCTTAAAGATTAGCAATATTTTTCTGCTATGCTAAGCACAACTTTTCTGCTGACTGTTAAGCAGCGCCGTGAAATTGGCCCCAGGATTTTAAAATGGCAGACATCATTTTCCTGCTTTCATACTTTCCATGTTTCTGACCTGAAGGGAGTGTATTAAATTTTTAAATGCTAAGATTTTGAGAGTGCTGTCTCAGATTACACATAGTGTTTATGGACAGCTTCCATTTTTGTTCTCTTTACTTTTTGTAAATTGAAAATAATTATAATACATTGTAGTTACTGAACAACACAGGGGACAGGGCCCCTTGGGGGACCCCCACCCCATCACCCCCATCCCCCAAAAAAAGGAAAAATTGTCTATACGTTTTGCATAACTCCACTGTGAATGCCCCTAGATATGATATTTATGACATAAAAGTTAGATCGGATGGATGCAACTTTAAAGTCTATAAACAAACGGAACAGAACATTCCTGGAAAAACAGGTTTTAATACCTCTTCACTTTCTGAAAAGGTTCCAAAGTGAAGGTCCTCACTATTTTTAGTTTATTTTTTCAACTGTAGTCTGAAAGTGTTCTTTTTGAAGAATGTTTTTGTTCACTGTTTTGATAGGCCCCAGAATGTCTGGCGTTGATGCTCAAGCTCGGTGCTTATTTGGCAAAACAACCCAAGGTAAGATAATTCAAACTCTTTTTAAAATCTTGTTTCTGTTTTCCTGTGCTCCAACTTTACTACACTTAATCCTGATCAAATCATCATTAGTTTTGAGTTATGGCTCGATTAGCGTGAACCAGATAATTGACAATTGAATACATCTTCAGGCAGTAAGGTTGACGGTGGAGATCGGGAAGAAGCTATAATAATAATGGAACCAAGGAATCTTCTAAAGTACCCATGGTACTGTAGCTTGTGAGCGTGAAAAAAACCTGTAGAGAAAAGATAATGATGAAATGTTCAGTTCTGGATGTTTGAGGAAACCCCAGATAAACGTTCTTGGAGACAGTGGCGCACCCAAGGGGGGGGGGGGGGGGCTGGGAGGGCTTGAGTTTTACGGTCCCACAATTTGACCATGGTGATATGTATGTGGCCTATTTTTTTAGTAGTATAATGGGGGTGTAAATGGCACCGCCAACGTAAAAATAGTCCGTCCCGAAAAATTAAAAAAAAAAAAAACCCATTTTTTTTTTCTGCGACCAAAACTTTTGGGCAACATTATTTATTTTAAATGCAAATTTCTAAAAAAAAAAAAAAAAAAAAAAATTTTTAGCCCCCCGCCAACCTGGCTCTTTTTTTATTTAATTCCAGAAGTGAATGAGGCCGTTTCCAAAACGGACTTCCAGAGCTACGGCTACGTCTATTGTCAGTGCGTCTCCGCGTATTTTCAATGGGCGCAAACCTAGACCTAGCTCTAGACAGTTGATTCGGATGCAGCCTTAGTTTTAACTGCCACATTCAGTCGAGAGATGTTTTGCCCTCCACATTTTATGTCCCTCGGGATAGCGCAAGCTATTTGCCAGGAAGTGGCCTGTGACCGTTGATATTTCCAACAGTCACACAAGCAATTCCCTCCTCCTCCTCCTTGTTTGTTTGAAGACATTTTGCCTCGTTGATTAAAAAACGGGGCGGGCAGGTGGCACGTGTTTGGGATTAGGAAGTTAGAGCCCAGCTCTGTCATCCTAAATCTGTTAAGTCTCATTGATCTAGCTTGGATTAGTGGTGCAGGATTTGGTTAATCTCAACACAAGCCTTTTCCCGTAATCATGTTTATTGCCCAACACAGTGTGTTCTTAGACTCCATTGTTGCTACTGCGTTTGATTTTGAGAGAAAAAATTTGCCGCACATGTTGGACTAGTAGGCAATATATTACAAAACGATTTTGTAAGTTTATCTGAGCGTGAGAGTAAGTCGTTACGAGCGCGAGTAGAACATGGAATAATATTATTCCATGTTTCACTCCTTTTCCCGTAATCATGTTTATTGCCCAACACAGCGTGTTCAACTCCATTGTTGCTACTGCGTTTAACTTTGAGAAAAAAAAATTGCCGCACATGTTGGACTAGTAGGCAATATATTACAAAACGATTTTGTAAGTTTATCTGAGCATGAGAGCAAGTCGTTACGAGCGCGAGTAGAACATGGAATAATATTATTCCATGTTCCACTCCTTTTCCCGTAATCATGTTTATTGCCCAACACAGCGTGTTCAACTCCATTGTTGCTACTGCGTTTAACTTTGAGAAAAAAAAATTGCCGCACATGTTGGACTAGTAGGCAATATATTACAAAACGATTTTGTAAGTTTATCTGAGCGTGAGAGCAAGTCGTTACGAGCGCGAGTAGAACATGGAATAATATTATTCCATGTTCCACTCCTTTTCCCGTAATCATGTTTATTGCCCAACACAGCGTGTTCAACTCCATTGTTGCTACTGCGTTTAACTTTGAGAAAAAAAAATTGCCGCACATGTTGGACTAGTAGGCAATATATTACAAAACGATTTTGTAAGTTTATCTGAGCATGAGAGCAAGTCGTTACGAGCGCGAGTAGAACATGGAATAATATTATTCCATGTTCCACTCGTGCTCGTAACGGCTCGTGCTCGCCCTCGGATAACTTACAAAATCATATATTAAAGGGACATTACTTCCTGGAACAAGCCCAATAGGGCTACAAAACACTTTTTAAAATGAAATTATTATTTAATTGGCAAGAGCATTAAAAAGTAAGATATGAACGTCCCCCGCAACAATCCTTTAAATACTGGGAAGTTTTGTGTTATTCTTGCGAGAACCATGCGAGAGCGAATTTCAGGGGGGGGCACATTTTTCCCCTAGAAAAATCAGGCTGTTGAGTGCTAGTTGTGAATCTAGCTACACGGTATCGCATTATGTGAACATATGAGAAATCACATTTTGTGTATTGGTGCTGTGTGTATTCGATATTCACACACAGAACTATATGATACATTGAAAAGATACGACTTGACAAACGTTTGTGTAAGTCAAAAAATGTCTGTCACATCCCATGTAAACAACCGGGGCTTTTAACCTTTTCTCGGGAATGGTTAGACATTAGGTTATAGTTTCCTTTCAACCAGACATTTAAAATAGTATAAGTTAATAATCCAAACCATGAAATTTTGGGGGATTTCAGGCCGTATTGCCCCTTTAAAGCCAAGTGGCATATGAAACACAGACTGACTCCATTTTGCAAAATTTAATATACTGAAAAAAAAATAAAATATGTATTTCATTGAAAAATAAATTATACATGTACGCCTGCCTTCTTTAATACTCCAAAGGACATCCACGTACTACACACAGCAAGGTCTACAAGATTTAAAGTCAATATGGATAAACCTTGGCTTTTGTTTTGACATTTCAAATGAATGAATCAAATCCCAGTTGTACGTCGTGCACATGCTGAAAGCACGTGTACTATAATGTGGCCCGGCTAATCCAGCTTACGTGGACCTCTTCTATGAATAGTCATTCTTGGGTTGGGTTGGGAATTATCGGGGGGGGGGGGGGATTATACGAGGGAAAACGACTACTGAAGTTAACTGATGCATATGGACTCAAAAGAAATTAAGAAAAACAAAATGGAATCTTTAGCCTTTACCATTCATAAATTGTAGGGGAGGATGATTGAAAAACTGAAACTGATTTGAACATGTTGCAAGGCATTATTCAATTTAAATCACAAAACTTGTAGATCACTCTCCGCAAATAGAATAATTTTCAAATCACTGATTTTTGTTTGTCCATTTCTAGGTTACGCTCAAGAATGTCATGGACTCACTTCACGAGAAAGTTCCAGATCTGCTCATACCACAAGGTTTGTTGTTTTGTTCTTGAGTTTTTTATTTTTTTATTTATTTTTTTTTCAACTTTTTCATTTTGATTTTAATGGAATTAAGTATTCCATTAAAATCAAAATGAAAAAGTTGAAAAATAAAAAAATAACAATACCAATTCAATGTTAACCTTCCCTCACATTTTATCCTTTTCAGTTTTCAGGAAAGTGAGCCTGCCCTTCCTGAACATATTATTGTCTTTCACAAGTTTCAAATGAGCAATTGGTAATATATATAACACTCACTGTTTTATGCTACACAGATCTGATTGGGTTTCTGCTGCAGAGCACTGATCTCTGCTCCCCAAAGGAGTTTTTGAATAGATATGACAAGCCACTAGATATAGTTCTGGATAGTGGTAAGTTTTCATCCCCCCTGGACCAGTCTCCCTTCCCCCATCACTCCTTCCCCTTTCCCACCCCATTCCCCCTTTCCCCTCCTTCCAGGTGTTGTAATCCAGTCACCACAAGTCAAGCACAAGCCAATCACAAGTCAATCACAAGTCAATCACTAGCCAGTCTCAAGTCCATCACAAGTAAGTCCATCACAAGCCAATCACAAGTCAAGCACTATAGCCAATATCACAAGTCCATCACAAATCAATCACAAGTCAATCACAAATCAATCACAAGTCAATCACAAATCAATCACTGGCCAATCACAAGTCAATCACTGGCCAAGCACAAATCCATCACATGTCCATCACAAGTCAATCACCAGTCTATCACAAGTCAAACACTAGCCAATCACATATCAATAACGAGTCCATCACAGCAAGTCAATTACTAGCCAATCACGAGACCATCACAAGTCAATCACTAGCCAATCACAAGTCAATCACTGGCCAAGCACAAATCCATCACAAGTCCATCACATGTCCACCACAAGCCCATTACTGGTCAATCACTGGTCAATCACAAGTCAATCACAAGTCAATCACTGGCCAATCACAAATCAATAACAAGTCCATCACAGCAAGTAAATTACTAGCCAATCACGAGACCATCACAAATCAATTGCAAATCAGTCACTAGCCAATCACAAGTCAATCACTGGCCAAGCACAAATCCATCACCATTCAATCACAAGTCAAAACAATAACAAGTCGATCATTAAAAAGAATCACAATTGGAAACACAAGTCAATCACCATATCACAAGTCTATCACAAGTCTATCACAAGTCCATCACAAGTCTATCACAAGTCTATCACAAGTCTATCACAAGTCCATCACAAGTTCATCACAAGTCCATCACAAGTCCATCACAAGTCCATCACAAGTCCATCACAAGTCCATCACAAGTCCATCACAAGTCCATCACAAGTCCATCACAAGTCTATCACAAGTCCATCACAAGTCCATCACAAGTCCATCACAAATCTATCACAAGTCTATCACAAGTCTATCACAAGTCTATCACAAGTCTATCACAAGTCCATCACAAGTCTATCACAAGTCTATCACAAGTCTATCACAAGTCTATCACAAGTCTATCACAAGTCTATTGCGTATTATTTAAAGTCAAATGGCAGGCTACTCAAATGAATTGTGATAAAGGCATTCCTTTGTTAATACGTGTCTGTTGTTATTGTTTATTGATGCTATACGATCAAGGGCTCAATATTCAATTTCACTTTCTCTCATTCATTCACTGCAGAACTGGTTTGGCCCCTACCCACCAAAAACTTCCCACTGAATTGATGTGGAACACTCATCGCATTCAGCAACTGAGGATTTCATCGAGAAATTATTGTTATTACTCTTGTAAATAATATGTACTGATGAGGCCGATGTATATACATTGTACATGTACATGTTCATAGTTGGAAAAGGGAATAAAAATCTTGTGCTTGGGATATGTTAAACACTCTGTTTAAGACCGGTTGGAGTCTGGATGCTGATAATTACCCAATCTGCAATAAATACCTTTTCGGGGAAAAAAAAATCAAATTTTTCGTTTCAAAAGTCAAAACAAGTCAAAAATTATAAAAGTTAAATGATTTTGATCAACAAAATCTACCGCAATGATATGCTCCGTGTGTTAAACAACTCCTTATATGGAGATAGATGCGTGCATCGTGCCTGCTACGTGATGTGGTGCACAACACAGATGCACCGGTAAGTGTGAATTTAGGACTACCACTGACTCAGTGGTAGTATTGCGCATGCCTACAGGACTTTAAACGTTTAACCGTTTAACTGGATCTCATGGGAGTCAACATTTCATGTGACACTGGAAAATAATGTTTAAGACCAGCCAGCCATGTCTTTATCAACGGTTTAAAACCAGCCACGTGACAGGCTCTTGACCAATGGGAATGGGTAAACTGCCTTTATGAATGCCAATTAATAGTCTTTTCTACCAATTAAATTGCTATAATTGTTAATCAAAACACCACCAAAATGTTAAGTTGTTTACGAATTGTTACTCCTTGTTTTTTGTCTTGTTAAACCTATCCTCTAATAACTCTGGGGTAAAGTTGATACTATTTATTGATTTAGTGGACTTTTTAGTTCAGAAAGCATATGCCGTTTGGAGTGTTGTAAATATGTATCACTGATTACTTGACACGTATCATGTCTTCTGGGAAGTGGTCTGGCAATAAATTGTGAAACTTTCAACTTCCCAGTCTGCTTTTATTTGCAATTTCAGACCTTTAAAAATGTGGCTGTGTGTTGTTTATAGTCCTCCTCCCCACAAGGTATGCAACAATTGTATACATATTAAAAGTAAGTAATCAGCAAGGAAGCAGTCACCTCTGTTTTCAGATCGGGAAAAGTCAAATTGAATGTCAAGTGTCGAAAATCGTAGACAGTTTTCAACCACCCCTGATTTTTATTTGGGTATTTTTTCCTGTGGGTTATGGCATGCAGATCTTTGGAATAAATTTGCAGCAATGAAAACCTTTCAATTGCAAGGCTTCAATAGGGATTCGGCTTATATTTGATCAACGATTTGAAGAATGGATCTCTGTTTATGTTGGATTTCAATTTGCATTTGAGCACGCGATGAAGCACGTGTATTGCGATGATCGAAGCACGTGTATTTGGCATTAAACTTGCAAATCTGCTACCTGTTGCTGAAGTTTATGTTCCACGTGGAATTATGTTGTTTTCGATCTTGTCTATCCAAGATGGCAAAACAAACAAGTGTTTTGAGGACTGAGGATTGGATAGTTTTTAAGGAACAGTCAAAGGGAATTGTCCTTGGTACCATCAAGATTTTGTTTGAAATGTTAGGTATTCCGCACCAAATTTGATTTTTGTTTGTTTGCAGTCTTATTTAAACAGGCATCCACAGTTAAAAAAACTGCTTTCCTTGAGGGCCCTGATTAAAAAAATACTATAAAACAATTAATTAAAGTAATATTCAAAACAAATACAGTTTTTAAAATTTAAACATAAATTAATGTTAACTGTTTAAGCAAAAATGTAAAGCAATAAAAGATAACAGCATGTTAAATTAATAACTTATATGCAGTAAAAAATAAAACAAAATCCAACAAAATATTACGGCAAACATGAACATAATTTGCATGTACAATTATATCAAAATAATAGAGCAGCAAATAAATGAAATAACATACCGGCAACATAAGGCCAAAAAAAATAATAAGTCGGTCTCTGGTCAGCGCGCGCGTCGATTTTAATCATGCGCGTCGATCTTTTTTTTTCCAAAATGTTCCGCGGTAGCTCCAACAGCGCCCTCTATTTCCGCACCTCCTTGGTTTTTTTTTACCAAAGAGCACCAAGGAATGGGAAATTGCACTAAGGCAAATGATCGAAAGCACCAAGGCAAATTATGGAGGACACCAATGTACATGAGGACACCAAAAAAGCAAAATAGTACCCCCCTTGTCTGTACAATCCAAGCTTGAAGAAAAGAAAAAAAAAGCTGCGTTTCCAGAACTTTGGTCTGACCAGAGACCGAATATTTTTATTTTTTTTTGACCTAAGCAAGAGATATGCAAACACATAACAGTGTGGAGTAAATCATAATAACAGCGACGGCCATAATTTTTAGTGGGAAGGGCGCAGTACTAGACATCGACGGACCCTACTGGTGGAATTTCCCAACTGTAGTTATGGTCATTGCTTTAGCTGGGGGGCATGTACACATGCACCCGCGTCTTCATTCTCAGCACTCGCCTTTTCTGGGCAAAGCTCCTAGCCAGCAAATTGTTCATGCAAATCGCATTCCCTCACTATTGATACTTAATTTCCATAATGCTGCTGCGACCACGCGATGCGGCACGTGCAGAAAATTCAAATCGGTAAATTTACTCGACATTTGCGTGGGAAAGTTTGACTTGACTTGATTGCGATACGATTCAACTTAATCACTGAGCTGCTTCGAAACACGACCGGCGACTTTTTTTAATACAGTAAAAACAAATTGTTTGGCGTGGGTGAACGTTCGTATCAATCGGAGCGATAGTTTGTACCCATAACTAAAACTTTTAGGAAGTGCAAGAAACCACAAAGCCATGATTCTGAACCTCTGTAAATTTAAAGTTTTAAATTAAATCATAATGTCATGTAGAACGTAGACTTGGTTTCAAGCTTCGATTCAAGTTGTATTTCTAATAACTATTTTTTTTCAAAAGTTTAGAAAAGAAGTTTGTACCACTTGAAAGCAGTTTGTCTTAAATTATATAAAAGTTGTTTTGTTTCAGTCTTTTCACAGCCTAGACTTTATATTCTTCGAGAAATGTGAATCGGTATAAACGACCGCCATTTTAATCCTCAGTTTCCTTAAATCACAAACAAATCAGCGAGCCCCCCATCTCTTCGAGGCTTGAGCCCCTTCTGCCCCCCCCCCCCGGCCAAAACATAATGTTTTTCTTAATATTGTTCAAAACCCATTGAATTTCCTTTCCGGTATAAAATAGGCCCGCGATGATTGCCCCACTGCAAACTGAACGCCACTGGTGCACATTTCTTAGTAGGCCCTATACATCCTTTTAATTTGAGTAAGACATCGGTTCCCATCGCAGGCGCGTAGCCACGGTTTTGTTTGCCAGTTGCAAAATATAATTTTTGTCCCGTTTATCCCATCTTTATCGCCCCGATAATGCTTCTATATCAGCGTCCCAATTTCGGGTTGAGAATCTCCATCCCGATGCAATCTGCCAATCACTCTGCATCCTTCTGCTGGTCTGATTTGATTTGATTGTGAAAAAAAGTAAAACTGCTGCAAACTGCTTACTGACTGGATGGACCTGAAATATATAAATCTTAAAATTAATGTGGCCTGACGTTGCGAACTTAGCAAGTTCTTCTTCAGAGGCTAAAACAGAGGCTGATTTGATTTGATTTGATTTGATTTGATTTGATTTACTCGCAATTTCCACACAATAATGATACAGATTTAATATAAGTTAAGATTTAACAAAACGCAACAAAATTTATCTAAAATCATATAAAAAAATGAAAGATAAAACACAGAAAAACCCCATACAGTGGAAAATGCAGGGATAACGCAAAAAAGTTATTTCCATTGCTGTCCCAAGATTAATACACCACTTTTCCTGCGGTAAAATTCCCAATTTGTTTATCTTCGTTTTGAATAGAAAAATCTCAGTTATTAAGTTGTCCTCGAGTTTTGCCTTACACGGTGATTTTGCTCTTACTAAAGGCCGATTCGTACACTTCACGCGAATGATTGTGCTCCGGCAAAGCGAACTGGTTATGGTTAGGGTAATGGCGAATGAACGTACGTCACAAAGAAACTTCAGTACTGTTGTTGACGTCTTGAAATCCACGTGGCTTTGCCTTCATGTTTTCTTGCATTTGAATAAAGCATGTGCTACGCACGGGCAGCGAATTAAAAACAAAAGACATTGGAATAATTTATAAGGTACTCGGTGATATTCTGAACTGACATGTTCAATGATAGTTTGCTGAAACGAATGTCAATGCAGGAGAGTATATGATTGAACCATTCTTGAAGATGCTGTGTTGTTTGAAACATTAACAGCCAGTTCCAAAGAATTTCCTTGTTAACATTGTGTTAACATATTAACATTATTAACATTGTGTCGTACTCAGTATGTGTACTCACAGAGTATTGTACTGAGTACGACATAATGTTTTGTGTTGTTCGGACGACAGTCTATCATTATCTTTAAATTAGTACTGTCTAGCTGCTGAGGAATGACCTACTAGATCTGGGTCTAAACTACTGAGATAGTCTAAACTATATCTCTTCAACACTTTATAATTACTGTAGCTTGTAGGCCTATAGTGAAAAAAAAAATATCCACTTTATTAATCAATGCAAAGACGGTCATGGGTAACCAGGCACAAAAAAATTGTCTGTCCCCCTCCTGCATATATCAATTATCAGTATGAGAAGTTTCAACTCAATAGCCTAGAGAGTTGAACTTCTTGGCTCACGGCGAAATGCGTTTTCGGTGATGCTCCCCCCCCCCCCCCCCACCTCGATCCCGTTTGAAAACTGTTCCGCCGCCGCTGCTGGTTTGTTCATCCATTAAGCAAGGAGCGCATTCAGCTGTTGACGATCTTGCACATATTTAGTGCCTATTAGTGCACATTATTAGTGCCTATCTGTCCACAGTAATGCTTTTATCATCAGATAACGAGCTTGCATGATGACATCGTCATGTTGACATCACCACGGTGATGTTTACCATTCAAGTGCGTTGCCACCCTGGTACGGCTATGCAACAATGGACTCTTCTGTTACTAACAAAAATGTTTTATAATAAATTCCGCTACTGCTAGAAATCTAAACGTTCAAACAAAGTATGGATTTTTACTCATGGTCCAGTTAATTAAAACAAGACTTTAAGACTATTGTAATTTGATATGAAGTCGACCAATGTCGAATTAGAGGTATAGGTCTTTCGGGCATCCCTTTTCTTCACCAGGATAAAGGGGACTGGCCCGTAGCCCGAAAAAGCTAGGTTGGTTTATCATGATAAACAAGGAGTATTAGCACAGTAAAATACAGCCTCAGCTCCAGTTATAATCATTACAGTCGGATTCAACTTCTAAAATGCGCGTGACCTAATGTACATGGCTTTACGATAGAGGATAAATTCACGACTGCGTGTACAATTTCTCTACATTACAACTTGTCGGTTAAAATACCATCAAATAAATTAAACCATTCGGTTTGCAACAAAACATCAGTGATCGTCGACTTGACTGGCGATGTTTTCAAGGCACTTACATGCACTCTCCAATCTAAGTATCTCGAGGGAAAGATTAGCATCAAGAAAATCGAGGAAATTCGGTCCACAGCTCGGGACACGCGGCCGTCCTCGTGGTTAAAACTATAATCTCTATAGGGAAATATCGTTATATGAGCCGACATATGCCGGTACACGTGAGGAACCAAAAGATCGCATAAACTTGCATTTCAATGAGGTGATATTAACTCAAGATACAGTAAACCAGAAACCCCTTGGAAAAAATGGAAGAGGTGATCAGATATTGCTCATGCTCATTCTGTGTGATCAAGAATTTTAGGCCGATTTTTTTTTTTTTTTTTTTAAATCCCTATCGGCCGTATAGTGTTTTCGAAGATACAAGCAGTTGAGGCTCATGTGCAGAAAGTTTGTCCCAAAATGTTGCCAACAAATCGAATCCGGCCGGGGTACGGTCTCAAACAATGAAAAGATAATTAGTTATTATCCATTTAATAACTATTTTATGACACGGAGTGTTTCGGAAATGGCCACGCAACAGAGAACGAACACTAGGGCGCCCTCGTGTGACCTCCAGGTAATTCGAGTAAAAATTGGTTTTTGGAGGTTTTTATACATGTCTTGAAAAGATGACGCTATCATTGAGAATGACGTTTCGAAACACGACTTCGAACAAAAAGGTCTTTCGAACGATAGGCTATGGTTAGAAATCAGTTAAGAGGCCATTAAATAAATTCATACTTCTGCTCAACTTGAAGAGTAGACATTTTCACTTGGATGACAGTTTTAAGTAATTAACGAAACGCAGGGAAAATACCTGAGGCCTGAAGTTAAAGAAATATTAAGAGGTGATTAGCAAAACATTTGAAAATCTGAGTCTATTTGTTTTTTTCACAAAAAATATGAAAAGTACAATTGCCCCAGTTGGAATTGATGCAATGCCATGTGTTAAAGGAAGAAAATGAGTTATCACCATCAGTTTTGGCAGGGCCTGCAAACAGCGAAGCAGCACACCATCACTTTTGAAAGAAACCGTGTGCTTAGTATTCCAAACTGAAGCAGCACGATACGTTGTTCTCAGTGGTTTGAATAATAAGTGTTGCCTGCTGACAACTTCTTCCATTGCATTGCAGCTTGGTACGGTAAATACAGAAAGGATGGGCGGGGCTACCAATGCACCCCTCCTATAATTTAGAGCCAGTATTTATTTGAAAAGAAAAGTGCTCCTAAAATCATTGTCCGAGAGAAAGGTGTTCAATAACTCGTCTAATTAGCAGTGGAACGCGCCTTCGATTCCGTAGAAAGTGAGCGCCACATGACGGCCTTTAGGCCTACGTAATTGTGACCCTAAACAGCGCCCCCAAGTGTCAAATTATGTCCCACCATCGATAATCGCAATCAGATTATTTGTGCACAAACCCCTATAAGGCTGGCTATGAAATATCAATAATTAGTGATAATCTCTCACATATTGTTATGTTGGTAATTTGAAATATTATTATTCAAAAAATATAAAATAAACACTCCTCTGGGCCATACCTTGACAGAAATAAATTATTTCTTCTTTTTATTTCTAAATTTTAAAAACAGTTGAATTGATGATCAGTTAATTTCTGGAAAAAAAATATTGAAGAAAAAAATTATTGAAAGTTTGACTGGTTCACTGCCCCCATTTTCTGGACATCCTTAGCCAGGTTGTAATGCGAATGTCAAAAATGTTATTACTATATGAGCACGCAGTATTTATTCTCAGTAACGATAATATTATTATTTCACGTGTTCGGCGGCGTGATTTGTCCAGTTTGTCTTCATGCAGGCTCCCATCACTGCCTCTTCGGAAACTTCCATTTTCCCGTCAGGGAAGTCAGTGTTCTGTGTCATCAGGTGTCTACTTCTGTCTGCGTACTGCATGTATTCCCCGGTACAATCTTTCCGTGGGAGTTGGTAATTATTCCTAATGAACTCCGTTGCGCATCCCACGTCATTAGTCCCGATAGGCAGATACACACACTAGGCCCTACCGGCGATCATCCAGGTGGATTTTTGTTTGCTATAAATACGGATGGGAAGCAAAGCAATGCCAGTATTCCTCTCTCCACAATCGGACGCCAAATTCCACAAAAACGTTGACGTTGATAGAACACATGAGCTTGACTCTGATATTTTGGCGGAACTAACGTCGATGCTCTCTTGATTTGCACGGGCCTAAGCCTGCAGCATTTGCCGCAAATTGAGGTGAGTTTGTTTGCGTGTCGCAACTAAACCACAGCCGTAACTACTCGCCAACTTCAATAGCGATGTGTGTCATGTTGTGAACGCAGCGTGAGTGTATACTGCCTTTTATACAGTGTACATTAGTTGCATATTTTGTGTGACATTTACTTTTTAAAATGTCTTCATGTCCAAGCAGTAATTTGGAGGCAACTTTGATGAGGCTGTGCTTTCGGTTGTGAACCTTCATAGACTAAATTTATTTTCATATGTGTTGGTAACATTGAATTAATTTGATCAAGTCGCAAGTAGTAATCTAGAGGCGTTTCGGTGTTGCTTGACTTTGTTTTACTCATTTTGCTTTTTTTTGTAGATTGTAATTAACAGTTATTAATTTAAAACTGTCTTCAAGGTCCCCAAGACTTATACAAGTAATATAATCTAGAGGCATTTTTTGCTGCCTTTCTGCACAATGTTTTACATCTTCAATTTTTATTTCTTTCTTTTAAAGATACCAAGATAAGAAATCTACCTGAGGTTCCAGAAGTTGTTTAGCCCGTCAATCGTCTTCAGCTAGCCTGCTTTACAAGTCATCAACTGATCGAGTTTTAGCCATCTTTTTCTTCGGCTTTCCTCGATCATATTAGTCCGGAAACCAAAGCGGTTCACCTCAGCAACAGTCATGGGGAGCGGTTCAAGCTGTTACCCGACCAAGGATCACAGGGCATCCATCGAACACGAGCCGTATGATGCCAAGCGCCTGCTGTCCGAGCTCATCACCGTGCAGACAGCCATCGTCCTATCGGACGAAATCACGGACCACAAGGGGGACTTCAGGGCTTCCGACCAGCCGCGCAAGAGCATCGAGTACACCATCACGACCTCGCTGACCGTGCCCACCGTCACCATCTCGCACGGTCACCAGGAGGCGAGGCGCGATCTGAGCCCCTCGGGACTGGAGTTTCAGGGCGGGGCCCTGATGGACATCCTAACGGCTCACTTCAAGCACAGGGTGGACGTGGTGAAGTGTGACAACGGCATCATGCCCAGCATTCAGGAAGCGTCGGAGATCAGCACCTGTTAAACTATAATGCATAACAGTTAAGCTCTTCAAGGGACATGCAATCTTGGTTTTAACTTACAAGTTAAAACACGCACAGTGTCGGACACTGTGCGTAGGCCTATCCGACGCTCGAAATATGCGCAGCTTTTACGGTTCAAGTGAGACACTTCATCAAGTGCTTATACGCGTGATCTTTCATTGAGAACAAACTGTCGACCGAAGGAGGACGATGAAAGCAACTGACTCCGTAAGCAAGAGCTGCACATTTGTGCCGTTGAAGAGAGTACGTCACCGGTTGCAGACAATTAAAGCGTGTAATCGGATGGCGAACCTGAGGACATTGCCCTTTCTATTTTTGATAGCTCATGCCAAAAAAAAATTTCAGACGGTATTTTTCTGAAACAAAAAAGCCATTGTAATGCTCACTACGGCCGTAATTTGAATAGGTTATCACGCTTGGCAGATTGTTTAGAACAACGATCCTGTTATGACACGCATCATGTATTCATTATTTTGGAGCTTTTGGTAATACTATATAGCAATTTACCACCATCATTATTGTCAAAATCAAAGTGATCTTTTGCATATTGAAATATGCACAATTGTACTTGCTGTTGACAGTCGCATTTTGATGTTCCGAGTGGCCTCAGGCTTACTACACAATTTGAGTAAACGTTTTTGTAACAAAATGTAAAAACTGTTTATTTGTAAGCCTTTATGTTAATATTTTAATATCTTAATTTTTTTATACGAAAGGCACACGGATATCTTTGAAAAGAAGGTATACACAAAATAATGTTAGTTATCAATTTCTTCCTGTACTGAAAACTGCCGTACCTAGCTGTCACTCAGTCAACGAAAACGTGTCTTTTTGAAGTACACACTTCTATGAAAACGTATCCGGGGCAATGAAATACTCAACCGTCAGTTGGTCGGGAAAAACAGAATCAATCACAATGTAATTATTAGTGGAGTGTGTTCTTCATAATAATATGATGCCATGCTTCAATTGATGGATATACTTGCAGACTGTATTTTGGAAAGTCTGATTTTTATGAGAGCTTTTCTTTCTTTTTTTGAAAGGGTTTGTGCGTGCTTTTTTTTTTTTTTTTAGGGATTATCGATCTTTAAAAGCAGCGTATACACACGCACGCACGCTTAAAAGAAATGCATTTTGTTCTACTTTGATATTTCATCAAGAAATTGTCATTTTTAATTTAATGAGAAATTTGTGTCGTAACTTTGAACGAATATACCAAATTTTGAAAGAAACACTTAGATACCACCGAATATTTACGCTTGTATTTTCAATTGTTTCACTAAAAATAATACCAATTGAATTGATGTGCACATGCAGGACATGTTAAGATGGTAGTGTGCCCAAAGAAGTGCCCATTTTGATGGAAATATAACTCAAATACAGTTTTGAATCGCACGTGTGTTGAAGTATTTATTCTGTCTCGACTAGCATTTTGGAACCGGTTGCTGTATTTTATTAAGTATTTTTATTAAGTGGTCCTGAATAAAACAAGCATACCCGTAGGCCCTACACTAATTCGTCTTCATAAAATTCAACTGGCACCCGTGCACACTGACGCGTTAATGAGAAACGTACGTGGCATATCTGCAGGAAATGGGAAATTCTCATGAGTCCGGCACCTTTGTTGAACCGCATTTGCAGTATTTTATTAAGTAGCCCTGATATTAAAATAAAACAAATGAATACCTGTATAGGCCTACATTCAATATTCTTCTTCACAAAATTCAACTGGCACATATGCAGCCGCGTTAATGAGAAACGTGGCATATAGGCCTAGGTATGCTGGGTATTCTCATGATGTTCGGGACAAATTGAACTTTGTACAGAACAAAATATTTCAACGTGTTTGGTTTCAAATAAGCACGTCCTGCACATGATCAACAATGAGTTGAATTGATTGATGAATCTCTCATTATGAGGTATCTCTTGACAAATTGTATATTTATTTGAAGTTAAATCAGTTCTCACCAATCCAAGACTCAAGATGTCGGTTCTTTTCGCACCTTTAGACATCCCGGACGTAACGTATTTCCTATCGAATAATATCCCCCGACCCCAAAAATTTCACCATTTGTAAGAATTGGAGTCCGGCGGCACACCATAGGGAAAAAAGCATCGGAGGATTTGTAACATAAAAGCAATAATCTTTTCTCTTTTTTTCGATTTGATTGTATCGGAAGGTGGTTGAAATGGTGCCTTGGTAGGTAGATCGGATGAAATATGGGCTTAAATTAAGAGATTACGCAAATATAGAAATTCACTCACATTTTGTTTGTGCAAGTCGATCGAGGCATACATATTACATGACCCTGTACATAATTGATGAACAATTTGGAACTTACCCTATGCAACGCCGCACGGGACGTTATTAAAAATTGTCAGCTGTCAATATTGAAAGAAGAAAAAAATGAATTTCAACGGTCCTGAAATGAAAATGGCTTCGGTCGAAGGTCTTTGCTACTTTAATGGGAAGCCAGCCATCTGCTGTAGTATAAAGTGTTATTCCATGGTTTATGTCTGACGCCAAGCCCCCAGGCTCTTGAACTACGACTATTCTACGATCAGAGAAATGATTCCGCCGGGTCCAATTATAATATATCACCGATTTAGTTCCTGGCTGATCACAATGTGTGAACGCCGCGCGCTCAGACACTGCCCAATAATTTTGAAATCATAGAAGGCGCGATTCTAAACAGTCGTTATGGTGATTTTTGTTAGAGGGTGCAGTGGCATATGAAGGAGGGGGTATTAAGGGGATTGAAGCCTTATTGCTCGATTACGCTCCTCTTGGTTTCCAAAATGCAGATTTAGGCCTACAGGCATACTAAATTCAGAATCGTGTTTACGGGTTGCGTACGCGGCTCGGAAAACGTTGCTTGTTAACATGAGAAAGTACAATCTTGCAAGGTTATTTCATGTGGGACACTATTCACATCAAAAAGTTACTATGCGCGGGCTTGTTGAAATAACCACATAAAGTGGTGATATATAGGCCTAAGGCCAAAAAAATAAGTCTCCGGTTTCTGGTATGGAGCTTGCCCAAAAAGTGGTGCGGCGACGCGGCTTTTTTTTTTTTTACCTGATTTTTTTGCCTCAAATGTAGGCTGATGACTGCAAATGGTGCCCGACTAGACTTAGTGCAAATACATGGGAGTCCAGGGAAGCCACGTAAAGCTTATTCTTGATCATAACCCCATCTAAAAACACGTTAAAATTGTGCAGCAGCAGGAGTCCAGTAAAACCAGTGAATTTGGCGGTTTTGAGACATCATCTTTCATTGAAAAAAAAACTTTCTCATTTTGCCGACGCGCATGGCTACGGCGACGCGCGCATAGCAGAAACCGGAGACTTTTTTTTTTGGCCTAACCAGCTAGTTTTTTTTCCAAGCCGCATATATTATACGTATTCCGTACCGCACCATTTCAAATGGTCGACAGCGGCCCCTTTCGATTTCTGGCCCCGCCCTCGGCGAGGGAAGGTCAACAGACCTCAACTGAGGTCCCGTTTAGAAACACTTAGGTATTAAAAAAAATCTGACAAATATCCGAAGATTTTTTTTTGACGGGGCTTTTTCCGCCCACTGAAAATCATGTTCCATTCTCTTGACGCCCACAGTGGCGTAGCTGCCGGTGCATGGGTGGGAAATAGGCCTACCCCTCCCCTACCACGCTCGATGCCCCTCCCCCCCCCCCCCCCCACACTCTCTATGTACTCAACAAACAATCGTTTGATGTCATTCTTAATCATACTTGAATGGCAAATTACAAAGTACCAAGGTAAAATGTAAAATGTCAAACTTTGGACCCAAAATGTACAGAATGACCCACATGTTCCAATTAAGATGAACGTTTCTGGAATAAACGGACAGAAAATACCCTACTTTTTTTTAAACAATCGATATACGTTAAGAAAGGATGGATAAAAACGACCCTGCCGAATTCGCCACAGCCATGAAGCAACAAGCATGACTAGAGTTTTGTTGTTCACAGGAATACCGCGAACCGCGCGAGATTGAAGAAAAGGATTCCAACTAAACCGGCGCCTTAAGGAGGTAGCTTTGCCGCCAAACACTCCAGTAAGTACTCAAGGAACACTTTTGATTATTCTGGTTGAGGTCGATGGAATTTCTTGAATTTCAAAAGAACCTCTTGATGGTTTATTTCTGACCGTTGGCGTATGACGCAAAGAGAATTTCTGTGGCGCATGAGAGGGGAAAAAACAATTAAGACTATATATAGTAATTTGTCCCGTACATACGTAAGAGTTGCTACGTACGTCGTACTTTTTGTGCGAGGTTAGAGCAGCGGAGATTAAAGCCAGTGTCCATCATTTGCAGCTATCCAAACAGTAACTGGCGTAATTATTGTTGCAAAACATACTTGGTTGAAAGATAGTATAAGGGGACTAAACTCCCTGTGAAATTCTGGCAAGCTGCCATTTTGAAGAAATCAACGAAAGAAGGCCTTCCCAACTTGCGTCTTAAAGGTATAGTCCATCATTTGTAATTTGTGCATTTTGTTCGTTTGAAGCAACAAACGTGCTCAAGTTCTAAAGAAGGGTGCTGAACAACTAACCTGATGAAGTTTCAGCTCAGCTTCAGCTGTACATTTCGAGAAAAACAACATTCGGCTCAGTGAGAACGTGTCTCGGATGCTGAATTCAGGCCAATTCAAAACATGATTCAGCAACTTTTGATTTGAAATCGAGATCCTAGAATGTTGCTTTTCTCGAAATATACAGCTGAAGCTGAGCTGAAACTTCATCAGGTTGGTTGTTCAGCACCCTTCTTTAGATTTTGAGCACTTTTGTTGCTTCAATTAAAATGCACAAATTACAAATAATGGACCTTTAATGTATTTCTCCAGGGCTTCTCCTTACCGATAATTTCCACTTTTCCACTGTCCAGCGTTCGTAACCTCGCCAAATCTCCAATGACAGAAGAGATATTATACACAAAAGGTAAAGTTTATTTGAACATTTATTTTTAGCTCAAAAAAGCCTTTAATACTGATATTAATACAAGCCGAAGCAATTTTTTCTTTTTCGTTTTCCAATCAGCATTGTGTTCCAATGTTTATCCGATGATAAAAACAAACTGCATGTAGGCCTAATTACCTAATGGCACACGTGGAAAGTACGAACCTGTAACTCACCTGTCAGACGCGCCGCACGGACATCGTCAAGGGAGTGCAGTGACATCTGATAGAGGCAAATGACACATTTAACAAAAAAGAAAGAGCCATTAGGATCATCTTACAGAAGGGTGTTAGTTTTATGCAACGGGTTTGTCTTACGGAGGCAATTACCCCCAGTTCTAGTCTGCAGCGTACTCTCCCGCTTTTGGTCAAGCCGTCGATCTCTCGTAACGCGTTGGAAAAATATTTATTTTGCAGTATAAAGCCAGTCGCCGGAAGCTTACTACAGTCACAAATAATTTAAAGAAACATCGGCACTTAACTATTTGTTTTAATGTAAACCTCCCCCGGCAAAAAAAAAAAACACGATTTTTTTTTAAATATATTTTAGATTTTGCCAATCCTGCTGAAACGTTCCATTATTGAAGCCCCCCAAAAATGGCGCATTCCAGTCGAAATTGCCCCATCTGCATTTCCCCAAATTAAATTGGAAACAGCCCCGGGCTGAAATTAAGAAAGATGTGTTCAAATAAATTTAATTTTAAAACAAAATTCGATATCCGGTCATCACGTGTATGTAACTCCTGTTGCTTTGCACGAATGAAGGACACGCGCGCCGTGTTCTTGTAATTGCAGTATTGGGTTGCCAGGGTAATTTAACACCATCATTGTGTGACGTGCATCGCTGATTTTGTCTCGCTACGAGCAACATTAATGTGAAGGACCTGTAAAAAAGTACGCGCCAAAAAATATGTATAAAGTCAAACAAAGGCTCCACTTTCCGTGATTGATATCAACTCACCGTCTTTAACATTGGTTTAGGGGCGAAAATCCCGGGGGATGGTGTATATACCCCCGCCCTCGTTTTTGACCAGGGGCGGGGATGGGCTATTGGATCCCCCCCCCCTCTCCACTTTTTCTTTTGAGAAACAAAAGAAGGCGGATTTTGAGGTATTTTGTCGAACTTCCCAACAACGAAAATATATTCAACTGAAAAACGGAGGAAAAGGTACAACAGTTTCAAATGCGCCGTTTTAATGCACGTAAGTATACATAAGATGTAAATAATGTATCATGAACAGCGCCCCCTAGTGTAACGTGGTGTCCAGCAAATTTTCAACAATTATTTTCGCGATTTGTTGTTTATTTTAACGTCCCGTGGAACGCGTACAGCAAGACCCATTGTCTGACAATGACAATGAATTATGTTTTGAACAGCGCCCCCACTGAAAAATTGTGTCCAAGACCCCCCCCC